AGTCCGCGGCATATACAGCAGTTATGAAACACAAAGGTAACAACTGAAACCAACACAGCAAGGAGACAAGAAGACCGAGCAAAGCAAAAGCAGAGCAAAAACATTAATTAAGCAAATTTGTAACCGAAAAAGGTAAAGAGTAAGGAGGGGGAACGGGGGTGGGGTCTGAGTGAAAGGGTGCGTACCCAACTGCGCTTGAAAGTGATTGCGTTACGCTACGCTAATTAGCCACAAATGCTTTTGGCTTAAACACGGTCATGTGGCTCGTGATGTGGCGCTGATTGACAAGTCGATTGACGAACTGATTGACAAAGTGCTGGTGGGAGCAAGTGATGAGACGACAGCCGTTTGACTGATTGATTGGCTTATGCTAATTCCGGGCAACTCATTTGCGGCGAATTCGATTTCGGTCTCGATTGAACTGTCAGTCGGAGGCGTTTGATCAGTGTGGGCGTGGCAAGCGGCTTCAACAATTTCAATTTGGCAGCTTTCACTCCGTTTAATTACAACAATTCAAGTGTTTATTTGCATAGCCTTTGGTCTTTCGCCAGTGGGCTTTGTCCTTCGACCTCAAAACAAAGTTATCTGAGGTTTTTGTGCGTGTTTATCTCGACGCAAAAAGATGCAAAGAATTCCATTTATTTCATTTCGCGCAACAAATGGGTTTCGACATTCAACTTGGAAAATGATGCAGGGGGAACAGAATATCAGAATTCAAGATATTCCACATTCACTAATTGAATTCAGGGACCAACCGCCCGCTGTCTTGCTTTAGATGTATCGCACGAGCAGTCTTCCATCTAGCTGAAACTTAAAACAACATTTGAGCTGGTCGCCTTGAAGCGCACTTCGGCAGACAGCTGAAATTGCATGAATAATATTTAAAGTAATTTACAAGAGTTATTTTGCTATTATTGTATTTAGAATTCCTTAGAGGGAATCTCCTTTTGCATATTTTTTATTATTTTAAAAAATTCAATTTTTCAATTATTCAAATATATTTTTCAGACTTATTATAAACAAGAAGACATTTATTCTTAGCAGTTGTTTTTATAATTTGGTTGATCATTTTTAATGCTACAACAAATTATAAGTTGAAAACTTATAAGTTTAAAATAATATTTTTTTGGGGTTTTCTGGGAACTCAAAACTTTTACAAAATGTCTAATGCTTTTTATTCTAAACAAGAATTCTTATTCAAAAATAAAAAAATATTATTGCAATATTATTTTATTTTCAATCAAAATTATTTTTAAAAGTAAAAAGTTTTTTAGCGAAAAACCGTATTGATTTAGAGCTTTTAATGCTTTTAGTTAATTTTTTGAACAAATTGAAAGTCAAACTGTGTGGAAAAAAATAAAAATACGGAAATATCATATCATACATATATAACTTAATATAATATAATATTAAATATATATATGTTATATGTATAATATAATATTTAAGTATATACATAACTACATGCCTTTGGTTTTCCTTTAGATAAATGTTTAGACATTGCAGAATTGATGAATTTATATCAAGGACAATATATCCTTAGAGCTGCTCATAACCACTTGAAAATTCATTTCAATTTATTTTTGGTTTCGCTAACTTTCAATTGGACTTGAAAATTCTATTGCATGAAATTCCGACTGTGGCCCTTAACAGTTTAATTAAAAGACACAAACTAATTGCATTCCCAAATTGTATACTTTACTGTTATTTTTTACAATCTCAACAAAAAAAATTTTAGGAACGTTGCAGCCGCAATTGTAAATGTAATTGCAATAGAATATTAAATTATAAATATAAAATCGATATAAAATATATATATCTTTTTATTTATTTGTATAATAAAACAAACTAATAAAAATATTTAAAAAATATTCACAAACATATTAAACAATTAAACCAACAAATATAATATAATTAATTAAATTAAAATAAAATAAAATGTATATGAAAAACTAGTAAGCCTCTGGTCAACTGTAAGAATTACCATAGCAATGCAATGGCTGAAAATTCATTGCGGGCTTCTTGTATAGAAATATGCTTGGAAAGACATGCACACTCACGTACACACACATACACACAATATACATTACATATATAAAAATACATACACTCGCGTACTACAGCTACCCTTGAGCTGCAGTATATGCTTTATTGTGGGAAATTAATTGAATAACTAATTGAATAATTAATTGAATAACTTTTGTTCTAGATGACTTTGTCAATGAAATAAATATAAGAGCGCAATAATGACATCCAAATGTGTGTATTTGCCAAAGCTCAAGTCTTCATTATTTAAAAAGCAGAGCTCTAAAAACAAAAAGATAATATTTTACTGCGTTTAAATGCAGTTTACGAAGCTGCTGAGTTCCTACAGACGGACGAACGAGCTGACAAACGGATGCATACATCAAAGCAATGTAAGATCGACTCTCAGTTTCAATGGTTTCATAATTATAATGAAACTAAATTATGAGATTACTATGTTAAAATACAAAAAAGATTTGTAAAGAAAATGACAAAAATAATATGAAGTATTAAAAGAAAAATCAAATAAATAACTCGCATTATTATCAGATCCTCAGGCCAATTTGGTTGAGACTAAACTTTCTAAGTAGTTCTACTCGGTTTTCTTTTCAACTTTCAGCACAGTGTGAGAGCTAGTTGCTACCTATGGTAATCCAATAGAAAAAGAAATTTTCTTTTCTTCTGTTCACACTTAAGCTAAGAGCAAAAACATATTTAACACATGTCGAGCATATTCAAAAATGTTTTTAACTAAATTTTCACACATTGCTTGAGTCTTTTTTTTTGTGCTGAATGAACAAAGTTTGAGCGTAATGCAGAGGAAAGAATGACGAACAAAGTTTTGATAGTTGAAACTGTTGCTCAGCTCAGCAAGCTTTCAACTATGTATAAAGCGTGGCCGGCAGCTGGGGCCGTAACGATTTAAGCCAGGCTAAGCAAATACGCAAATATTTGCGAACGCATTTCGATAAAGTTGCCTCGATTGACGGCAGCTGTTGATTTATGTGGCCCGCAGGCGCTTTTTGAATGAAAAAAATATATATATAAAAAACATTTTGCAACTTACAACAAATTTCCCGCACAGCTGTCTGCAAATGATGCGAAAATAAATAGAACACCTACTGTCAATGCAGAAGTCTTCCCTTCTTATTTTTCAGATATATCTCTTCTTTTCCAAACACTTGTCTGCTGGGGCAGACGTAAACAGAACTTGGCACAAATCGAAAGTAGAACGAATATTTTTCTTTTTTTTTGGCACGCGCTAGCGAAATGTTTGAAATTGAAATTTTTATTTATTTGTTTTTGTATTTCCAATAACCTTAGTTCAATATAAATGTTCTCGTTTTTTTGAAGCGTGACGTTTGGGTAGCGACCATCGACCGGTTGGAGCGAATCCGTTTGCAGGACTAAATCGAAATGCCGGCGCCCGAGTGCAAGCGCCCCAATGGGATCCACACGAAGCAGTCGCACAAAAGCGCGCGCTAAAATTGCCATCCACAGGGAACCAATAGCAAACGGAAGCCACCACGTGTGGCTCTGCACGGTGCGCAGTCGCTGCCAACTGCACAGACCAACACAGAGGCGTGCCCAATCTGCGGGGACGTCAGTGTAGAATTTGTGGATCATATTCATTATTGGACAACTGTTGCTATTTCGTGAATCGCTCGCATTCTCATTCATAGTCTCGCCGCTGCTTTAATAATTGTGAAAATATTTTGCTACTCAACTGTATGCTTAGACGCCTTTCCCATTGTTCTCTCGTGTGAAAGCTGCTTTTCAGCTTTTCATTTTGAGGCTTTCATTTCAGAGCGTTTGTGTAACCACAACAATGTGCTTGAGTTTTGTCATCAAAGAGCCTCGTGTGGGGCTAAAAAGAAACGAGTTACCAAGTGCCGGAATTTTAGATTAGCTCCGCTTCTATGGAAAAACAGATTATTAGAGTGCCACTTTTCTCCACAAATTGGAAAACTCTAATTAATTAGGGCAAAGACAATTGAAAATTGATTGTCTCATTAAATATATTTAAAGTAACTTCAAAGCAAGAGTGCTGCGTGGTACTAGGCCAATAAAGTTATCTACTTCCAAGAATAAGGGCAATCGATCGAAGCTAAAGGCTAGCGAAACAACGCTGGAGGTTAGGCAGGAGCTTGTCGACTCTGTCAACGCACGCTGAGCGCTTCCATAACCTTTGAAGAACTCAAGGTCATCTGTGCTACATTTTACCTTTTGTCTTTAATTAGTGTTATTCCACACGTTATGTATGTCAACAAATGGAAGCAACTGAAATGCTCAAAAGCTTTTTGTTTTATTGTAATTTCATCTGGCTCCGATTATCTTTTGATTATATTTTCATATTTATATATATTATATATATTATATAGCTTCATAAATAAAATATGAAAGTTGCATAGGTCACAATTTAGCTATGACCCAGGGTTTCGGAAAATCGAAAAAATCTGTATCTTTAACAGATTCATCAGACACATAACTGTAGAATTCCTACAAAGCTATACCCATAAATGATAGGATCCGACCATTGTGTCATAGAAAATTCGAAAATATCGAGTTTGGAGTACATGAAGGCATTTCTGCCCCTATGCAAAGTTCGTTTTTTTTACATCCTGAACCCATTGAAAATGGGAAATCTGAGTATAATGATTTAGCTAAAATATATATAACAGAAGGCAGAAGAGGGCGTGGCAGATAGCACAAAGTATACATATATTTGACAAGGATGACAAACCAGCCGACTTAGCCCTGTCCGTTTGTCTGTCTATCGGTCTGTCCGTCTGTCAGCCTGAATGTATGTAAGTCCGTATGAACGCTGTGATCTCGGCGATTAAGCTAAGTAAGGTATTTTAACTATATATACCATAGGCAGTTCGAGCTTCTCATTTTTTGTCGATAACACATAATATTTTCTTACTATCGATCGAGTTCAGTGTATCTCCTGCTCGAGCAGTCTCGACTATAAATCAGATGATGCAATGGAATGTTACATATTTATTCACGACTTCAATTCGAATACAATTGGCTAACGGTATTTGTAGGCGTAATGTTCTGCGAGTATCACAAAAGTATGCGATTTCCAAATATACAGACCGCTTAAGGCTCAAGCACAAATATTGTAAACTGGGTTCCAGACTTTACCCGTCTGGCACAGTGGAGTCGTGGTAAAGAATGGGCACAGAGGGGATCGCAATAGGCACATTGTCAGGAACAGCGTGCCCTCTGTTGCGGGTGCGCTGAGTACCATCAAAACGGCCACGACTGTCAAATAGATGAGAAACTTGGGCGACATCGTTGTAAGTATTCCAGATCTGCTCTGCTGATTGAAGTGAGCATTCGTTGGAACTCGCCGACCTATTTATAGGGCTAGGCGAGCATATAGTTCATTATGGCTTATTTGATCAATATCATTTATGCTATTTACATTGACGGCACGAGCTATCAATACTTTGTATGACAACAAATAGAAACACGTTCTAATTGTGCAATCGAAAGCACACAGCTCGCGACGATCAATATTGAAACTAATAATTGCTCATAAATAGTTTCTGCTTTATGTAAGGCTAGAAGTTCAAGCTGAGACAATTTTATATAGCGCATAATTTTGTAAAAAGTTCAAATTAGTTTTCCCTAAATGTACATCTAGACTAGTTATTGTTAAATTCTTTAAGTCTATGACTCATCGTAGCAAAACTATTTAAATTTCCTGATTTTCTACTCTCCAAATGGATTGGATATAAATGTATCACAATTCGGTTTTTTGTCGTAATGCATTTCAAGGATATATAACTGTAATACGCAGATAATAAAACGTAGGAAATGCAGGAGGGAAATATTATTGAAATGATGATAATAGAGATCATGTTTCCGGTTTTCTATCATATACAATTTGTAACAACAATTCTGAGCATATATATATATATATATATATATATATATTATACATAATATATATATATATATTGTATTATATATATATATAATATATGTGTATTATAAATTTATTCTTAATATTAATTAACACTTTAACCATGACTTGTCAAGCTAAAGAATAACATATATAATTCATACCGGAAATCAAAATGTCCTCACAGCCCTAACGACGTGTACCTTAACACTTCATCGTAACATTCTGTAACAGTGTACCTTGAGCTTAGCAGTCCATCTTGATAATGTACCATAATCTATTGTTTCCTTGTTCCTGCAATGAATACTATCAATTGCTAACTTCATCTTCTCGAATTATAATCCTGTAACTCGCGAATGTGCGAATGTGTAAAATGACTTAAACTCAAAGATTGGAATCTACAGAAGATTCTTTCCAGTTCATTGTCACTTATATTTTTGTTGGAGTCAAAAATAAATGTAAAATATCGCATTGCATTTATCTGTCATTTTAATGTATTTAAATGTTCGGGAACCTTTAGAGTAGGCTTTCACAGTCGGTATTAAAAATTAACCTCAACAGACTGAGTCAATATTGACATAGTCGCTGTAGGACATAACAGTGAACCAGTACATTATACCTGAAGATTGTACCTTAATAGTGAATATTGTACCTTAATATAGTATCTTGCCCATATATACTGACAATGTAGTAGAACAGTCTTATGTAGCAGGGTGCCATAATAATTTACCTTAACATTGTTGCCTAACATTTTACCCAAACTGTGTACCTTAACAGTGTACATTAACAGTGGGCCTTAACAGAGTGCCCTAATAAGATAACAGTGTACTCACGCTGTGTTAGCTAATAGAATACCCCAACAGTGTACTCTAAGGAGTACCCAAGTAGTGTACGCTAACAGTGAATATTAAATATTCACAGTAAACCCAAATACTGTGCTTCCACAATGAATCTTAATAGTAACAGAGTAGCTTTACCTTGTTATTTATTGCATATTTACATGTTCAGATTTATGGTTCAATTAAGACTTATTGTAAACTATACATGCTTAACTTGCACAAAAATTTGACCCCGTCTGAAATTAATAGTTAACTCAAGTCAGCACCGAGTGAGAGTTTTTAAATCTATATTCATTAGGCTAAACAAGAGTCATCTTGCTCCTAGGAATACAAATTGATTGTATTTCACTCACATAACATAGATTGTTTAATATAATTAGACATAAATTATAAGAATTTTCTAGTCGAGATTGCTCGGCTAGGAGACACCCCGGAAACGGGTTGAGAGGCGATCCAATCATTATACGATTCTTTAAACGTGCTTTACGAATAACGCTTGATATTGTACTTAATTGTGGAATAACGTTTGTTCTAGGTGGAGTTTCTTAATAAAGTTTGAGCAGCGTGAAAATGACTCTCTGTGTATTTGCTATGCTTTTTCTAATATTTGAAATATTTGGAAATTCGCGAGGGAAGGGGGAGGTATCAATAATCCAAAATATACAAAATTGCTGTATTCATTACAGAAACCGACATGGGAAATGTAAAGTGGACTGAGTTCTTCGACCTAATCAAGAATATATATCATTTATGCAGTCTACTGCGTCTAATTCTGCCTGTTACATATACCTGAATTATCATTTTCAATGGGTTCAGGGTATAAATCGAATATCAATTTAATCCCTTTAAGAATTTCCAAAGCAGTTGATAGGTAATTTAATATAACAAAAATAAATGTGGGAAATGAATTGAGACAATTCATAAATATTTACCTATTAACAAGGTGCTAATGCCTCATGCAACTTGTATAAATATTGTGCAAGATGCATAAGTACATAAATAACACTTAACCTAGAGTAGATTCCACGTTAAGCTAAATAATATAAATAGGGTTACCCACTGAGTGAAAGTCACTTTAAAGCATCAGTAGATCCGGAACAGATAATACGATGTCTCCCAAATTTATCATATCCTTGACGCTGATGGCCATGCTAATGGTCTTCACTGCACCTGCAGCCGAGGGGACGTTCCTTCTATTTGCATGTCTGACAGGATCACCGCTGTGTCCCTACCGCACTACGACCCCAAGATGCCCAACTGCTGGTCAGACTTACAATCCTGTAACTCGCGAATGTGCGGCTTAAAACCAAAGATTGGAATCTACAAAAGATACTTTCGAGTCTTATCACATTATCAATTATATCTTGTTGAAGTCTAAAACAAATATAAAATATCGCATTACCCATGATCGTTTTATCGGGGAACTTTAATAGTGGTCTGTAACAATCGATCTTAACAGTGATCTCAACTGTGGAACCTAACATTGTGGCACTGTAACTTACAGATTACTATAGTGTACCTTAGCTGTGTACCTAAGCGGTATACGAAAATAGTGTATTGCAACATTACAGCTTAACAGTATACCTTAACAGTATGCGTTAACAGTGTAAGTTAACAGTGAAAACAGCAAAATCAATGTTGAATCCCAAATTGTATTTGAAAATTGTGCAAACAGAAGAAACTCTAGAAAAACTGATACAAAAGTGATTTTAAAAACGATACCTGAAAAAACGTCCACAGATATCTACTTTGTGAAAGATATAGCTTTATATTTTGCTTCAATCTTATTTAAAATTCCTTGGCAAAAGTAAATTAATATTCTTCTCATTGGAAGTCGCTTGTGGCATTCCAAGTGAGTCGATAAGGGAAAGAAAATATATATATATTTGATCATCCTTGCGTCCATGAAAATCAGTATAAAATATAAATATCTTAAATAGTATTACTCAAAAAAGAAGAAGCAAAGGAATTTATAAATGCTCTTCATGCTTCAACTTCTGTCTCAAGTTTCACAGATATGCCAGAAAAGCTTTTTCTATTTTTCAAAATGTGTTTGCCAACATTTGGAGGAACTCTGCTCGCTACATTTTGTGTATGGAATTGTCAATCAGAAATCAATGGAAACGTTTGGGATTCAGCCTTGGTAAGAGTTGTATCCCTCTGATGGTTGGCAGCGCATGTGCCACACGGCACACGGCAAAGTGAAGGGCTTAGACAGTATTTATCTCAATTCGTTCAGTACTTAATATGTTCTAAAGTCCGCAAATTTCTAATGAATCATATAAATAAATCGTTTCAAAACTTTGGCAATTCTTTTCGTCTCTGTCTTAAGCTAACGCCCACAATTGCTTCTGTTATTTAATTTTTCTGACGTCACACAGACAGTTGTATCCATACTTAAAATCTGTTGCTAATAATAAAATAAATTTGTTTACCCTTGAACAAGAAAAAGGTCTAAGATCCGCCTTGAGCTTAGGACTTTGAGAAATGCAGCTGATTAGCTGACAGAGTTCGCTCGGATTCGCTTCAACCCAACCGCAGAGCTCACGGCAACTTTTGCTAGTCATCGGTGAACGTTATAAATATGCATAAATTTAATCTGGATTGAAGCGTGGTGCCACGACGTATATTTAATTTCTATTTCCAGCTGCTGATGTTGCCCACGCGGCATGCGACATGGGCATTACGAAAGCAGTGGCCGCCTGTTGCACGTGCCACAGAGGCAGCGGCTGGACATTTGGATAGCTGCAGTGTGAGGGGTCTCAAATGAACTTCCTATACTTGCAAATCATGGCCACGAGCAGCAGCAGTGTCAGCTCAGCCTACGCAGCACCTGACGTATGAGTGATATTTAATTAATTTGCCGTCTATTTGCAATTTGCGCTGTGCAAATGTGCGTATACGTAACGTAGTCTTGAGGCGCATGGGCAGGAAGGAGGGGGCAATTGTCAACAATCGCCCGAACGAGTTGTTTGCCCAAGTGGCTTCCGACTTCCCATCCCCATCGCCATCTCGCAAAGAAAACACACTTTTTAAAGTCTACAAAAAAACTTTGTCAGCTGCTTGAAAAGGCAACTTTGTGCGCCTCAGGCAAGTGTACGCCGAGCATCCAGAAGTGGCCGTGAGCGACTAAATATAAATTGGATTTCTTACACCTTCCACACCACCTCTGACAATTTCTTGTACTTCGAAATCGATTCGCTTGCAGGTTTTTATTGCTACTAAAAACTGTTGAATGACTACGGGCCCAAAGTCAGTCCCAATCAATCAATAAAAAAGTAAACAAAAAAATTTGATTTTCTACTTGAAACAATTAATTTCAGTTAGCTTAAGATTTGTTTTGATTTTGTTCCAAGTCAATGTCATTTAGGTTCCTTTCACGTTGTTTTTATAACCGCCAAAGAGTATGCAATATTTTAGACTGCTTTATAAAGAAAGTAAAGCTAAATTGCACAATAATAATAATGAGCAGAATCAATAATATATAATATATATATATATAATATATAATCAATAAGCAGAAACCACAACTGCATTTAAGACAAGTTAATTTAGGCTCACAAAATGACATATGTTCTAATGGACATGACGAGACTGAAATGGCAGAAGAATTAAAAAGAAATTTGTTCTCTTTGTTAGTTGAAGCTTCAGCAACACTCTTGTTATTATTTTAATAACACAATCTTAATAACAAAGAAATTAATTATGGTGATCATAATAATATGCATACAATTTGTTATTATTAATTTGTATTTACAATCATATCGCGCGTGCTTTGAATAATTCGGAATTTTAAAAAATCCTGAGCACAGCTGCTATTTCAACCACGCGACGCTTCACACGAGCTTGCTGCGATTACTGAGTGACTTCTGAATATATATTTTTGGCAATCCGAAGTCACTTCACGGCAATGGCTAGGGCAATCCAAATTTGAAAATAATCATAATATGTGTAAATTAATTTATAAAGCGCAACGTTGCGTTATATTGGAAGACTTTGAACTGCATTATTCCAAATATTAACTAAAACCAGGAATAAAATTTCTTAAAGCTATAATTGTGTGCTGAAAGTGCTTGTCAATATTTTAAATAAATAAAACATAAATATATTTACTTAAAAAATATTTGACGAAATTTATAGCTTGAGGAATTTCTAAATGCTCTTAACATATGATTAACCTTTAGTATGATGTAATATAAACATAAATCCTTTTTTATGTTGTCTAAGCTATCCCTGTGTGCTGAAAGGCTAAGCCGTCCCACAATGGTTGTTGACGTCGCGAATCATTGTCCTGGTGCATCCCGCACTGTTATGAACTGCCCCTGAGCTCCTGAATACATATATATGTATATTTTCCCCATCGATTTTCGTTACTTTTTCCTCAGTATTAATTAATAACTACGATTCTTTTGCAAACGCCTTCAAATTTATAAATAAACTTTGCTGGCATTATTTGAGTGTGAAAATCTGAGCTGAGCATTTATTTATTACTTGGATTAATTAACGCAAACCTCCATCTTCAGCTGTGACCTCTGCAAGGTCTGGGATCTTTGTTTTTCGATCTGAATTTCTCGTTCTGCCCATTCATTGTTATTTTTTCGCTGGAGTTTTTTGTTTGGCTCTTTCTATAGCTTCTCAAATGCCAATTCTTAATTACATTTGTGTGTGCCTGTAAGTGTGTGTGTGTGTTTCTCAGTATATCTTTATTGATTCCCCATTTGGCAACATTTGTCAACAGCTTACAAAAGCATTTAATGGCCAATTTCTCTAGACTTTGCACGCAGTTCAATGTCTAGAGTGAAAATAATTTATCGATTTTCATTTTGGAGCAAGCACACAAAATAAATCACAAAATAGAAATTCACTGGACTTCAATTTCATTTAAGAATATATGCTCAACATTTCATTTAATTTGTTGGATCTTTACTTTTCAGGGAAAACAGTCGAATCTAATTTGATTAGGGGCAAACAAATAGATTCAAATTTTAGATTCAACTAAATATTTTCCATTTCACGCACCTAAAGACATAAGAAGTCCTTGTTATGCTTTAAGTATTTAAACAATTGAAGTCGCATTGGATACGCAAATTGTGCTCCTCTGTCTTCAAATTTGAGGGAGTAGAGCTTAACTAGAGAAAACAAAAGTAACCATCTAGAGGCATTCACCCCTATGTAATAAAAAAGGGAGCTCTACTAAATAATATTAGAATCATAGATTCCTTTAACTTTGAACGAAACATCTTCCAGCTGAGGTATTTCAACTGTCAGATACAAACAGAAAGCATTCACATCCACACACTCCAGCACATAAAGAGGTAGCCTGAATGGTTCCTTCTTCCTCCTGATTCCTTCTATATATAGCCCGCAGCCGCTTGATTCATTTGCGGAGATGAGTAAAAAGATGCAATTTGCGGCTGCCGCTGACGAAATGTTAATTTTTGTGTTCAACTGTAAATAGCTTTATTTGCATAGATGTATGTGTGGGTGTGTGCGTGCGTGTGTGTGTGTAGTGTGAAGAAAAATTAAATTTTGCTGATTGGGGTCTCGTCTCGGCCTTCGTCCCTTGTTTCGCAGGCCCTTTGCTGTCTTTTGAGGCTCCCGAAAGGCGCCGTCGGCATATAGGAAATATATTCAAATGCTTTGCCATGCAGCAAAATAAAGCAATATTTGTTGTTCACAAAGAAACCCAAGGAAAGGCCAATTCACAAGGAGCTGCTCGAATTAAAGCGCTCAATGAACCAAGTTTCAAATGCAACTGAAAGTTGAGCACAAACTTATAAAAAGAAAAAGTTGACCTTAAGTTATTTAAGCTAAAGGCTCTACAGACCTTGAACCGATTCGGCTCGAATTCGTTAAAACAAAAACAAAAACGTAACAAGTCTCTAGTTAGCAGTGCTCGACTGGCAGATACCCTGCAAGCCAAGTAGAGAGCAAACACTTGCAATATATATGCCTATCCCAAATAGAACTGTAAACTGTAAACAATTCTATTTATAGAATTCCAAAAAGATTGCTCGCTTCAGCAAGTAGATATACTTGTTTGAGTATAGGTATTCGAATATGTGTGTGTTCTTTAATAACTACAGTGTTACTCCGTACTCAATACTCCATTACATAAAATGACAACTAAAATGCTATTCAATTAATCTATTTAACAATTAAAAATCCAAGTTTCTAATGTATTTTTGGAGACTCTAACTTTAATTAATTGAATAACTTCATAAAGTATTTATGCGATTTAATGGAAGCTGAAAATGTTCTATAAAAACCATTTAAATTCTCTATCTATTATCGATTCTGGTGCTGTTCCTGATCACAAATATATATACAATTTGTCGGGTGTTGGTTCTTCTGTCTGTTTCTGACATTTCAATCGGTTCATGGTATAGTAAATAAAATAAATAAATATTACAAAGGCAAGCTTACTTCATAATAAGCATTTAGTAGTTTCGCAGTATTTCAATATTTTCTTATGCTTGATTAAGAGTCCAGTTAATACCCAATAAGGCATACCTTAAAAGGATATACCAACAAGAGCTTATGGCACTAGAGACTTACAGTTTGCTAATATGATTTATTATAGAAACCAATCACTTAGGGTATCAAAAACATGAAATGCCAATAATTAGTAATACCAATCAAAGGAGATAATATTTCAAAGCTTACTTGAAGAGTATATGCATATTTACCTCCTGAAAGTCGTCTATTAAGTCTATTAATCACAGTATCCGCAAAATTTGCGATGAAAAGCGGCGCCCAGAAGGTCGCTATGGAATTTCTTGTGAGACTATTAGATTTCGAGAAAACAAAGCAAAGTTTTCTGCATTCAGCGCTAGTCGGGCTGGAACCAGGGGGTTGCGTTAAGTTCCGTTAAGCTGGGCAAAGCTCTAAGTTGAGTAATGAGTAATGCTATACGACAATGCCCAAACAACAACAACAACAAGAATAACTAGAAGCAGGCCATAATGTGCCCATTGCTCATTGGAAGAGGCTTGGTTTAGGTTTCGAGTTGGGGTTCGGGTTCGGGTTCGGGTTCGGGTTCGGGGCTTGGGCTTGTTAGAAATTACAGAAGCATGGCACGTAGTCGCCACAAGCTTTCCCGTTGAGTTGGCTTTGATGCGCTTTGCACTTAATTAGTGCAAATAACTAATGACAAAAACTTTGCACTCGCCTTTCTATCAACCCACCGAGCACTCATCGAAGCAGAAGAGCTTCCATTTGACTTGAGATGACTCCACTTGGATTTCCCATCCACACCCAGAAGCTACGTCGCTACTAGCTGTGGCCACTTGTTGTCGCCTCGCTAACAATTAAGAGACCCTGCAAAATGACTTCAAGGATGCGTATTTATAGATCCACACGCAGCATTTAATTACAATGCTCAAGTCTTGCCAGTGCTATTAAGGATATTTAATTGTTTGTGCGCTAGCACCAAGGGACACAGTTGGCTTAGCCTTGGTTAGCTGTAATTTCATTTGTATTTCAATTATTTTAAGATTCAACAGATTTTCGGTTCAATTAATTATATTTTAATTTCTCTTAAAAATTCTTCACAAATTTCGCATGTGATCGCCCTACGAAGGTTCAGCTTGGTAGGGTACAAACTACCCTCGCAACACTGTTGAGCATAATCGAGTCAATGCAACATACAAGTAGAGCGAATCTAGCCTATAATAGTTACACAAAAAGAGACAAATTACTTACCGAATTCATTTTTATTGATGAAGTTTTATGGTGTTTTTTTTCCAAAATCTTCATTTCAATTATCATAACTTTCTAGAACTGCTTTGGATATATAGGAAAATAGACTAAGATTAAGTTGCTCAATAGAGAAATATAGTTTCATTGTGAGATGTCTCCATTTTATACGTTTCAGAAGGTAACTCAGAGCAATTTATAATTTCTGTAATTGTTGGATGTATATTTTACTCGTTCATGAGGTGCTCCAATGTTGTACAATGTTCGTCGTGTTATCCCTCTGTCTGTGGAGTTTCAAAGCATCGACCACTAGATACGTAGAAGTTTAATCACTTACGCATATCGAGAGCCGCCGAATTTAGGTACAAATCGTATTATTAGACAATAATACTATAATATATATATACGTATATATTCATTTTCAAACCCTATTATACGATTTATATTGTCGATTTGTTTAAATGTTTTAACTTTTCCGGATATAGTATTTATATCTATATATATTTATATACCTAAAACAGTCACAAAAAATATCGGGCTAAATTGTATTGTCTATGTCTATGACTAGAGTCTTAAAATTTGACAAGTTTGAGCAAGTCTATATAGTATAGTGTGGGGTTAAAAAATTGCTTGATTGATTGATCGGTATTGTCTAAGCCATAGAGTTATCACAAAAGGACAACGAACATCTTCAGTTTATTTTGATTTATATTTTAATTATTTCAAGCTCACATTTTCTCTACAGAACTTAGTCTAATAACAGATCACCAGATCTTGGTAATGGCCAACTAAGGATATATTTACAAACGGGCTGTGATAAAAGCAAAAATAAAAATATGTGACTTATGTCTAATTATGTTGAGCAGTGTTGAATCGTTGCGCTTTGTTTCAACACTGATTAACATAATTAGATCATTAGACACAGGTACATCAATTTGAGGATTTCATCAATTCAACGTGCAGAGCCAATAGCGAGAACTGAGCTGCGTATATCAATAATTTACTTGAACTAAGCTGCCTTGAAATGCATTTCATTCACTCTCTACCCATATATTTAGTCACTTTATTAATCATTGATCTAGCAGTGCTCGGCAGTGCGGAGAAGGATACCTTACATCAACTTATGCTATATCTGTGCCAACTATCCCTAGAGGTGTATTTCAACAAATGAAAGATTTAATTTCCTTGCAAACATGCAAACAAGCTTGAATATTTCTGGCCACATTCTTTGGTACAAGGTACTTCAAGGTGCAGAATCTATATTGAAGAGTATTAAGTGTATAGTACTTTACTCATATCGTATACCAAATAAAGAGAGTAATAGTGGTCAATGGTATATAGGAGCAATAGGAATAAATGTATACAAAGAATACTCTGCAGCTTAAGAACTCCTTGTTCTGCTTGTTAGATAAATAAACATAAATAAATTATTTTTGCTATGTAAGATGAATATTAGGAATCTAAATATAGTAGTAAGTAAGTACAGTGATCCTTAACTAAGGCATCTGCGCTATCAATTTCCCTGCGGTCCTGAATGAATGCTTAAATAGTTTCAAATAGTTTTTAATTTTAAAGATTACAGCACATTTGTCATGATTTATTTTATGAAGTAGATACTGTCGTTACAGTCGTCGTGCGGAAAGGACAAATGCTCAAGTTATATAGGCAGGCAAAGAAAACGATCGTGGACTCAGCCATCGGCGTGTTGAGCAGCAGCAGCAGCGACACGAGCATCAGAGCGACTAGCAACATCGAGGAATTCATGTTGAGCAGTGTCGATTTGAAGAGATACTTTCAGTAAACTTTGAAGTGCGCAATGCTGTAAGTGGCAATGGTCAGTGGCTTTTATAGCCAACTAAGAGCTGGGCATATTTGCACAGTTGCCAACAGCTTTCGCAGGTGAGCTGGCATAGCTGGCATAGCTGGTATAGCTGGCATTGACCCGCATAAGCCCAGATCCAAATATTGACTCGACCCAGTCAGACCAGACCCGGAGAACAATTGCGCTGCTAAATCAATTTAATGCAACAGAAAAAGTCAATTATGCACAGAAGTACGTTCACAGTTTACATAATTTGGTAAATTTTGCAATTTCATTGCAAATGAAATTAATTTAAAAGCGACAATCGTAATTGTATTTGATGGTGTGTGTTGAGAATGTGTGGGTGTGTGTGGGAGTGGGGGAGTGTGCGTAAGTCAGTGTGTGCAGATAATCGCTTTACAGAGTTGCGCCAATGTCAATTTGCCAAAATTTGAAATTCTATTTCAGATAAATGCGTTGGTCAGAATTGAATTTGGCATGTGTTTAGAGTAGCTTTAGAGTAGCTTTCAGCATAAGAGAGCGAAATGAATATCAAATAAATTTAAATTAATGAAGCTTTAGCAGATCATCAAGTAGACCAGTTTCATTTTCCCGAGAAGCTCTCTGTCTACGCAAGTTTTACATCATTGAGTCTAGCTTTCCTTTTATTGATGTATAAAATACTTAAGAACATTTTCAATTAAAAAACATATTTTTAATTTCCGAGATTATTCCAAACTTATCCTAATTAAAGAAAAGTTGGCATATAAGAGTTTTAATTTCCGTATGTTTTATTTCTTACACCAATTTCTAGCCATTGAGCTTATTTAAAAAAAAAATTAATAAATAAAAAAATAAGTCATATTTGTTCAAAATTTATTTTAACTCAATTTCTCAATATATCAAAAGTAAACAAAACAAAGCATCTCTTCTTCTTTTTAAGCACCTTCAGCAAGTTAACAGAATGAAAAAAATTAAAAACATTTATTTTCTGATATCTCTCGCCTACTCTTATTGGATATGGGGTGCGGACTTAGCAACATATCTAATGGTAATGGTAAGAGTATTATTCGTTTTTCAGGTTTCCCTAAAAATATGCTACGCTGAATAAATTTGAATTGAAGACGCATCGTTTGCAACAAAGTTGCTATGTGCTGACTGCTGATTGCGCATTCTCTAATAAATAATTAGCAGGTCGAATTAATGCCAAGCAAGCTGGCTAATTTCCGTAATGCTTCACTGACTTCATTTTCGTATTAAGCCTCTTGAGCTTTATTCTTGTTTGCTTTTTGGCGCCACGCCTCACTAGCCGCCTGTCAATCAGGCCTACCAGCCATATCGTCCTGCATGGCAACTTATTGATTGAGCGCAACAGCTGCGTAAAGCTACTAGCCTTGTCATCAGTTTATGTCCATTATAGTCGCTCGGGCATCAATTTCAATTGCCTGCTGATGGTTAAAAAACTGAAGCTGCCTAAAAGGGAAGAAACAAATACTGAAAAATGTTCTACAATAAATAAGATACAAAAGTATCTGAGGGAATCAAATCAGCCATATAGCGAATATATGTAATATATATATATACAATATATGTAACATATATCATTACCAAAATTAAATGTATTACCTAGAAACAAAAGTATCTGTCGAATACAAATTTATTTATGATACACAAAATTAGCTATGATGTGCGAAAAAAATAACATTATAATAATAGTAATAATAATAATAAAATTACTAATAATAATAAGAGTACAAATAAAAATAAAAATAAAAATTAAATGAATATAAAGATAATAAAATTAAAAAAAAAAATAATATTAATAAAAATAAATATAAAAATAATAAAACGAACATTTATAAAAATAATAATAATATTAATTTTAATATTAAAAATAATAAGAATTTAAATAATAACTAAAAATAATAAGAAAAATAATGCTAATCATTCTACATAGCTAATCGTAGATAATCAAAATTCATATAATTCTAAGAATGTATTGAGAATACATAATTTCATAGAATGTTTTATAAAATAAAAAAAATCGGGCTTTAATTTCAGTTAAAAAACGAAATTACTTAGTGAACAACCCAATAGAATGAAACTAACATTGAGATACAATAGCATCAACGGATGATACTGATGATATATGAAGTAAATATATGAATAATCACGTATAAATTGTAACTCTGACTAGTGAAAACCGTCGATCCATAGCAAAGTAATCTATAAGATAACAAAATATAACAAACGTTAAAAACTATCCTAATACGGTAAGCACCTAATAATACCTATTCGTATATTACAGATAGCATAGCTTCTATAGCGCTTATACTTATACTGTAGATAATTTGTGTTTTATAAATGCAAATAGCTGTCTAACAAATGATGTCAAAAATAATCAAAAATAGCAATAAATAAAGAAATGCAAATAAGAATACCTGTTGCTTGATCGCTTGACCTGGACTGTAAGCAGTGGAATGTAACACAAAAGAGAAAGTATTGTCATGGCCACTAACTCTGTGCCTTTCTCTGCCTCTGTGGTGGCAAGTTAGGGTCCCCCAGCTAAGGTGGGGCAACTGGAAACATTTAAATTTGCCTGCAAAAATACTGTCAAGTATCGCTTACAAGGTAAACTTTTTGGGGCTGTCTGCCAACTGGCAATTAACAAGTTTTTGGCCACAATTCGCAAGTTTGCGAAGCGTTAACAATATTCCATGGCAATTTGGTAGGCGGAAACGGAAGTGCGCATAGCGACACCCAAAGCAGAAGATGGGGCAATGGTTGGCTATGTTAGGGTGCGGGAATTGTGAAGCAGTAGGCGAAAACAGTTCAGTTTTAGCCGCCGATTTGCATACTGCTTAAAATGTAAATAAAGATTCAACTTGATAAACATTACAATAGCAGACGATGCGTGGGCTCAGCTGCTACTGCTGCTGTTGCCGTTGCTGTTGCTTCTTGACAGCTGCGTCATGTAAACGTAGCAAAGGACACAACGTAGTTTAGAGTAGTCAACATATACTCTGATGCTGCTGCCCTCCGCGCCACACAAATCTTGGCTCTCTTTGTGGCATTGGACACGCGCCACAGACACTCATGAATAATGCAACTGTATAAGAGCATAAACAAGCATCCCATATTGTGGGGGCGTTGGCTGCATTACACGCGAGAATCTGGCGAACAATTAAAGCCAAATAATGTTAATGCCAAGCGACAGTTGCTGCAGCCGAATTATGTAAATACCCAGACTTTTGATAAGGGTTATACACACTACACAACACACGAATCGAGCCACCCACGCTCACCCATTCACGCACTCATTTACGCACTCATTCACTCAAATTTGCAAATGCGATTCGATCGGCAACAAAACATTTTTTCAGCCTTTAGCCCACTTCCAAAGAAATCGCAAAAATTCTAAATCAAGCGAAGACCCAACCAACCGCAAATTATGGCATGATTCTTTATGACACATAAAGATAACACCCAAACAAGCCAGAGAACGTGGCATAGGAGTCCAACCCACTGCACAATACTCGTACACGTCGCTCATCAAATATTGATGTTTTCGGCATTGCCTCGCTTCATTATCATGCATTAAATATATTCCCAGAATGAAGTAGACCAGCAATTAGTTACCTGTAGAAGTCGCCAAGCCCGGTCAAGCAGCAAGGCACGCACTGCACGTAGCCAATATACTCTTTTCGTCTAGTGAACGAGCATTACAAGTAAAAGAACATGAATTGTAAATCCATTTACTCACTTTGTCTGCTCCAATTGTCAACTTCCTAAATTGATGTGATATTATAGCTGGATGATTTAGGCCAAAAGGAAGACAATGCCATAAATAAAGCTAGCTATAAATTATTTTAAGAATTGAATCGTAAAATTGAAAAATGTCTTGCGCCACTTGGTCTAATTTAAATTTAAGCTCAATATATCTTCTGTGCTTGCAGCGAATTAAATTATTGTTTGAAATATTTTCAAATACTAGTATTTCAATAATTCTTATAATAATCAATATGGCCAATATGGCCCTGTCATATGGCTCATTAAAGCAATAATAAATACTGCATTTGATTATAATTTTCTTTAACGATTCCATGGAGACGACATGCTAGGAGATACCCTGAACCCTGCTAAAAGGCAATGCTCCAATTATTATACAACACGTGCACACACACATAGACAGGTGCTTGGACCCCAATATGGCCCTTACTATGAGAACTTAGTTGTTGAATAACTTTTCTTCTAGATGGACTTTGTTCAGCCAATTTTCAAATTGTTAAAGCACAAATAATTGAACTACTTTTTTTGTCATCTTCAAAAAGGAAATCTAACGTTCGATTCTTATCGATAATAGAGATAATCGAGAAAATGTATAAACAAGTATAAATTTCCAATTTGAATTCTCTAGAGAGATTGCTGCGTTCATATAGACGGACTGACACACAGACGGACATAGGTAGAGCTCGACTCAGCTCCTAAATAAGAATATCTATGTATACTGAACGCCTTTTACATACATTTTCACAAGACCATTATACACTAAATTCTCATTTTCAATGGGTTTAAAAAATACACAGTCAACTCGGTGATTGAATAAAATATAAAAAATAAATCAAAATAAAAATATTGCTAAGGACAATACGCAACTCCAAATCTGCTGTAAAATGCTTATACCGATAAGCAGTTATTTTAAAAATGTTTCCCCATTAATTAATGAACAGTGGACTCATCAAATAGTAAATAAACTTCATTTGCGCATTTTTCCAATTAGCTCTATGAAAATAAAGCGAAATGACCGAAATGTAACCCAAAATACGTGAGCAACATACAAAAAGAAAACAGTCATAAAAATTAATTAAAGAATTATGAACTGAGGCCAAAATTGAATTTGCTGAAAGTTGAATAAAAATAATTTCCTATCCGCAGACATAATAAATATTAAATTATTAGAACTCAACTAATTTGTTGAAAGTTGAATAAAAACAATTAACTAGATGCAGACATAATAAATATTAAATTATTAGAATTCAATACCAAAAAGAGACATTTTTTATCTTGCTGCCAAATTGATAAAAGTGACGTGATTGTTTTATATATATTATATATATGCGTAAATAATATTTTGGTCAAGCTTAAAACTTATCAAGTCCAAAAGCATTTAAATGCTTTTGCTATTTAATAAAACTGCGTAAAATATGAAGAAATTACAATTGTTTCTATTTGCTTATAGAATGTCTTATGGAATAAATAATATAAATCTAATCTTAACATAAAAAAAACACTAGCCGTTAAACTTGACATATCAAAGGAAAAAGTGAATCTCAGTTACAAGAAAATTTGGCCACTGCTTGGGCCTCTCTGGTTGAATTTCAATTTCACTCGCATATCAAGCATTCAGCATGGGAAGCTTCGCAAATGCAAAGCTCTCACAACGATAACAGCTTTTTGCAACGAAAGCTCTGCATTGATTTCCGTTATTATGAAATAGACTAACTTAAAGTGTTTATAAGGCTGCACAGCGCGGAACAATCGAGAAGATTCTAGAAATCATCAGAGCGCGCCAATGTGGGAGCGAGTTTAAATATTTTAAGTGTAAATTTTGAATATAACAAAAACTCAATAAAATGGTGAAGTTGTCAGTAGACGAAATACGTGGCCTGATGGAGAAGAAGCGTAATATACGCAACATCTCTGTGATAGCCCATGTGGATCATGGTAAGTCGACGTTGACTGATTCACTGGTCTCCAAGGCAGGCATTATAGCGGGCGCCAGGGCAGGTGCCATGCGCTTCACGGATACCCGCAAGGACGAACAGGAGCGTTGCATTACGATCAAGTCAACGTAAGTTGGGCAAAGAAGTGAATTCCTTGAATATTTAGTGATTGCCTAACGCCTTCTGCAGTGCCATTACCATGTACTTTGAGGTAAAGAATGAGGACTTGCGCTTCATCACGCACTCGGATCAGCGGGAAAATGACACAAATGGATTCCTGATCAATCTGATTGACTCACCTGGTCATGTGGACTTCTCCTCTGAAGTAACAGCTGCACTACGTGTCACCGATGGAGCCCTGGTCGTCGTAGACTGCGTCTCCGGCGTCTGTGTGCAGACCGAGACTGTGCTAAGGCAGGCGATTGCTGAGCGAATTAGACCCATTCTCTTCCTCAATAAAATGGATAGAGCTTTGCTCGAACTTCAATTGGACTCTGAAGAGCTGTACCAAACATTTCAGCGCACCGTGGAGAATGTCAACATAATCATAGCCACCTACAACGACAGTGGCGGACCCATGGGCGATATCTCTGTTGACCCTTCAAAGGGTTCCGTCGGTTTCGGCTCAGGCCTACACGGCTGGGCGTTCACTTTGAAACAATTTGCCGAAATGTATGCTGATAAATTCAAGATCGATGTGGAAAAGTTGATGAAACGGTAAGCTCAACCTGAAAGCAACCGTCTCAATTGGTTGCTTTAAGGCTTTCTAGAATATACAAAGCTTTTTCTGTTAGCGCCTTCTCTTATCTGATCTATAGCCAGTACTCCCTTCTTGGGGTTTAGAACTAACTATTCAAATTCGTCTCAATTAGTTTTCCATTTAAAATTGATCTGATCTATATCTTACATAAATTACATTATTTTAATTTTCGAAATATTTAATTTTTTCATATATTTGTATATAAATTGTACATTTTTTCCATAGTCTGTGGGGCAGCAATTTCTTCAATGGCAAGACGAGAAAATGGCAAAAGCATCCCGATTCGGATAGCAAACGATCATTTTGCCTTTACATTCTCGATCCCATTTACAAGGTATTCGATGCCATAATGAACTACAAAACAGAGGAAATCGCGCGACTGTTGGAGAAGATCGGGGTTAAACTGCAACCAGAGGAGCAGGCGGAACAGGGCAAGGTACTCCTTAAGACGGTGATGCGCAATTGGCTGCCTGCGGGCGAAACTCTTCTACAGATGATCGCCATCCATCTCCCATCACCAGTTTTAGCCCAAAAGTACCGCATGGAACTGTTGTACGAGGGTCCTCAGAGTGATGAGGCGGCGATTGCCATAAGAAACTGCGATTCGGAAGGTCCCCTAATGATGTACATCTCGAAAATGGTGCCCACCTCGGACATAGGACGTTTCTATGCGTTTGGCAGAGTGTTTGCCGGCAAGGTGGCCACCGGACAAAAGTGCCGCATCATGGGGCCCAACTATGAGCCCGGCAAGAAAGAAGATCTGTACGAAAAGTCAATTCAACGTACGGTCTTGATGATGGGGCGTACCGTGGAGGCCATTGAGGATGTGCCAGCGGGCAACATTTGTGGTCTGGTTGGCGTGGATCAATTCCTTATAAAAACAGGCACAATCACAACCTTCAAAGAGGCACACAACATGAAGGCAAGTCGAGCCCGTCTAACTCAAGAAATAACTGTATTATAATTGATATTACGCAACTGCAGGTCATGAAGTTCTCCGTATCGCCCGTTGTGCGTGTGGCCGTGGAGCCAAAGAACCCAGCTGATTTGCCCAAGCTAGTGATTGGTCTGAAGCGTCTTGCCAAATCTGATCCCATGGTGCAGTGCATAATTGAAGAGTCCGGCGAGCATATCATTGCAGGCGCTGGTGAACTGCATTTGGAGATATGTATTAAGGATCTAGAGGAGGATCATGCCTGTATTCCACTCAAAACGTCAGATCCTTTGGTCTCCTACCGCGAAACTGTCCTCGAGCAGTCTAATCAGATGTGCCTGTCCAAGTCGCGCAACAAGCATAATCGCCTGACCATGAAAGCCGATCCAATGCCCGATGGCTTGGCCGAGGATATTGACAATGGCGTTGTCTCTGCCCGAGAGGAGTTCAAGAAGCGAGCACGTTTCCTCAGCGAGAAATACGGCTATGATGTGAGTGAAGCACGTAAAATCTGGAGCTTCGGTCCCGATTGCACTGGCGCCAACATCATTGTGGACTGCACCAAATCGGTACAGTATCTGAACGAGATCAAGGACTCGGTTATTGCAGGCTTCCAGTGGGCCTCCAAAGAAGGCGTACTAGCCGAAGAGAACATGCGGGGTGTACGCTTTGATATACACGATGTGGTTGTTCATGCTGATGCAGTGCATCGTAGCGGTAGCCAGATCATTCCAACAACAAGACGCTGCCTATACGCCTCAGCTATTACAGCGAGTCCACGTCTGCTAGAGCCAGTGTACCTCTGCGAGATCCAAAGCCACAATTTAGCCGTGGGGGGCATACACAAAGTGCTCAGCCGACGTCGTGGTCATGTCTTTGAGGAGTCTCCAGTCCCGGGAACACCCATGTATATGGTTAAATGCTATTTGCCAGTTAACGAATCCTTCGGTTTCACTGCCGAACTGCGCACCAACACACGGGGCCAGGCCTTTCCTCAATGTGTGTTCGACCATTGGCAGCTACTGCCGGGAGATCCATCCGAGCCCAACAGCAAGCCCTACCAAATTGTTCAGGCGACGCGTGCACGTAAGGCTCTCAAGCCAGGAGTACCCGACCTTTCGCAATATTTGGACAAGTTGTAATTTAATCTCACTACAGTTTTAATCATAAACAAAAAACCATGACGACAATTTGCTCTTCAAATTGACATACTGTGAAGCTATGACAGTATTAATTCCTATTCATCATATATATGTATTTTATACTTTTGTATTATACAAAATACATGTGATATATATTAAACATAATAGTAATAGTAAAAGAAATACTTTTAATTGATTTAATTAAAATTCATTGGCAAATTCAAACATGATTAGTTTTCTTTGTCTCTAATCGATTAGTAATATTATATGAGGCGTAAAAGCTTCTTAGTAGACGCACCTCATTCAGATATAATAACTATCGCAAGTTATGGCCACCCTATGTATCGATATCACACATGTCTTGCTGCTAGTGAAATGATTGCTGCCGCCTGCAAGCTGAATTAAAAACAAAAATTAGGTATGTCAGCTGTGGAACAGGACCCCGTCGAATTGATGCTGAAGAAAACGGGCTGCATTGAGCTACACTACAAGGTACAGGAGTGCATTGCAGAGACGGGTGACTGGCGTATGTGCCAGGACAAAGTGAAAGAGTTCAAGGCGTGTATGCAAAAATATGTGGATCAACAGACCAAAAAATACGCCAATGTTAAGTAAAATGATACAAAAACTTCTGAGCACCAGCATTGTAGCAAATCCAACCAAACTGGCGCTTGTCGTTCGCGGCGACCTAAAGATGAGCAAAGGCAAAACTGCGGCACAATGCGCACACGCCGCTGTCCTTTGCTACCAAAACGCATCCCACGGCAGCGAGACACAAAATGCTTTACTCCAACGCTGGTGCCGAATGGGACAGCCAAAAATTGTACTTCGTGCAGACAGCTACGAACAGTTAAATGGTCTACAGCTGCGGGCACAAGAGGCGCACGTTGTGGCTGCGTTGGTCAGGGATGCTGGACGCACACAACTGGAGCCTGGAACAGCCACGGTTCTGGGACTGGGACCTGCAGTAGCTGCCGATGTTGATAAGCTGGTTTCTCATTTAAAACTTTTATAAAGAGCATATGCAATAATTAGGTTTTCATTTAAATTACGTAATTAATAATAAAGAGTGATCTAGTCGAGTGTTCCAACTAGTAAGTACTCTGAATTGCCTGCACAACTGAAGTTTTAATTATTTTAACTTAATATCTATATGTACAGTATAATACAAAATAAGTATTTGTTTTTATTTTAAGAGAATATTTATACGAAATTTGGTGAATCAAGTTACTGAAGGTAGATATTAAATTTAATCGATTTGATGGAAACTGCGCGCGCTAATTAGCATCCTGTTTAAGAGTCCGTTATAACGTAATCAACAACAATATATTCAGTTTACCCGGGGCTTATGGATGATTTGGAACACGCATTCAGACATTTCTCTTACCACCGGACATGGTGGAAATGGTTAAGGACACCGCTTGACCAAACATTTCTACCAAATCAGAGGTCACTCGTTCGGTTATCTGACGTAGTTTTCCATTCGATTCGCCGCAGATAAGGCGCTCAATTCGAGGCGTGGGGCACTGAACCGTAACCGAGGTGTAGACCACATCTATAATTGACAATAATTATAATAACAGTAATTTAATTAATCGTACAAGGCATACGCTTCTCCACATTGTAGTACTCCAGCTCGCATTTCAGATTATAGGGAATTTCCTGTGGCAGATAGTCGAGTAAACGCGCTCGCACGCTTTCCACAATTAACGTCTCAGGTGTTTCATCTGTATACACGTCAGCTGGGTAGCGCCAACGTCTTGGTTTGGCAAAATCTACTAAATAATCCTGCAGCTCTTGCAATCCACTGCCCGTGATGGAGGACACCAAGAAAACATCACTAAAATGATTCCAACTGGTTTCGCGCTGATTCAAACGGACGCCTATTGAATCGCTTTGCAGTGAAACTTTTCTATCAGCCCTCTTGTTGCGCAGAGTATCATTCGTCAACGTCTTAATCAGATCCAAGAGGACACGTTTTGATTTTAAGGCATCAACTTTATTGAGCACCAAAAAACTAGGCAATTGGGCATAGGTCTTCAGCGTGTCGATCACTGTGGGATGTAAAGCTTTGCGCGTCCAACTGTTGGAGGCATCCTGCATAACAGCTATAATATCCGCATGTTGAATGGCATGACGATAAGCACTTTTAAAGCTCTGCTCTAAATGATGTTTCCGTATTTCGTTTTGAGTCACCAAGCCGGGTGTATCGTAGAATACGAGCTGCGCCTGTCCCGTAGTCAAAATTGCGGTGTTAGCCTTTCGCGTTGTATGTACCTTCGCAGAAGTGGGACATACCTAAAATCGAGGTTGTTTAGTTTTTACATTGCCAACTATTTATGTCTCACCTTATGATTGATTATATTGTTGATAAAGGTACTTTTGCCAACATTTGGGACTCCAATTACGGCTATGTGCAACGACCGCTGCTGCTCTTCCCTGTTGCTATCGCTGTCAATCACCTCTGTAGGTTGCACAGGCGGCGTCGTTGATAAAGTATTTTGTCCACTAGCCTGTGTTGTAGAAGATAAGCTATGTACACTTCTTGTCCATAAGCTGTTTCTATTGCATTTAAGCAATTTTAAAGAACTTTGCAGCCAATATAAACGCATCGCGGTAATGTGACTGCCAAAGCTATCGATAAGTATTGATGTCTGCAACTGGTACGCAACTCACATTAATTACACCAATAATGTTTATCGGCACGTACATATATATCGATATACATTGTTTTACAGAGAATTTCGGTTAATAAACTCAATTTTATTTTGTTGAAACAAAACAAAAGCGGAAATTTGTAAACTTAAGTATCTAATATTAACATTAGTAATTTTGCATTGCATAGGTCTCAGCAGGTGTCACAGTTAATATGTATATATATGTAAATCAACATTCACATTAAAATGTGTTGCTTGCTTTACAACTAAAATACCACAATTAAATACCAAATTAGGGGTAGAGAAAGTTAGGGAGGGTTTAAAAATTCCATTAAACTATAGTTTTGTACTATTCAAACAAAACTGTATCGTGCTCTTGCACTGAATAGAAATCCAATGTTTTGGCATTGTTTTCTAGATGTACCACAAGTTCCGGATGTTTGGCATCTATATAGCATAGTTGCGGAATTTCTCCTGTTAGGCGAAAGCGCTTCATGACCAGTCCTTGCAACGTTTGCACCGTTATCATGCGTGGCACTTTTTTCTCCCACACTTCACCTGTCTTCCTATGCTGTATGTGGACTTTAATGAGATTCGATGGCTTGGCTTGGATACGTGGCACAAAATCAGCTGGCGACCCATATTCTGTGCAAAAGGAGGGCACCATTTCAAAGTCAACGATTATAATTTGTTAACAATAACAACTTACTATTCACAATCTGCAGGTAGCTCCGATGTTTTTTGTAGAATTCGCGTAGAGCATCTGCACCCGATTTGGTTGCCTGTAACCAGTCTAAAGCATATTTCTTCCATATATCATATTCGGCACCTCGCCGTTCCTCGGCAGTTACCTTGGCCTTATTGATAACCTGCAGTCCGGCTATGCTGGCCACTGCTTTGGAAAACATTTCATCAAAATTTGACTTCAAATGCGGCGTTTTATTCAAACGCTTCAATTGCGGTAATTTGTCGAGCTCGTTAAAGGCCTCAGTCTGATAAAATAAATGTTTACAACTGTGAAAAAATTCATTTTTAATTGGCACTCACCTCATTCCATATGGGATTTTGCATTAGACTGAGCTGCTCCAGTGACAAAAACATATTTAATTTCGCGTGCGGCTCACAATCTGGGAGCTGTAGTTGCTCAATTCCATTCTCAATAAGATTAAGCACACTCAAGGTACTAATATTGCCCAGCTTGCACACCTGATCAAAATCCATTAGTTTAGTGCGATGCAAATCCAGCTCACGCAGCTGTCGAAAAATTTTTTTACAGTCGACCTCGGCCAATTGACTTAATGCATTTTCCTGTAGACTCAGCGATTCAATATCCGGCCATAGCAGTGCCGTTTGCATCACATCCTGCCAATCCGTAAAGCCACAATTGCCCAAATTAATATGCTTCAAGTGACTAAAAGAGGGAGCCAACTCATTGACTTGTTTATCTGTGGGCAGCAGCAGACGGTTGGAGCTGTAAAGAAAAGTAATTATAAAAAAGGGTTATTATATACAGAATCTCCAAGCCTTACCCCAAGTTTAAGCTATTGAGCAATGGTAATTGCTGCGTTATGCTAGCCACAATCTCCCAATTCCAGATGAGCGTGTGGCTCACATTGAGTGTCGTTAGCTGTGAGAGATCCTTCAGGTAGCCTGCAGCATTGACTGGCGTCTCATCCACGCTTACCTCCGACAGTTGTTCAAATTTGCTTTGCTTGCGCGCTATCTTATCCATGCCCACCACCTCAAAGAGTGATGCCTGCATTGAAGCCTGTGCCTCACGTATCAGAGACGTATCTACATTCTTAGAATCGTAATTTGAATAACGCTCGCGTGCCTCATCCTCCAGCGTGGCACACGGTCCTAACTTGCCAGGACGTATAAAACTGCCAGCTGTGGGTAATTGCGTTTGGAAGTATCGCTTGCCATCGACCATGCCATTGTGCTTGCCCCTCAGCCCATCGTCCCACTCGATGCCTAGCCAAGTGCCGCAGTGCCCGTTGACCTACAATGTATATTGCATTGGCTTATACAAGCTGAAATTACATTTGTAAGCACACCTACCTCGCCGACGTATTTAACGGTGCCATAATTGTTGGCGATTTTGATGCGTGTGCCCAACGGATAAAACAGCTGCGCCTCATCAATAACTCCAACCATTGTTGTTTTTGTTTTCGTTCCTTACAAGGCCTACTACGTCTGTGTGTACACGTTTCTTTACCAGTACGTCTTTTCTATAGCATGTAAGTCACATAAATAATGATAACATACAGTTATAAATTAATTTTCGCTTAGATTTTATAATTAAATAAGAAAATTCTCTATTTTGTATATGATTGACTCACAGTAAACAATTACAGGGCTGTTCACACCAGGGCTAAAGCACTTTTACTAAAGCAACACACAAATTCGTTCATCAATCGTTATGAAACGATATTTACCACAGCTGCGGTCATTGCAAGTATTTTAGTCTTTGCTAGAAACAGCCACACAGCGTTTGGTATTTTGTGTTGTCGAATTGGATATAAGTCTGCTTATTTCGTTTATTATTTATACGAGTTAAACACATTTGCATTTGTTAATGGCTAAGCAACCCTATCTGTTTGCACATGTAATAAGAGTAATACCCGTATTTATCACACTAGACGTAGTCTAATGAAATTCTGCTAAGAAACCGGTATGTAATAAGAAAGTAAACACCGGCCGAATCGCATAGCCAAGTGACCGACAGAAAACGGTACATCCCCAAAATATACAAATAACTATCCGAGGCCTGTAACAAAGGCAGCAGAGTCTGCCACGTCAGCATTAAAAACACTCGGAAGGAGCAATCCACAGCCGAATAACTTAAATCTGTAATTTTATTGCATTTGTAGTTGAGTGATCGTCAATTCAGTTTCCGATTTGCAATCGGGAAGTGCACAAGTAGCAAAAAAATCAGATTTGAAATATGTCCGCAAATAATGAAGATGACAAAGTCGAGGTTAGTTATTATTTTTAAAATATAATTTACATTTCAGGCTTATGTTTTCAATTTAACTCAGGCACGAAGCTACCAACTGCGCCTTGTGGAATACATTACTAAACGAAATGGTATTATTTATTTGCCCACTGGCTCGGGCAAGACCTACGTGGCCATCCTGGCCATCAAGCGTTTCTCCCAAAACATGGACAAGTGAGTGGAAACACTTAGCTATAACATTTAATTTACTCAAATAAATACCAACAACGCTCTAGTCGAAGCGCTATATGTATATTTACACACTTATAACCACATACCAAACCCTATACAGTATTGGAGCAAAAATTGCTAAGCTTTTCAGGAATGCCAAATGCTACGTGCGAAATGCTAATTTCTTGTTTTGCCAGTACGAAATCAAAATAATACTAATAATTGTAATATTTTGAACAACTGTATGTGCGCACAAATATTCCTGATCGATATAGCCATGTTTTTCCGTTTGTGTGGACTGAGCATCAAGCTTGTGAACCTAGATAGGGAATTTCCAACTTGTGTTGAAAAATATGTTCTAGAAGCAATGAGAACGTGAGAGAGCTCGATTACTCATTTCAGTGTGTATTCCGCTTATCTTATAATTTTACTTAATATACACAAGCTGAAGAATAAGTAAAAACCGTGAGTTTACTATTAAAATGGCATAGGTATTATAATACACTAATAAAATGTATGTGATTAGAAAAAACTTAAAAATGATGTGCTAAAAGTGGAGTATTTATTTTTATTCTTAAATTACTTTTTGATTGCTCAATTCAAAATAATTTTTACAAATTTTGTGCTTATGCCCTTTTTGTAACAGAAAATAGAACAATTTATTGTTAAGCCGCTAAGAACATACGATTATATACTCTGTAATTAACTTGTTATATATATATATTTATTTATGAAGCGATAGGCATAACCTATATATTCATATCAAGCGGAAGCTGTGTTCTGCCTATCGCTTGACTCTGTAATTAACTTGTTATGTATAAATTAATATCCTTCCAGTCCTGTGGTGGCTGAAGATTAGGTTGAGAGGCGACTGTGCCTCTTATTGCTGGCCTCGGGCTCAGACAATGAAACAAGTTATTTAACGGCCAAAAGCCGGAGTGAATATTTATTTAAGCGACTTATTGGAAGAGCTCTGTATTCAAAACTGAACTCTAATTAGACAGAATATTTCACTTAAGCTAAGCCAAAACTCGCATCACGCCACAATGTCATGGTCGGCAAGCCGACTCAGCGAAAATCTTAGGCAATAACGGAAACTCTTGCAGCAAAACAAAAGTGTCCGGTTACCGCCGCTGACTATTGCAGCTATAGCGTGCTGATACATAGTATGCATTGTCGCAATTGCGAGGGCTGTTCCTTAACTTATGGAGCACGCGATAGCGAGGGTTGATTAATATCTTATATTAAGTGTTGTGTTAACTTATATATACAGTCTACAATACAGTTTGTAATGTGTAAGATATATTTTTGTAATCGTGTGTTCTTCTATATAGCGATACTTATGAAGTTAATATATATTGAAATATTTCAGATCGATCGAAGAGGGCGGTCAGCGTGCTTTATTCCTTTGCAACACCGTTGAGTTGGCTCGACAGCAAGCTATCTGTGTGCGAAAGCTTACGAACTTCAAAGTCGGATTCTATGTCGGCGAACAGGGCACGGATAGTTGGAAAAAAAACAAATGGGATGAGGAAATACATAATAATCAAGTGAGTTTCTCTATAAGCAAACATGATTGTTACTTTTTGTTTTATGTGATCTTCATTTTTATGCCTTTCTTTTCTTTAATACGTGTATAAAAATTCAGAAATGATATAGAGCTTTCTCAATTTGTTTCTGTATATAGTAAAACATGAGTCATTCCAGCAAAGTAATTTTGATTAATTTTATCAGCAACTGTTTGCACGATCGCAACTCCACAAAATTAAGAACCTCGCGCTAAGCTTTTTTCTTGTTTTACAAAACAACCTTGGGCCATTCTTTTCAGTTTTCAGTTTTCACTTCATGAATGAGTTCAAAAATATATTAGAAGCTTGTTTATTGTGGAAGGGCAGTAAATGTTCTTATTAACATTTGCTTTGATTGCTTAATTTATTTATGAATTGACTTTGAATTCTTATTACAGGTACTGGTGGCCACAGCTCAGGTGATACTCGATTTAATTAGCGAAAATTTCATGTCACTGAGTTCGGTGAGCATTGTGATTATAGACGAATGCCATCATGGCACTGGCAAGCACCCATATCATGAGTTTATGAAACTTGTCCAAATGAAAATGGAATCAGGTTTCAAAAAGTTGCCCCGAGTCGTTGGACTGACCGGCGTCCTGATTAAAGGCAACGAAATCAAGGATGTGTCCAAGAAGTTGAGAACACTCGAAACCACATATTGTGGCAATATAATCACCGTCTCTGACACCAAAGAATTGGAGAACGTAATGCTGTAAGTTAAAACCCACACTCTCACTCACACACACACACTCTGAAATATATAAATATTAACTTATTCCAGTTACTCGACAAAACCGAAAGAATACCTAATTACATATGACTCCAAAATGCACCAGTTTGAAAAAATTGAAGAAATGAGGCAACGCATCTTAAAATACTTTACGGTACTGGATCTCCAAGAGATTGGGCATCAGCCGGTGCGCATGTCGAAGGGAATGCGAATGCAGCGTGATCCGAATAAGAAGAGCGCCATTAAGCAAATGCTTAATGACTTTCTATTCCAAGTAGATAACTATGGCATCTATGCGGGATCCATAGCAATCGTCTCCGTGTTAGTCGACTTCGAAATTAAGCGGCGACAGGCTGAGACACTGAGCTTGCGGAATATGTATCGCTCAGCTATCACGCTCTGCGAGAGCGTGCGTCATACGCTGGTTTCCAAGATGCGCGACATGTTGGACGATGATGAGATGTCTGACGACATGCTCAATACAGAGGATGTGATCATGAACTTCTCCACGCCGAGAGTGCAATTATTTTTGCAGTATCTGAAGCAAACCTTTGCCAACAAGCAGCCCAAAGACATTTGCTGTCTGGTCTTCGTGGAACGTCGCTATACATGTAAATGTATCTATGGACTGCTACTTAACTATATCGCAGCCACTCCAGAGTTACGAAATGTAATTAGTCCACAATTTATAGTTGGACGTAATAGTATCTTCCACGATTTCGACAACATTCTCGAAAGACGCTGGGGGAAAACGGTAAGGGATAGTTACCAATATAAATTCATTTATTTGCGTAACTTATTGTTGATCTAATACTTTGAATCGTTCGCTTTGCTTGGGTAATAACCAATCTGATTCCAATCATTATTAATTTCGCACGAGTTTAATAGTTATTGCTCACTTTTAATGATTTTGATTTATTTCTTATACCCTGCTCGCCTTGAAAATTGGACTTCAAGTTGAATGGCTTGGTGCAAATGTGTGAAACTCGATGACAAAGAGCTGAGTCACCTTAGCCGTGCCCGTATGTTCGTTATCCTCATCCTTTCACACCTTTATAAAGTTTTTAGTTCCATGTTATCGTTATCTTGACTTGGCTTTTCAGCCATTCCCTAAATACCATCATTGCTTGCGAATAGAGAGAGTAGACACCTATGATTAATATACAGATTTTACATATTTTAAAAAAAAGACCTGCAGAATAGATTCAGGCTATCAGTCAAAACTTTAGGTTTTAAATTAAAATTGATTTTTATTCACGCAGGCCATTCAAGAATTTCGTAATGGTGAGGCAAACTTGATGATATGCTCGAGCGTCCTAGAGGAAGGCATAGATGTACAGGCCTGCAACTATGTGATCATATTGGATCCGATAAAGACGTTTAACATGTATGTGCAGACCAAAGGGCGTGCACGCTCAAAGGAAGCATCATTCATTATCATCACGTCTGATCAGGAAAAGCAAAAGACAACGACGCAGATACTACAGTATCGGAAGGCCCACGCCGACATCGGGGAATATCTAAAAGATCGTGTACTAGAGCGTGCAGATCCCCAAATGGACGAAATCAACGAGCACTTCCAGGAAGATATTCCGCCGTTCATCAGTGCAAAGGGTGCCGTACTGCTGGCTAGCAGCGCCCTGTCCCTAGTGCATCGCTACTGCCAGCAAATGCCATCTGATGCCTTTGGCATTGTCCTGCCTTGGTTCAAGCTGCTCGATCCACCGGAAAGCCAAAAATTGAGCAAAGATTGTCGTAAATGTATTGTATCCATCACTCTGCCGTTGAACTCAACGTTACGCGAAACACTCTACGTAAGATACTAGCAATATATTTCCGTGATGCTCAATCTCAAGCCTAACGATCTATTGTCTCATAATTAACAGGGCGACCCCATGTCTTGTTCACATTTAGCCAAGGTCTCGGCGGCATTTAAAGCCTGTGTCAAACTCTACCAATTAGGGGAACTGAACGAGCGCTTTTTGCCCACAACAGTAAATGAACGCGTTGCCGAGATCGCCAATATTCACTTCGAGCATTGGAAGAAGTACGGCGACAATGGTGTGTAATGATCTTTTCTCCAAATGGGAAATTGACTTGCATTGAATTCGTGGAATTTAAGTTTCAACAGAGTCTCTCGATTGGCTTGGAAACGTGACAAGCTTCAAATTACATCAACCAATTTGAAAAGCTTGCACAGCATGTTGTTTGGCCCTATTGTTGTAGTCTATTTCAAAAGCTACAATCATATCATCACAAAAATGCATGGATGAAATGACTTGCCAAAAGGTTCAATTCTCTCGAAAATTGACTTTTTTAATGAGTTCAGATCAAAACAGTAAGATACCAGCTACAGCTAAGCCAAGTATCCGGAGTGGCGGAGAAATGCAGCCCAAAGAATTGGCCCCTGTTGCCAGCAAAAGTCATAACAGCAGCGACAACAATCGCAAACCCTTCCGAAGCTCTGGTATAATTTATTTGCATAACCAGAAAATTTATTCCAAATGGATAATGATTATAAATAATATGATATGCTTATAAGCAAATGAGACAATAAGATATCTTATTGTATACGTTTTGTCTACTTGCAGTCACCTCTAACCGTAGAGATCGTGAAGAGACCAACAGCAGCCTGAAAACCTATGCCATCAAATATCCAGAGGAGTTGAACGACGCGATGCCGCAGGTGGGAACGGAATGCTATGCATATGAGGTTACTATGGAGGCACACTACGATCGCAACGACTATACGAGTCACATCTACGATTCACTGCAGACGCGCCGCAACTATGCTCTGCTGCTGAGGAAACGATTGCCGCGCTTGGCCGAGATGCCGCTATTCAACCATCAGGGCAAGATGCACGTGCATGTGGCCGAAGAGCCATCAAAGGTGGTCATACAGACCGAGGAGCAGTTGGAACAGCTTCAGCATTTTCATGTAATGATCTTTCGCGATATCCTGCGTATTTGGCAGCCCTTCTTTGTGCTCGATCGCCATAGTAATGAGAACTGTTTCCTTGTGGTGCCTCTGTCAGCGACGCCTGGCGTTGGCATCGATTGGCCACTGGTGGAGCACTTCCAACGGCTGCCAAAGGCACAAGCCAGAAGCCTCGCAGAGCGCCACCAAATGCCGCCACCGAATCCACAGGACTATGTGGGCACAGTTGTAACGCAATGGTATGCCAACTATGATGAGAAACGTATGATGGTTACTAAGGTGCACACGGATCTGTCGCCCTTAAGCATGATGGAGGAAAAACAGCAGGGCAAGAGCTACTATGAATTCACTATGGCAAAGTATCGGAACTACATAGGCGATGTGGTCCACAAGCAGCAGTTCCTACTCGAGGTACGCGAGCTGTCCGATCAGCTGAATTTCTATGTTCAGCAAAGGGTCAAATCCTCGGCACAGAGCAAAGCGCGTGCCAAAGTGATGCTTATCCCTGAGCTGTGCTTTAATTTCGGCTTTCCCGGAGATCTGTGGGTGAAGCTGCTCTTCCTGCCTAGCATATTGCGACGGTTGCACTTCATGCTGCATGCTGAGACGCTGCGCGTTCGAATTAATGAATACCTCGGACTGGACAAGATGCCACAGAACGGAGTGGATTATAGGCCGCGAGCATTGGAGATTGATTGGTCGCTGCGCCGCAATGTTGATCACCAGGGCAATGCGATGCATGCCGATGATTGCGAAGAGCCGCGTCCGCTGCTCGAGCCGTTGCCTACCAAAGGAGTAGAGAAGGCAATGGAAAGGCTGAATATAACCGATCTAGAGGTACCCTGGCAGCAGTATATGGAACCGCGCGATATTGATCGCAACGTCATGACTACCTATCCCGTGGAGCTTTCATATTTCTTCAATTTCACCAGGGGAAAGAATAACTGTTTCGATAAGATGGAAGACGACGACAAGGAGCTCTGGACCCAGAGGCAGTTTAAAATGTCCGAGGGCAACATATACAGCTGTCAAGCACGTTCAAATAAGCTGCCCGCCCTAATGCCCGCCAGCATGGATAATGGCAAACGTGTCGAGCAGGTAGTGTTATCTGTGCTGCAGCACAGCATTTCCAATGAGCATATAACTCCGGCGGAGCAGGGCGAATACCTGGCAGCCATCACGTATGCGGGCAGTGTCGACGTCTTCGATATGGAGCGATTCGAGCTGCTCGGCGATTGCTTTCTCAAGCTAAGCGCCACTCTCTATTTGGCCAACAAGTATCCCGACTGGAATGAGGGCATTCTAACGCAGGTTAGTATATATATATATAATCAACCAATCAAGTTGGTGGATTTATCTTTATAATTGCTTCTTTCAGGTGAAGTCGACGCTGGTCTCTAATCGAAATCTTTTGTACTGCCTCAGCGATACGGACATACCCCATCGCATCTGCAGCACCCTCTTCACGCCAAAATACACTTGGCTGCCGCCTTGTGTGGCCTTGCCACAGAATGTGAAGGAGCTTTGGAAGGAGAATCCGTGCTTGGCAGCGCTGGTGGGACCACACAATTTGCGAAATTTGTCCATCAGCGAGGAGGAGCTGTTCGGTGATGGCAATTGCGGAAAGCAATCACTTAGTAACTTTATCAGCGGCTGTCAATCCAATCAGCATTCTCATCATGCGGGCACGGACTTTAGCAGCGAAATCAACTTTTGCTTGGGCCAGGTGCAGATGCCCAATAAACTGATCGCCGACACGTTGGAGGCGATATTGGGCGTGGTTGTGAAGAATTATGGACTGCATCACGGCTTCCGTATGCTGGAATATTTTGGCATTTGCAAGCCGGACATTGGCAAACCGCTCACCCAGTTGCTAGACCTTAAACTAGGTGGCTCCCGCATGCGCACCAATATATCGCAGCGCGAAGTGGATGGTTTCTTGATAAATCATCAATTTTTGGAGCAAAATTTGGGTTATACTTTCCGCGATCGAGCCTATCTGCTGCAAGCGCTGACACATCCCTCAAATCCAACAAACCGTTTGACGGGTTGCTACCAGGAACTTGAGTTTATAGGCGATGCCATATTGGATTTCCTCATCTCAGCTTACATATTTGAACACAAAACTCGCATGACACCTGGTCAGTTAACGGATTTGCGCTCGGCTCTGGTTAATAACACGACTCTGGCTTGCATTTGTGTGCGTCATCGATTCCATTTCTTTATTCTGGCAGAGAATGCACTGCTTTCGGAATCCATTCAGAGTTTTGTGCAGTTCCAGGAGACGCAGCACCACCGCGTTACTAACCATGTGCGTATTCTCATGGAGGAAAAGGATGTGCAGCCGGAGCCTCTCGACTCCGATGACGAATTGGAAATGGCCGAGCTGGCGGCCAAGCAACCAAAGCAAACAATTAAAGACGCCAATTCCCCGCAAGAAGGCGAATTTAACATTTCGCATAACGTGGAGGTGCCCAAGGCCCTGGGTGATGTGCTGGAAGCGCTTATCGCCGCCGTTTATCTAGACTGCCGGGATTTGAACACCACCTGGCAAGTGGTCTACAAAATGTTTGAGCCCGAGCTACTCGAATTCTCCCGTAATGTGCCACTCAATCCAATCCGTCAGCTTTTTGAGCACAAGCTAGCAAAGCCCACCTTTAGCTCGCCTGTCATGGACAATAACCTTGTGATGGTCACCTGCCAATTCATCTGCATGGACAAGACCATGAAGGTCTATGGCTTTGGCAGCAATGGCAAGCAGGCCAAGCTCTCAGCTGCGAAGCATGCACTCCAAAAACTGGCCAAATGCGATGTATAGGTCTTTATTTTTAAATTTTCATTTGCATTTTTACTTTGCTCTCCATTTTTTATAACTTTGAGTTCACTAGTAATTACTCGATGTATGCAGTGTCGCATAAGAATATAAAATATGATTTTATAATTCAATGTTTTTAACTATGTTTCAAGCAGAGAAATATGTATCAAATATATTTGAAAAATATATATATTTTATGCAATAAAATTTGTATTTAAAAATTAAATGAAATTCAATATTTATCGTTTAATTGTGCTCCATTTATGTTGTCTAGTGCTCCACATGGCTACACTTTAAGGAACACTATATCTAATATGCCTATGTCTATCATATCTCTGTCAATGGAATATGAGAACTTAAGTTATATTATCTAAATGATAAGATATCTGAAATGTAGTGCACTTCAAATATTAATAGCTCAAGTGTCTATATGTACGTTGCGGTCGGTAAAGGAAGTTGTCACAATTATACCGATTTGATAAACAGATAATATATGAATCAGAAATGGTTACATTTCTTTACAATATTTCATTGTGTTCTTGCAGCTTTTGCGCCAACAGGTAGAAGATTGTTCACAATTAACCAATCCTGAAGCTAGTAGTAGTAGCTGTCCTCATCTCTGTCTATGAGTGCTCACCTAAGCTTAATATTGCCAAATCAGTAGGGATAATAAATAATTATGTATTGAAATAAGGCGCAACAAATTTAATTGAACGTCCATTAGAATTTAGTTATTTTATTAGTTTGCGTTTTTATTTACGGCGTGCATAATTTATTTAAGTTTCTTTACAATTTTTTATTTACAAAATGCTGGGCGCATTACATGATAATTATCAATAAACTGGTTTTTTGCATTCGCTAATGATTTAGGCAAGTTTCCAGAGATTCGTTGCACGATTCCAGTTATTAATGATTCTTGTTATTGTTGGGGCCCGCCACTGGTTTACAATAGTTGGAGTGCTTATAGTTTACTACATATAATATACGTTAACATATTGAAAGAAACTTGTACAATTAGTTCAGCAATTGAAGGTGAGGTGTCATTAAATCAAAAAAAAAAAAGAAACGAATCAACATTTTGGAATGCCACAAATTACACAGCGCAGCTACAGTCAAACGATTTTTAACAATAGAAAAGAAATACATTACATACACATATATTTAAAACTAAGGCTAACGCGGTTTCGTATCAAGTAGTTGGAGGCTAAATGAGATTAACTTGCTCACCTAAACTAATACACAGATATTGTTGAAGTGCGTACCCTACAACTCGGGTTAAGCTTTACTCCTTATATCATCTACACCCGACATGTGCAGTCGGGTTTGTTAATACTGCGCTGTCTTGTTTGTAGATTACGCAACGCAGCTCCGCCGTACTGGATGCCACTACCAATGCGTTCAGGATCCAATTCGCCCGTCTCTATTTTGGCCAAAATAGTCTTTGAACACTTCAGAAATGCCTCCTCTACATTCTCACCCGTCTTAGCGCTCGTCTCCAGAAATATCAGCTCTGAAATATAAAGATAAAATATAGATAATCTAATTCAATCCTGACTAGTGATGATTGACAAACCATTCTCCTGGGCAAATGTGCTCGCCTCTAGAAATGTAACATCACGTGCTTCCTCTAGATCCTTCTTGTTACCCACTAGCAATATAACTATGTTTGGGCTTGCTAATGTTCGAGCATCATTTAACCAATTGGTCAAAGCATTAAACGAATCCCGCGAAGTGCTATCGTAAACTAACAGAGCACCCGCAGCGCCACGATAATATGAACGGGTGACGGAACGGAATCGCTCTTGCCCAGCTGTATCCCATATTTGAAGTTTCACCGGTTTCCCACCCACATTCACAATCCTCGACCCAAACTCAACACCAATCGTATGAGAGCTGTCGTCTTTGACTGGATATCAAAAATAAGAAGATAAGAACGTATAGAGGCTTATCATACTGTAAAGAATTTAACATGCAGTAAGATGCAAGATATATATATATATATATATATATATATATATATATATATATATATAATTGACTTGCAATAGTTGGAATTATGCCACTGAAACTGTGAGGGTCCATCCATTACTTTACCAGACAGTCTGCCCAATCAGTGGTACAACTTACATTTACTTTCGATGAAATGATGCAAGAGACAGCTTTTGCCGCTGCCCGCACTTCCGATTATGAGAAACTTAAATAAGTAATCTGCAAAGAAATTTCGTTACTGATAAATACTAGTTAAGGCAAAATGTATTACAAACCGAATGTTTCAGACATGTTACTTATTTTTGCGTCGTTGTTTCTTTGTTATTGTTGTTGTACTCTGCCTCTACAACTACGTGGTTTTTGGCCTCGAATTACCCTTGCAGTATTGCTGTAGGGGGTCAGAAATTGAAAATTAATTGCTAAAATATTATTGCATTGTTTTTAACTAGAAAGTGTTATTGTTCACCTGCTGTACCACATGCATACAAGCATACATACATATGTACATATTAAAGTGATTCGTGAACTGCATTTGAGCTGAACTTGTTAGTTCTTGATTTAGTTCAATAATCAAAGTATTTATCTCTTATTAAGAGAAGTTTTTGGTTAAACATTTACTGACTACATAACTATAAGTGAATGCTCATTATATTATTATATTAAATAATCATTAATACAGTTTTCGCTTGATACATTTGTAACATTTTTATTGTCAATTAAATTTATTCCTTAGTTATCTTTTTTCTCATCTGTATAGTTTTGGTAACAATTGATTGGATCTTTTGCTGTGTAAACCGAATATGCTGTCTTGCTTTTCTCAAAATTCTGAAAATAAAAATTAAACATTGATTGTTAGATGAAATTCTGAGCTGATAATGTGTAATAACTCACCTTAATATCACCGGTTATCAATGTCCACAAGTAAATAAAGACAGCTGGCATCAAGCTACTGAGCACAAGCAGCTCAAATTGATTAAGCTCTCCGAAAATAGCAATATTCATTTTAATAAAATTAATATATCAACTAGAATTCTAATGCAAATGCGAACGAAATCCGAACGATGACAAATGTTTGTTATTCACGTAGTCCACTTACAAGGGTTGCCAATGTTTACAACTTTTCAACTATCTCAAAATATGTACACAAATCCAATGACGGCTAGTATTTTTCGTTTAAGGGCAAATATTTTCAATAAGCTTTTTATTTTGGATTTAACCAACATTACTAGTAAAAATAAGGGTTTTGAGGTGGCCAGGGATGCAGCACAACAGTATTTTTCGTTATTTCGCAGCTGGTTTATGCTTTATATTTTTTAGTGTATTGCATTACGGTCATACATCGAGCAATCGGTGAATATTTATTTGCGACGAAAACTTATTTAAAACTGAACAAAATGGCTTTCCGTATACCTTTTGGCAAGAAACACGCGGAAATCGCGTCGTCCTTGTAAGTAATAACAAATTGATAACCCATTTTAATGCACCTAGTGATTTCTCAAGCCACAGTAACTCCTAAGCACATTGCATAACCAATATTAGCCAATGCAGACAATTCATGCACTAATAATATAACTATTTTTGTTTTTAGTGTACGCTCCGGAGCAGGGTTCGGTGGAGCCGCTGGATTGGCTCTGCTCTACTACACTGACTGGAAGCTAGTGCTGCAGTACATGCCCATCTATGGCTCCAAGTTTGACAAGAGCGATTAAGTCCCAGATGATGTTTGAACTCTAGTTGAAAATATGTTTAATGATGGTGAATAAAATAAGTTCAATTCGACGTTTGAGTTGTGTTATCGTTTTTCGTATTGCTATACAATATGTTTTATTATTAATTTGCTCATATATTGGTATATGTGTAAGTACAAGTACTATGCATAACAGTGGTTACTTACGAACTTTTAGGTAGATTTTTTACAAGGGAATCTACGTTTCAAATAAAAGTTGGTTCATAGATTCGGTTATTCGTGTTTCGATTCACTATCTACTTATATTTTAAGTGCCTTAAGTACAATGTTAGCCTAGTTGGATTAAAAATCGTATAAAAACTTATTCGAGCATTTGTATTCGAAGTACCAACAATTCTTTTTCGAAAAGAGAAATTGTTAGACATGTGTGGAAGCACGAATCGACCGGCGATTAATTTCGAAAAAAAAAAACAAACGTTGAGGAATGCAAACTAATCTAAATATCCGGTTCCACAAAGGAAGCGGGAAATAAACCAGTTTTATGTGTGCGAGCATGTGTCCCTTTATACCATCCATTCTTTTGCTTACGCTGCACGTAGATAATATCTCCTGGACGCAATTCGAGTTCAATTTCACTATTCGGCGGATAGGGAACGATGCAACGAAATCGACTGTAATAAATATTGTTTAATTTATATATTTAAGTTCAAATGAAAATCGATGAATAACACACCTCTCTCTCGTACAGTAGACCGACTTTGTCGTGGCACTCGCCTTGATGGCTGCTTCGGTTATAACGTTGCTATTAGCGTTTAGGTTACTATTGCTATTGCTAGCGCTTAGCACATTTCCCGCGTCCAGGCTCTGGCTCTTGCGGTGATTGGGCGCTATAATCATGTTGGCATGTAGTTGCGTTTGTGTACGGCTTGAAGGTGGAGGTGGTGATGCGGCATTGTACATGCTGCGGAAGGTAGCCGCATCCAAGGATTGTCTAGCACTGCCGTGGGGAAAAAGAAAGCGTGATAATCTAAGTCTTACTCTTATATTCTTATTCAACTGACCAAAGTAACTGCGGTCGCTCCTTGTTGCTTTTGATTCGCTGTGAGCCGTAAGACACATTCCTACTGCTCTGAAATAGTTGAGCAGCATTTGAGGGCGTTGCTGCAGAAGCTCCAGTGGTTTCCTTCAGTTGTTCACTTTGCTGCAACTGACTGGGACACGAACCAGACCTAAAAAAGATAATATATTAGTTATACAACTTGGTTTGAGTTAGATGCTTGTACGCACCTCACATGCACTGGATGTAATGGCGCGACATTGACCACATTTTCGGCTGCTGTGCTGTTTGAGTCTTTGTTTGTCAGTTGCTGTTGTTTTTGCTGTAGTGATGAACCTGGCGATTTAGAGCGTGTTTTCATGTGCGTCAAACGACGCATAAGACCCACTGCGCCGGAACTGCTGCCGACATTATCCGGTTTGCTTTCCGTGGTGCCACTAGACTTGCGGCTGAATAATGCTTCGACGGGCTTAGTCCAGACTGAGCTGCTGCTAGTTGATTGAGACGGATGTTGTACATGTTGCTGACGTGGTGGCAAATCGGGCGGTTGGGAAGGCAGCATATTACTTAGACGCACATCCAGGGTCTGCGCTGATGTTGTATTCACGTCCGTAGAGGGGGGCACAAATTTCCACTGATGCATTAGCTGCTGTTGATCGCGTGTGCGTAAAGGCGTCAGATAGTTGCCTGGAAACACGCCGGTAATATCCAACCAGTTTTTGCCCTTGAACCAGCCATCGACACACCGTTCAGTAACAATGTAAACGCAGCCTTTCTTCAATTCCAGCTCGTCGGAGTGACGCGGTTTATACGCAAACAATGCTAGGTAACCCCAAGGGAGGGTAGGCGGCATTTGTTGTTGATGCATCTGAGTCTTCAATACTCGCGACGTTTGAGACGGCTGCACTATGACAGCAGTAGATGTGGATGTGGCTGTTTGTGCGCCTGAGCAGACCTCCAAACGACTCAATTCATGCGGCAGACTCAATATCTCAGCTGAATGTCGATTCGTCTGGAGCAAACTAAGCGGCGCTGATTGCAGCAAAGCATTTAACGAGTGACGCTTCTCCTTGGCGCCCTTGTCGCGATAACGCACCGAACCGCCTCCAACAACAGCCATAGCAGCAGACGCAGTAGCTACAGCGGCTGCATGTTGTGGCGTGTTGGGGAGCGATTGATGGTTAGGACTGCAATTATTGGAGCTGCTGGTGGAGCTTGAATTGCTGCTGCTGTTATTGTTGGAGGAATAGCTGTTGGAAGACCCTGTGCTGGAATCATTCGTGATATGGGTGGGATCGATGACCGGTACAGGCGGCAATGCGCGCTGCTGCACTAGTTGCGCCGGCGCCTGTGGTAATGGATTTGTAACGCCACTATCCAACAGCTTCTTAGCGGCTGCATTTAACTCAACAAAGGCTATGGGAAATATGCCAATTGTTTGTGCAATGCGTCCCTCTGCCCAGTTGTGATCGACGCGTCGAAGCACATGAATCACGGTGCTCTTCTTAAACTCCAAGCAGCCCTCCTCGTCGCTGGGACCCATCTTAAAATCGTACATAGCAATGCACTGCGGCATCGGCAATGCGACAGCTACTTTTACGTAGTTGATAGGAAATGTACCTTCTTGCCCGTTGGCCTGGCCCACAAACCAGTTGTTGTCAATGCGCTGCTTTAGCAAAATTAAGTCGCCTTTCTTAAACTTCAAATCGCCCGCTTCGCCGCTTAGGAAATCAAAGAGTGCATATGCATGCGGCAGCAGAAATCGGCGCGGTTTTTGACGTGCTGTTTGCTGTTGTTCCGGTTGCGATTGCTGTTGTTGTTGCTGTTGTTGTTCTTGGTAGTGCTGCTGTTGTTGCTTCTGTTGCTTTTGTTGCGTGGGCGGAACCTCTTGTTGCAGTTGAATTCTGTTTGGCAACTCTTCGGTTTTAGTGTCACTTTTGCCAGCATTTTGCTTCATGCCTACATTGAGTAACAAGCAACAAATAAAGTATTAGCTACGTGGCTGTCCACAATTGCGCCCACACATTGAACACTTACCTTCTAAGATTCTCATAAGCAACACATTTGGCGGCAGCTCATCGATGCGGCAATTCACCAAAACGCGACATTCCGGACATCGCAACTTCTGCTGACTGGCCACAATGTCCTGCATAGAAAATAAAATAAATAAATATATTGTAACAATAACTATAACACCCATATTACTCACCAGTAAGCATTTGCGACAGAAGGTGTGTTGGCATGGCAAAACTTTAGAGGTGGTGTCCAAGCGTTCCAGACACACAGAACACTCCAACAGGTCATTTAATGTGTGCTCATCCATTTAATTTAATTTAATAATATTTTGCATAATTAATAGCATAGATCCTCGCCTTCTACGTCCCCTTCACTCTTTAAATCTCAAGGATGGTCACAATTTGAATTTCGTGCAAAGCGACATTCCAAAAAGCACACACACTTATACAGCGCGCACACGTACACAGCGAAGAAGCGGAGCTTATGAAATACATACACAGACACAATTGAATTGTTTGTCTTTTTGCACCTATATACTATACTTTAACACATAATTAATACACTACATTTTCATAATTTTGTATTATAATAAACAAAATGAGTTGTTTTTTTAAATTATGCTTTTAAAACTGCAGCAAGCGTGCAGCTCGTGGCCATCATTGAAATGCACAACTACAAACAAGCAGACATCCACACGGATACAAACCTGCTCACCTCTGATCTACAGAATGAACCATACAAATAGAAGCATATACAAAAATTGACATTAAATAGTATTCGAATTACTGTCGCTAAGTTTTAGATCAGAAGTTACATTTCACGGTGTATGTAGAAATTTAACTTTTACTAATTACATATATTATAATTAAAATTTTATTTACTAAACATTGTTTAAATTATAATTTTATTCCCGTGTATATTTCTATGTACGGTAGTGTATTAGGAACAGAGTGGCCAGTCTCGATTTAAAAAAAAAAACCTACTAATAAATTCGACATGGATTATTTAAATATGCAACATAATAATTTCTTACAAATGCTTTTATGTGAGCGACAAAGAACATTTGTCTTAATATCGGCACGCTTATGTTACTATTGGTATATTTCTCTCTTATTTTAATATTATTCTTATTGATAAATTTATATCGATAAAATACATATTTAAATTATCGATATTACACTTAAATAAAAACAATCCTTCGACCTAACCTTTCTTTTATAGGCAGAACGTGTTTGTTTTGATACGTGCGTGCTGTAAGATCAGCCCTTAAATTTTAATAAACCGTGCGTAAATAAAATAAAAAAACGATGCCAAAAGTGCGCAGCACTCCGGGCAAGCCCCGGACGCAGGGATTCAATCACTCCAACCATTCCATGAATCCGGAGCGACCAACAAGTGGCCTCAAAGGTGTAGCTCACCCGCGTACCAAGGGAACGATTAAGCGGCTACAGATGTATCGTAATTTCAAGGCCAAACGTGATCGTACTGGTAAAATTATTACCCCAGCACCATTTCAGGTAATATTCACATCTCGTCATTTAAGATGGTTTGGATAATCGAATTCTGTACTTAGGGTCGTCTGCCCGCAGGAACGATGGCCAGAGTGGAGCCCACTCCGAAGTGGTTCAGCAACTCACGTGTTATTTCACAAACGGCGTTGCAAAAGTTTCAGGATGACATTGGCAAAGCTGTCAAGGACCCGTATCAGGTCATTATGAAACCATCGCAATTGCCCGTGACGCTGCTGAACGAAGCCTCGAAGTATCAGCGCGTTCATTTGCTAGAGACAGAGAGCTTTGATAGCGTATTCGGGCCAAAGAAACAACGCAAGCGTGTCAGCTTAAAAGTGCGAGATCTGGAGGATTTGAGTCGTGCTGCCGATGAGCAGGCTGATCAGTATGACTCTGCCAAAGATGTGGATCTCATACGCGAAGATACTGGTGAAAAAAAGGCTGTGCGTGATTGGGTATTTGGGGCAGGTCAAAGCAAACGTATTTGGAACGAATTGCACAAAGTTGTGGATGCTTCCGATGTGCTGCTACAGGTGCTCGATGCCCGTGATCCCATGGGTACACGCTCCAAATATATTGAGGAGTTTCTACGCAAAGAGAAACCGCACAAACACCTCTTCTTTATATTGAACAAAGTAGATCTGGTGCCTGTATGGGTGACACAACGCTGGGTGGCAATTCTCAGTGCCGAATATCCTACAATAGCTTTTCATGCTTCCATGCAACATCCTTTTGGCAAGGGTAAGTATTGTGAGGGAAATCGTCAGTGTTTCTCATAAAATATATTCCAAAATCATTGACAGGTGCGTTGATAAATTTGTTCCGTCAGTTGGGCAAACTGCACATGGATAAGAAACAGATCAGCGTTGGCTTCATTGGCTATCCAAATGCGGGCAAATCTTCGGTCATTAATGCACTGCGCTCCAAAAAGGTTTGTAATGTGGCTCCTATCGCGGGTGAGACCAAAGTCTGGCAATACATAACGCTAATGAAGCGCATATTCCTAATTGATTGTCCTGGTGTGGTTTATCCGTCGGCCGAAACTGACACGGAGAAGGTATTAAAAGGCGTAGTTCGTGTAGAGCTCGTCACCAATCCGGAAGATTATGTGGATACAGTGTTGAAGCGTGTCCGCAAAGAGTACATTGCAAAGAACTACAAGATTGAAAGCTGGACGACATCCACACACTTCCTCGAGCAGCTGGCAAAGAAAACAGGTAAACTATTGAAGGGTGGTGAGCCGGATATCACAGTCACAGCACGCATGGTGCTTAATGATTGGCAGCGTGGCAAATTACCGTTTTATGTGCCACCCGAGGGTTTCGCTATACCTAAATCACAGGAGGGCAACTCCGCAGTAGAGGAAACAGCTGAAGAGACTGCTGCTGAAACTCATGACGATGATGCAAAATCGGAGGCACCTACATTTGTAAGCGAATCCGTAAAGAAGGCACGTGAATTCAAACAAATACAGGACTTTCGTAAAATTCGAGTGGGTCTCGAATACGAGCAGCAGGATGAACGCGAGCTGGATCACATTGATCTGGAGCTGTTAGAGCAGCAGAAGGCAGAGCGAGCGGCACGCAAAAAGGCGCGTCTAGTCAATCCAGAGCAGGAGGAGGATTCTAGTGATGGTGCCAGCGATTTTTATTCGGAAGACGAATACGATGAGGATTTGCAGCGTGTAGTCCACAAGAAAGCGAAGGCCAAAAAGACGCAACAGCTAGCTATCACATCGTCTGGTAAATTCCGTATTGCCAAGGTCCAGCCAGACGATTCCGATGAGATGGATGACAGCGAAGATGAGGGTCCATCCAGTGCCAAGGCGCCACGTCTCAATGCCAAACAGAAACGTGCGCTGGAACGTAGCCAGAAACGCAAGAAAATAGGCAGCAATTTCTATGAGACTACGAATGTGAAAAATCGCAATCGCAACAAGAAAAAGGACACGTAGTTATGTTCCTTTCTATCTCTAGTTTATTATAATTCGCTGCAGCAAACGCTAAATATTATAATTAAGAATCCAATAAATCTTGTTGCCCAAAATTTAAAAGAAACTTATTCACTCAGCACATTGTTTCTTTTTGATCATCTTGCGTCCACATAGGTCCACCAGGCTATTCTTATCGTGGTCGTGCTCGTCTGTGTCGCTACTCCCATCTGAATCGCTAGACTCGGTATAGGAACCAATGCCAGGTAATATGGCAATGCACTTCAAACCGCCCACATCATATTTGCTTGATTTTGTGGAAACATCTGATGTAGCCGTTTTATCCGTAGACTTTTCGGGTTCCGTTTTTGAAGCCTTGCTACTGCTTGTGGGCAATTCTCCATTTTTGCGTTTGATGCCTTGTCCTAGAAGGGACTTTTGTGTATTCCGTATTGTAGCTGAAGTGCCAATGGATTTGGCTGTAGTCTTTAGTTCCGCTTGAAGTTTCTAATATGACAACCAAAAATGTTTTTATTATTAGAGAAATATTATCATATTATGTGACTCTACCTTGTCTACGCTCTCTTCCTGCAGTTTCTCAACTCGATTGCGAAAGTCCCTTAGTTCCAATTCCTCGTCAACCATTTGTTGACGCTCGGTGTTCATTTTGTGAGCATCGACTAGCTCCAAGAACTGCACCTCGTCATCGTCCAAGCCACGAATTAGGTTCTCTATATATGGCATTTACAATACCTCTAGAATTCAATATACAATTGCTTGGACATACTCAATTTGTGCGCCTCCTCAAATTCCATATCCTTTTTTGTTTTCTGTTCCTTCAAGCGATCATAAAGTGACCGACCGTCATATGGTTCCTCAGGTCTCTCCAGTGGATCCTCGGGCTGGCGTACACGTTCCCACTCCTCCTGACGACGCTGCCGTGCTTCTGCCGCCTCGGATTCAGTAACAAATCCGGAACTCATTTTATTTCGAAGCAAAGTAGACTTTTATTTGGAAAATGTGTTAAAGATGTTGACGATATGTCTTGGACAGTGTTCTTAAACGCTGTTTATTGTCATCAATTTAGAAACATCGATAACTTTCTGATGAAGTGAGCGCGTATATTAAAATTTTCAAATCTGTTTCGATGTAATATTGCTATGATTTTTTATTTCAAGCGCGCTTCTCGATTCAGATGTGCCATTTGATTGTAAATTGCTTTTTGAGCGTTGCTCATGTGGCGCCACTTTTTACCAGCCATATGAACCACAGTTGTGACTTTTATATTCTCCAAGCCACGTGATTTCAGATTTTTACGAAATTGCGCAAGAAATATAAAATATGGATTTATTGGCGAATGCCTTGACATATTGGATATTTTTATAAAATTGTATATTCACTAATTATTACAACTATAAATTTATCAATTGTTTCTTTATATTTTTAGCTCTTTTATTATTTTAAAAATTGATCGAACTTTCAAAGTTATTAAGATTAGTATAACGGTTTCATTAAAATGCATGAAATTCATTTAAGTTTTCACTTATTTAGTCATATCCATAACAACATTTTATATTTCATTTTGTATAGTTTATACAATTTTTATTATTTTATCTGGATTTAACTGCATATTTAACTTTAATCAAATTTAAATGCAACATAATTAATGGAGTATGGAGGCAGTAAAGAGTAAGTCATTAAAGAAAACTGTTGTTCACTAGGCAAATCCACGTGGGAATTGGCACATATGCACACATACTTTCAAATGCGCGCATTCCTTCTCAAATTCTATATATAGAATCGCAAGTGAAAAAGAATTATGTATGAATTGTCAGAATTGTCTGTTTATAATCAGTAACGTTTTATTTGACGGTGTCAAATAAGGCGGGAACTAGTTGTGGTTTCTTCTTATTGGAAATATGCGAATTATAACCTTACTTAAGTTAGTGCACAGTTCGTAAGTTTGTATAGATAAAAGTTAATTTGATTTAAAACGCAGACCGCCCGGGGGCCGGCTAGTCGACTACGCCCGAAAGATCGTTGTTCTGAGAAATACATGTGTTTGGGGTGATGACGGCGTTTTAAATGAGAGGCAACCAGGACATTAGAATTCAATATATCTCTCAGCGTTGATTCCTTCCTTCCTGTTGCGTTGCGTAAAGTGAGCCAATTATATATAGTGATAATCAGCTGCTCCATCTTTACATTACCCTTACCGGCCATGGAAATGAATCGCCTACTATGCTGCTTACGCCGATTTTTGAATGGGCTGAAAGAGCTGGGGAAGGTTTTTATCATCTAAACATTCTATATGTCTACAATAAATACTTAAGAATATGAGCTAAATAATAGTTTCTTTGTCTCATATCCCATATAGAATTTGCGTTATTACAAAAATCTAGGTTCAAATTTCCTAGTTTAGTCTTATACTTATGCTTTAAAAAAACCAAAAGATAAAATACATTTTTATCAAAGCAAATAAGCACATTTGACAGAGAGGTGAGAAGAAACGGTGCTCCCAGAACAGTCTCTGGACTCTATTTTCAGAAAATACTGTTTCTTGATAATATGAATAAATTGCATTTTTCATCTACTGTTCTCCATTTAATGAAAAAAGTGGAATGTAAAATTTGACTGGATAAAGTCAAATAAGAAATAATCCGACCACCTCCCAGGACATTCTCCAGATTAACTCCAAAGCAAACTGCACTAATATTTTGCTAGATTAGTAATCGAGGTGTATAATATTTATAGTTTGAGTATTCAAAGTTTCGTCCTTTTGCCAGTTGTCTATGAGAATAGTATACCCTCTGTATAAATACTTTCAATCAGCATTATGAACCATTATGAACCATTTACCCATACATATAAGTATTTTACTTATGTGAATTTGAGCAAGAATTCTTGACTGAAAATATAAAATAAGTAAGAGTTCTCTAGACGAGACCGACGAGGAAATACCCTGACTCCTGCGCACATGACTTGACATGACATACAGCACATGCCCATGCGGTGCGCACTATAGTAGTGGAACCTTGTTAACGAAATTTCTTTGCACAAGAGTACAAATGATAACAAATAATCTACAGGTCAGATTTGGATTCATATAGTATATGAAATCGTATATTAAATAAATAACAATAATTTGCTCATTACTGATAGAATGACATTTATTATTTGGTATTATTTATTAATATCTCAATAGGAAACATGTTTAGTTAGGGTCATACATTTATTGAAAATTGCTAGTATCAGTTAGTTATATTCATATAGAAATATATATTTATATTTATATATATATATATATATATATATATATATATATATATATGCGAATATGCCGGTCTCCAAAAAAGAGCTATAGGATTAGCAAAATACATGGTATACATATGTATGTTAAAGACGGTTTGACATGATCATTTTCCTTCTCCTTTTCATTTACATTTTCATTTGGGCTGCTCGTTCGCACAGTAATAAATAATTTTCTACAGTATTCATGTATGTTCAGTTTATAGACATAATTGAGGTCAGCATACATTTCCAGAAACATCAAAGGTTATACACACATGCATGCAGTAATAGAATTTTGTGTTGTTGTTCTAGTCTATTAGAGTTCTCGAAATAAACATAAACAATAATTGTATGTCTACATGTTATGAAATACTGCTAGGAACTTGTGTACCTATTCAAAATTGAGCTTATAAAATGTTGCATGAGTTCTTCTCCCGAAATGGATTCACCTTTTGACTGGTAAATCCACTTAACAGACAATCATCCGACTCGTGATCTATCATATATTTCATCATGGCATTACACGCCTCCGACACCTGGATGCGGGGTATTCCCGCCTCACGACGCAGTTGCTCATTGATGGTGCGCTGCTGTTGCAAATTCGCAGCCATAATATCTAGAACGGCAGTCTCGGCAAGACCTATGGTGAAAGTCAACACAATATGTTGCTAGCGAATAATGTTTAGCTGCAATTAGAGGCTGCTGAACTCTAAATAAATGTTTAAACTGAAAATAATTCAACTCACCTTTAAAAGCTGTTTTTAGGCACAAGCGCTCGCTTGAATCGACGAAAAATCAATAGCGTTTGATTTGATTAGCTTTTATCGCTCTCAGCCGAATGTGGAAGTATCGATAACAAAAGCAATAACAGCTGATATTGGGCTGCCAACTTGTCGTAAAGTAAACAACGGTTTGGGTTTTTATAAGTTTTATTTGAAATTGCGTGTTAACATTTGATTTAATTGTATATATGTAATTAGGTACCTGAATTGATTTACTATGTAAGCATACTAAATAAATAAAATATAAGATATAAATTATGCATTTGAACATTTTATTTGCGTAGGGTTACTTACTCTGGCATTAAATCAGGTTGCGTATGTTCTTTGCTATTATTGGTATTGACTGCGTTCAGCTCCAGGTGACCTTGGGGCTTTCTGAAAGCATTTGCCATTAGCAGTATATTCCTAGCAATACGCTGATCATCTATGCGCTTCTGCGCCGTATGCGTGCGCTTGTCGGCATTCTCCGACATCCGCTGCTCCAGTGGCAGGATAGCTGCTGGAATAGCTGATTCCGGATTTGTCCAAATTTCGGTCCCGGGCGTTTCCTTACCCGTAGTGGGTGAAAACGCTGGTCTTGCTGGTATCAGTGGTGAACGTACACAGACACTAATTATGGAACAGAAACAGAACTTGAATTTTATTTGCTTACATAACTAGTCACACTCTAAATTCGTTTTTTGAAAACATGATTTGTCTGTAAAATATTATTTAATTTTTCTTGTATATAGCCAATTGCCAATTATGCCCCGGCCCCCGGCGCTGGCTCGACACATGGCTCATTGTCCTCGCTCGGTTTTAATCTATAACGAGTCAGAAAGGAGACGACAATGAGCCAGAGTGTTGTGCCCTCGATCGATGCTTCGAGTTACGTGTTTTACTCACTTGTTCACTTCCTCCAACTTTTTGAGCAAACGTTCATTCTCTCGGCATACGATCTCTTGATCCCTTAATATGGTCTCGCGCACTGTGAACAAATGATTGTTTTCCTGTCGCAGCGATTCGTTCTCCGCCATATACAGCTTCACTAGCTCTGCCAGCTCGCTGCCGTCCAATTCGGGCAAACGCTCTAAGTCCACCTTTGGCACAGGTATGCCAACATCTCCCGTGTGAACGCGTTCCAGTTGCAGTTCCAAGAGATTGTCCGTAGGAGCAGCTGCCTGATGATGGAGATTCAGCGCCGCCTTCAGATGCTCATTCTCCATCTGCAGTGCATGGATGTCCCGCTTGAGACTGAGAATGAGAGCCTCTCGCGGATCCATCATGATAACAGGCTTCGTTCGTATACGCTTCGCTCGCGATGCATAGCGCAGCGTATTCAGCGTCTCTGCATGATTATAATGAGCGGGCGAGACGCAGGCAATCATCAGCGTAACCCCATTCCCGGCCAGACTGTCAGCCAGCAGCTTGGTCAGCTGGCTATCCCGGTATGGAATGTGTCCGGTGCGTTTCTTATTATCGCTCAGCGACGAAATGCAATAGCCAAGCACCATAAGGCTCTTATTGATATTGTTCGCCTCCTCCAGCGTTTTGCCCTCACTCATTGTCTTCTTCGTCAGCTCGCTGCCAGCCAAGTCCACAAAGTTAATCTTGCCATGCTTGGAGAGAAAGACACCACCATCTGTTTGTTGGTCCGATAGTATGTGGACCGTTAGTATTGTGTGAGAACGCGATGAATGATCGTTCATCGCATGCGAGCCCACAGAACGATTTCTCATGCCTAAAGTAGGTGGGGATTGCGGTTAGCTGAATAGTGGAACTAAATTCGAACCATAATCTTAAGTATATGCAATTTCGAAATTTTGAATTTTTAAATTGTTTTACATAACATTTATATAAGTATTTCCTCCCCACTCACCTTCTTCTAATACGGCCAGTAAGTCGTCGAGTTCCTCACAGTCCACCGTAAACAAGTTCTCCACGAAGAAACCGCCCGATTTTTTTGACCAGCGCACGGCAAGGGGCTTACGAGCGCTTCCCGGATTGAGCAAATCGATTACCTGCTTATAAAATATGCAAATCAATTTGCAAAATCAACTATGAATTAAAAGCTCGCTCTGCGCACTTCTGTTACTAGACTAACAAATCATCGAAAATGCCAAACAAAATTCACGCACAGCGACAACTCGAGACTGAGGAGTTGATGGAGGAATCGCGGGGATGACATGTTGACCTCCATTATATAGAGGCCAATGCAATGCATACCAAACTAGTCGAATGCTATTTGCAAATGCTCCCAACGGAAAACCAATCAGTATTAGTGAAATGCAATTTCAATTTGGTATTCAATTAAATTGAACTACATTACGAAGATCAAATATGATGCGGGAGGGCTTACCCATATTAACTATACTATTTTCTAGATTGTCATCATTAAAACGTAACGAAAAGAAACTCAGCAAAATTGTAGATGTGTATTCTTATGATAAAACTAATTTTGATTATGAAATTGAATTTTTTTGTGTAAAGTCTAAAGCTATCAAATTTATTTTACTCCATTTTAATAACAATAATAAGACCTTTTACACATATATAGCATATAGGGGAGTGTGGTTATATTCTCACCCGTTCATTGTAAATCTCCATAAACGAAGCCTTAAGCACATAATTCACATCTGTGCGATTCTTAATCAATTGGAAGAGATACACAAACGAACGGAAGATCAGGCCGTGCCGTGGATCCTTTAGATTGGGCTTACCCACAAACTGTAAAAAGAATAATGTTCAGATATATATATATATTTATATTTATATATTTATAGATATATCATCATTCACTTACCAAATCTGGTGGACCGGTTAGGGTATGCGTCTTTCCTGAGCCCGTTTGTCCATAGCAAAAAGCCGTACAGCTAAAACCCTCAATGCCCATCTCAATAATGCGCTTGATTCCCGAATAGTCGAGTATATCCTCCTGTGTGGCACCAGGCTCAAATACCACGTTGTACGTGAATACCCGCACACTGTCACGATTGTGCGAGCGCTTGGCGCCCGTGTCGTTCCCCTCGATCTGCGAAATGCGGGCTTATCTTACTTTCTATGCTAAAAGCTTAACCTTTTTGGGACCTACGATGACTTGGCCATTGCCAGGAAACTTTAATGTGGGTCCGTGCCTGTCACGTTTCTCCTTGTCGTTTAGAGGGCGGACACGCACCACCACATTGATATTGTCCTCCGGCGTTGAGGGCTCCTCGCTGCCTGTGCCCGTGCCCGTGGATTTAGAGGCCACAATTTCCAATGTGTCTGCGCTGCCGATTCTAAGTGAGCACAAAAAAACTCAATTATTTACATTTTAAGGGGAAGTTTCATGAAAACCTGTTTATATGGTATTATTCGATACGGCTTCCATATAGGAAATGAAGATTGTGTGAGGCGTAGGTTTTGAAAATGCCTAGTCACTCGGCTACACACACAATATATTTAAATATATACACATAAATCCTGCTTCTTTATGGAATTTATTTGTCTACGGAACTGTTTCATACCCCAGACAATAATTTTAGATAATTAAAAACTTTTTGAATTTAAAATTTGAAAATATCTTAATACGTTCTAAATAAATAATAATTCTTAGGCATTGCATATATAATAAATTAAATAGTTTGTTTATTTTTTAGAGTCGCATATAACTGAAAAATTATAAAACAAATTAATTTTTTAATCATGAAACTTATATATTGAAATATAGCACGTATATTTGTATGCTTTTTTTCAAAAAAGTATTATTTTTGTTATATTTATTGATTTTGTATCTAAGCTCGTCATGCGAGCCCCGAACCTCGTTATCTAATTGCTCGATTAAATCATTCTATTAGGCAGCTCACACTGTCAAGGCCAGCTGAGTGCGTGGTATATTATGGCCGTTAAAGCCATTGTTTTTGGCTAAATGGAAATGGAATCTCTGCGCAAAAGCTCACGGAATTCCGATATTGTTATGAATTTTTGTTTGCTTTTCGGTTTGTTGTGGCCAATGCAAAATCGCCTGTTCCAATTCCCTTGAACTTGATGACGTTCCGCGTATTGAGGGTACTACTAATTATAGCCAAGGTTAAGGGTACAGCCAGCCACAAGTTTTGGGGCTTTTTTCAGCTTAATTAGTTCTGAGTGGAATAGCGTGGTCAGCGATGATTAATAAAAATTTTGATTTCAATGGAATTTCAGAGCTTTGCACAAAGCTCGTTAATGCGAACGTTTACATATAAGTGAATATTGATTGAGAACAGTTCAAGAAAGAAACATTTTATTTAGGCAATTATAAATCTGGCAACAGCGGCAAACCAATAAACAAAGCGGACAACGAGGCGTATGTGTAATATACAAACTTCCCTCCTTCGTCCCTTGTAATCGTTGACGCTGCAATTCGACATTTGACGTTTGACATTTCCACGCAAATTACTTGTTAAATATTAATAAGGTTGAGAACAGAATTTTGGTAAATAAAGACGAAAGTAGATTAAGCACTTGGCATGTGAGTAAATATATTAATCAGACATAATCTACGCCTTGGTTTTGTGTGCACTTGGTAAATATTTTAGAAGGAGGCCAACGCCACGAAGTAAACTCGACACAGTCACGAATCAAGGTGGGCTTACTCTTTCCTCCCAGGGAACTCTGCAGACAAGCCCCATGGAAAAGTTCAATCAACCTATTGCCACTTGAAATTGATGCTAAATACTTAATAAGTTACAAACATTCTAATAGGAGTGTTAGTTTCTTAAAGGAAAGACTTATAGATAAATGTGTAATTTCGATGGGTCGTAAGTGGGAGAGAGAACAAATAAACATTTGTCCTTCGAATCAATTATATATTCAAATGTCAATTTTAAGGACATTTTCCATTGATTTCTCTCAATATGTAAAATATATTTATTAAACTCGAATATAATTGAAAATCATTTGGATCATTCACTTGATTCATTTCTGTATAATTTAATCATTTCTGTCATATATAACTTTGCTGCGTATAGCTTTCGGAATAGGGCTAAAATTAACAAGTGCTGGAAATACACAATTATATATATAAGACCCACTATATTTGAGGATTCTAAACATGCCGCCTATGTACTCAATGACTAGCAGCTAGTGCAATAATAGATAAGCTAGATTTAAGGGATGAAATACGCTTTAGTCAGGGTATAAGAACACTAACTCATAAACGAATAAAGATCATTACACAACGGAACACCACCACAGTCAAGTGTAGTCACATTGAGTTAAGCGCAGTCACATATATCGAGTTACCAAAATATGAAGGGCTTAAAAAGCTAATCCCAATTATGATGGCAAACAGTAATTTTGCATGTTTTTCTATCGATAAAAATCGATCATTTGACTTGAGTTTTTAAGAATTACTTATTATAAATTAAGTAGAACTATGTAGGCTGCTGGGATGAATATTTATATTTTTGGATACCTTCTCCATCTATCTCAAATTAAATCAAAACCTATTTGAAATCGTTGAAACTTGGGCTTAAAACTTTATTCAGATAGCGTAAAATAAAAACTTTTTTCCATAATACATTCAAAGCAAAATCCCTGCTATTGCGCTTTATAAAAAAGTTTATAAATTTTGTTTAAGAAGGGATGGTCGGAAGTAAAGCATTGCTTAGCAGGCACTTTACGCCACCTTAAGCAGAGACAGTACTCCTTATACTGCGCCCAATTCAGCGTAGTTCCACCATGATTGTTGCTCCGAGGAACTTATTTAGTTCCAGGTTGTCTCAGCATGGTGTTTTCTTGGCTCTACACTCTGATGGACTGGCCCAGTGACTCTTCCAGGTGCAGCCTCTCCTCCAGAAACCGTCCACATTGTGCATCAGTTTGTGTGTGCATGTAAAATGTATAGAAGAAGCCTCGAGCTATTAAAACAGTAGCGGAACTCAAGGTATCTCCTAGTCGAACACTCTCAACCTTTTATATTATATATATATCTGATTACCTTATTGTCATATCTACCGCCTCAAATCGAAACGAAAATACTTTACGATTAATTGATATTAGTTTACTCTATAAGCTTCTCATTAAGGTCTGACAAAGACTATATCAAGTGAAGACTAGTAAATTGTTCGTCTCTGTAAATACATATCTGATGATGGGTAACTGTAATAAGTCTATTTACTTGACCTACACTCCACACATGTACAACTGCAATATATATCCTCTTTTACTTTCACTTGGACACAAATCGAACAGCTCCACTTGATGGGCGCTTGTTAATTGAAATGGCCGAATCGATTTGGGGCATACAAAATTAGACTAAAATAACAATCTTAATACAGATATGTGTTTATTAGAAGATATTAGCACCAGGCAAATGAACATTATTAAATGTTTGCTTGTTTAATGGGATCAGCCAGAGGGCGATATACACAGGTATGCTTGAAAATAGAGCGTATGCTCTATTAGCTCCCACTCTGTCTGTGGTCAGGCACTATAAAAGGCGTCATAATTATTGAAGTGCACGCATGTTAATACAATTTGATAAATGTTTGTGTTGATAGCTGACTTCTCTGTCATATGAATTCCCGTAGATGCCATTATATAGCCACCCTTCGGAGGGAGAAGGTTTGAAGTTTTCAAAAATCCATATATGTATTTCAATGGAACTCTCTATTATAGCCATAAAGGCAATATGGATTTTTCGTAGGGTTCTCCCGCAAACAGTGTTAGCTAATAATTATACATGGAACAACAGGGACATGGCACAGATAATCAAAGTTGACATTTCGTTGCCTAAACTTTTGCACTGCACGAGATGGTTACAAGCAGACATATATAGCCAAGCCGATTATATATCTGCATATAGTACATAGAAAAGTGAGAGTTGCCAGCTAGCTAACTTGATTGAGGGTCATAACATTTTATTTGTTGTGCAAACAATATGGTGTAAGAATGTTACAGTCGACCCAAATGACTGCGTAATACTCGCTCGTGGTTGAAAATATTCTAAATTTACTTCAAAATCCTTAAGAAATCCTTAGACGATCACTCGCCAAAGGCCCAATCACATCAGTTGTAGGTTATAGAGTTTTTTACCAAGAAATAGTAACTTTACAAGAGACTTCTACACGAGTAAATGTTTCTCTGACTCACTGATATAGACTTGTTGCCCCGTGGACGAGTATATGACAACGTCCTTTAAGGACAATGATTAGCTGCTTATACAATATTAACGTGTCACGAAATCTTGGCAAAACAAACACTTGAATCACATGCCAAAAATTGAATGGCTTACAAAAGAACAGGTGCTGCATGCCAACGACTAAGTCAATGCCCCATGAATAACTTATAATATGTGCAATTCAATTCAATTCAATTGTACTCTATTGGCATGTTAGGGATATGAGGAAGCCAACAATGTTAAATGGTAAATACAGATTTAATGGGAACAACAAAGCGCTCACTTCATAAGATGTAAAATAATATATAATACTTTAAGCAAACATATCTAAGTTAATCCAGCTAAGTTAATTAAGCTAACATATCTAAGTTAATCCAGATCGACTTACACATATAGTTTAAGTATATCTCCTTTCAACATGTAAGGTCTGTATGCCAACCCTTCGATCATTTAGATCCGTGTATGCACCAAGGGCTAAAGCTCGATTTCAATTTAGATATATCAATGACTACAAAGAATAGAACAACTCGGCTGTTGAGCCCGATTCAGAATACATTTATACATATAAACTCTTAAATTAAATTAAAATAAATTAAATTAAATAAATTTAACTAGCCTGACCCCTTCAATCATACAGAAAGTACAATGTAAATGTTAACGTAATGCAATTAAAATAATATTTATGATATGTATTTATTAAGAGTTATAATTTTTAAATAGCTTTGGACTACTTGTTTTCTATGTTGTCTTTTAGAAATGTTCAACGTGTCAAGGAGCTTAAAGGAAAATCAACGAATACCTCAGAGCAAAGATCTGGTTTGGGTTTCAGACCAATTACTTTTATGAAATCCTTAGGGCAGTATCCTAAGAATGTTTCTGTGTCTCTCTCTGAATCGTAGTGTGGAATAGCACATCATTCATAAGCAGTTTGAAGGAGAATGATTGTGATGATGATAAGTATTATTATTAATATTTTTATAATTATTAGTATAGAGTGTGTCTATAAAACTATAAATTTACTTTATTTTAAAGCATGTCATTGAGTTGTCCCTTGATTGTCAGTTCTCTCTCTAGATATAGTTTGGCCGTTCGGTACTGCGCATAAGCTAAACTTAATCTTTACTCCTACTTTGCAGCTGTCTTTATCGAGTATCGAAGTTTACTTTATACAAAAAGTTCTGATGGAACATACCATTTTGTGGGAATACCGGAAATAATGATTATTATAGCCTTAATTCGTCTAAGACCAATCAATTAAATTACCTGCTAGCACAGCTAATGGCCAACAGCTCAAGCCAAAGAACTGTCAGGTCCTTAACCTTCAATACGACTGACAATAAACTATATAATATAGAACATAAGCACATAGAGCAAGATGTTGGGAGTAACTGAAACGCCAAGACGACAACAACTATCCAAACAAAAATATGTCACTTTCGCTCTCGGAACGGGTCAGGCGGGACACAACGGGACTCGCATTCGAGTCCTGCGAGTCTCGACTTGTCGAATTGATTACAAAATCGATTTATGTCGTGCTCGCTCAAACTCCCTTGCTTAAGACCCCTAATTGTTTAAATATAAAACATGACCAATTGAGAGCGACTCGATGTTCAAAGTGTTTGTCAGTCTGTCTCGACTGCCTATATGTCTTTCCGTCTTTCCGTCTGTCTATATGTCCATTTATTGTGCGTGGTCATTACGCCTATGCCACCCTCTTCATATCGTTTCCCTTTTAATGGCGCCTCATCAAGGGTTGCTAGCCCACGCCAAGGCCCACCCTCAGGTTATTAAGTAGTTTTATTACTCTCACGGCCAGCAGGCAAATGGATTGATGCAAATGTATAACTGGGCAAAACTAATTACTTTGACAGATAATGCCGCTCTATAAATATTTTAATGAATACTTTTCATTTCATTTCTGCATTTATCAGCAGCAGAAGAAGAAACTCTTACGCCTTACTTAACAAATATCTAAAAATAAGTTAAAACGCAAATCTCTCTATAGACATTTTGTCAAATAAGCTTAAGTGCCTTAGATATAAGAAATTCTATGTGAAGAATCTCCTCATTGACGAAGTGAAGGAGTAGCTTTGGGCAATGTTTGTTCGTCCGCTAACTTGTCGCTATTGAATCTAGGACTTGAAATTGAAAATAAATATATATATATATATATATATATATATCCGCGTCTGATAAGTTTTTTTCCTATACCCACTGATCACCAAGAATAAGCCCCTTTGAGGCATGGCATATACCCTGTAAAGCCAATCCTTCTTAGGATTGCCCAAAAGTGATATATTCACAGCTACTGTATCTCCTACAATTTTACAATTAGATACGCAAAACTTAACTAACAAATTACTGTTGACCTCCTCTATTGACATACAAAATTTATATATATAAGTCTCTTCAGCAGCGGGGCTAGACCGTGGAAGACCTGACAGCCATATCCTTACTTGTTTTTATTGAGTAGAGCCTCATATTTTGTTTCAGATTTGTATTAAGTTCTAAGGAAACTCTCTTTTAGATCAATCCCTATATCAATACTTATATCAATACTGATATTTGATGTCGCATTGCGAATGATAAGCCATCATTTATTGAGTCAGGTGAAAGATCAAATATTTTGAATTGTAATTGATATTGTAACGGAGTAAATATTGCATGGTGTAATGTAAAATGACTGATAAAATATATATTAAAAAATAAATGAATCAGATAAATCTGTTGGCTTAGATTGCCTTCTTGTGCCAAAATTGATGCACAACTCATAGAGCCAATTGAATACCCCTCGCAATATTATTTATAGAACACACTGTAAAAGTATCTAAGGGAAGTATTTAGGGGAATATCCAAGCTTACGTAATTGTAATACGAACTAGATGAGTTTGATAAATCACTTTTAAAAATTTCTTTCTTATAATCTTATAATTTAAATTGAGGTATTATAGTTTTAATTTTAAAGTTCTTTATTAAGAACGAACAATCGAGTTAAATAATTCTCCTAATGTACTTCTCTCAGGTATTCAGCTAGTTTACTAATATCATAATAGAGCTCCAATAAGTGGTTAAGCTTTCGTCAACATTTTGCAATCCAATCCAATCCAATCCCCATTTGCGTTTGATAGCCGTTTATTATTAATATTCATCAATCTCTACCGTAGTTAGGTGCGAACCACTTTCAAGGTATTGATTACGGTGGGAAGCATCGCACACCTCCCCACAGTTAGATATACTTACTCATTTTCACGGGAACGCAGAAAGTAAGGTGTGTTGCGTGAGCTGCCGCCAGTGCTGCCACCGCCCCCACCGCCGCCGCCGCCACCGCCACCGCCGCTGCTGCCGCCCTTCTGCGGACTGAAGCGCCGCATGCCGTTGGTCAAGCTGCGAGAGCGCGGCACACGGGATCCGCTGCTGCTGCTGGAGCTTTGGCGCTGTTGCGTCGGCGTTGTTGTCTTGCCTGAGGGATTTCCGCGCCTGCCGCGCCCCGTAAGATCCGCCCCGGCCGGAGCTCTGCTGCGTGCATTAAGGCTGTCGGCGCTGCTACCGCCGCTATTGTTCAAATGTGGCACGCTCGAGGCGCGACGCACCATGACTAGACACAGCTCCTCAACTGGCTATATAAGGCTATAAGGACTTGAACTATCGCTGGCTTAGACCGATGCAGCCACATGGCTACGGCACGCACACACACAAACTAATGAGCCAATTGCCTGGCCAGCAAGCGACCGTTAAGCGAATTATTCAAAATATTAAAAACGCGCGGAGGGACTCAACCGCGCGCCTCGTCAACTCAACACGAACTGAGCTTCAAGTTCACCGAGGCGACTTTTAATATACATTTGTATATATGTGTATACTCCAGATTTATGGTAATTTTTTCATTCACACACACACACCCACACACCAGGTCACGTCAAATGGACGCGAGTGACCACGCGTCGGCTTTAGCTATAGCGTTAGTGGCACCTGTATAGCTCTACCTGTACCTTTCGTAATTTTGTTGTGGCTGTTGCTTCGCTACTCGCCACTCGCTACTCGCTTCGGCCTGGCAATTAAATCAACGCGCTGTTTTAGTAAACAAACCCCGTCTGGCCTCCTGTTGGAGCGTTCGTGCAACACTTAAATTATTGTCGTGCCTTATTTACATTTACTTCAGCATAATCACACCAAATGTGAATAATACATACACAATATATATATATATATATATATGCACTTTTAAAATTCTTTTATAGGATATTAAACCCAAGTGTACAACTATTAGCAGTTACTTAAATGTGGGTTAGGCTGTCTATTTCCGTTTTACGTACATCCTAGTGGTATCCCTATATATATACTCATAAATGTATGTAGTTTAGTTGTTGGTGAGCGCGCCTCTCTCTCTCTCTCCCACACCTTGCCTGTTGTATGCCAGTGCTTAACCACAGGCAGAGAGTGGACGCCGGCATCGCTCGCTTTTGCTTTCTTTGCAAGAGCTGACGCCAAGCAATTCTCAAATAGTTATAGCTTAGCAAAAGTAACAAGGAGAAGATAAATGTCTGTTGATCATAGAATGGATATGAAGCATTGTTAATTAGTAAAGCAAGGGCGCTCAAGTGAAGGTGATCTACTATTTCCGACCTTGACTAGTCTATTAAACATTCCACAAGATCGTTCTCATCAATTAATTGATTAGGAATCAATTAGGAAATTAGGAATCAGACCATAATGGGCAGCTTGTATGCAAAGCTATTTCAGAACTTTCGAATTTCAGCATTCGTAGATTCTTTTATCAACTACCGATAAGTACTTTCGTTCCTTTTTGCTAAAGTATATACCATTTCAAAATCATATAACTAGATCTTCATGTATAACTCATATAACTAGATCTTCCTGTGCTTTTATCCTGATGGCATATAACGGGTATAGTAAGCAAGTGAGAGAGTAGTTAAGTCAAAAACCATCAAATTACCCTCGTCTTGGCTATTATAATTATTATATTATAATTATCATCTCATAATCATTTATTAAATTAATTTAAGTTTAAGGATATAATTGTTATATTATTTTAAAAAGTTTTCGTTTCTACAAAAAGTGTTAAAGCTTAAAGCTTATTAAAATTCCTGCGCCTAAGCAGGGGCATTGTCTATAAACAATTATTCGAATTAATTAAATTTCAATTGAAATATTTTAATAAATATTTGTAATTAAAATAAAATTTAATAAATATTTGTAATTAATTAAAAATTAAAAACTATTTATATATATACATATAACCCACATAAAGACGAGGATCTGCAAAATACAAATTATAAATTCTTTTATATCACAATTCCTAAATATCGTTAAGAATCAGTATCGAGTTTGACTTGGCTTTCAAAATAGATGTTTTTCCATTTCCTTTTTAGAATATTACTTCATCTGTACCCGCAAAGGAACTCAGGTAGAAGATAGCTGAGTACTGCACCACAAACCCCGCCGAAATTCATTAAATACGATTGATTCCAATATTATCAAATATTAATTATTATTGCTTCCCTTTTATTAATAAAAAAACAATTAAAAACAGGTGACAGGATGAGTTATTGAACAACTAATTTTCCATGGTAAACCCCATATTCGTGGTCGCTTTATAAACTGTATACTTATGATCTTAATAAAGAACATATATATGCCATATTGACTGCCACGCCTCCTGCTAACTGCGATATGCTTTCTCAGAGAATCAATATACACTGAAATCCCAATTTTTCATTGGTTCAGGCCATTAGATCCCCCACACCCATTTTAAAACAAGTAAGCAACTAGATGGTTCACTTATTGAATGTTTATTTCTTGCATATCGATTGCAATTAGATGTTATTGTTGTTGTTTTTTAAGTTTTTTTGTTTCTTTTGTTTATTTATTTATATATATATATATGTATATGTATATGTATTTGTATATATATATATATATATATATATATACATATATATACATATATATATATATAGCTAACGATAGTCATTAGGTTTAGTTAATCATAATTATAGCTACTGATGCTGGGGTAAAGTTAAGTCTAAACGTTTATATAGATCTCACATATTTACAAAAAAATATAATATATCTGTATATAGAATTCCTTACATATATACGTTTATCGTATGCATAATAATATATTTAAGATTAGCTTAGTTTATGCTGCAGCCAAGTTTGCCGGAGACGCATTTGAGCCTGGACTTCGTCTTCGATATAATTTTATTTATGTATATACATATATATATATATATTATATATTATACACATATATATTCCATAACGTTATCTGCCTTCCCTTAGCATTGAATTTAATTGTATTTTTTTGTATATTTTTGTTTTCTGTTTTCCGAAGTTTTGGAGACATCGAATAGTATTTTTTAACATTTAATAAGCGTAATCCATTCTGTTGTGGGTGTTGTTTTTGCTGTTGTTGCTATAGGGGGTTTATTATGTAGGATAGTTAGGATTTATGTAACTTAAAGTAGATTCTAGAACTATGTACAGAGTTCCGAATATTATTTGGACTTAACACCCGGATAGAGACCCTCAGAGTATTTGGGTCGGCACTCGGCACAGAACCATTTGCCCTGTGGCGCGACCATGATGCCTACGCATTCGAAATGGAACCACTCGATGAGACAGTTGTCGCCATCACAGGCTATCATCTCGGAGACCTCGTCGTAAGGGCAGCGACAATAGCAATACACCGATTCACCTTCACGAGCCAATCGAGCTCCGGCTGGCGGACGAATTGGATAGCGTATATTGTTTGCCTTGAAGTATTGCAGCGTAGCAAAGTCCGGATTGGGCAGCAGAGCTGGCGGTATGGGCTGATTGAAAGCTGTTGTTGCGGGTGGTGGTGGCGGTGGTGCGGGCAGCGGCGCAGGCAGTGTCACTAGCTGCGACATGGGCGCCAGCGGGGCATGTATGGGCTGCAGGCTGGTCACATTAATCTCGGCACTCTCATCCTCATCCGAGCTGCTATCGCTGCTGTCGCTGGCCGCAGCGCTGGCGGGCAGCAGGGCCGGCCGTATCTTGAGCGTGGGTATGGGCGGCAATTGTGGCTGCAGCTGCTCCAGTTTAGCTGGAGGTGCCGCTGGCTGCTGTTTGACACGCTTGGCGCCACGTTTAGCGCTGCCGGAGCCAGCTCCGCCGGTTGGAGCACGTCTGTTTCGCTTGCGCGTGTTGCCATTGCTGTGTAAATGCGAATGTTGCTGCTGCTGCTGCTGCTGCTGATGGTGCGGCTGATGATGACGATGTGCCTGATGATGATGATGCTCGCCATGATTGCTGCGACTGCGCTGCTGCTTGGGGGGCGTCGGCAAATCCTCCTTGGCCCAGGTCAGCTGTGGCGGCGGCTGGGGCTTAATCAGCTGCATGCCTACCTGCAGAGGCGGGGCCAAGACACAGCTCATATTCTCATCATCGCTCGTATACCCATAGAATTTATTCGGACGCCTTGTGCGCTTCGAGCGCTTTAGCTGTCCGTCGGCATCGGAGCAGCTGCTGCCCTCGCTCATGCGAGGCTGCCAGCTGGGTCGATGTGTAAGGGGCGTCAATGGGGACTCGGGCAACAGCAATTGTTGCTGCTGCTGTTGCTGATGGTGCTGCAGCAGCGGTGTTGCAATAGCTTCTGCTACAGCGGTAGTTGTCAAACCGTGGGGCAGCAGCTGCTGTGGCGCCACCATTTGCTCCGTGCTGGCCGTTAATTTGGGTTGATTGACTGATTTACACGTCGATTTGCGTTCGCGTTTCTTCTTCTTGTTCTTGGCCACACGCTCACGCTTGTCCGCATAGGCGGAGGCCTCTTCAGGCAGCGATGGCGTCGATGGACGACTGTTTTCCACTATGTCATAGTTGCCGTTGCTGTCATGCGGCTGCTCCTCCGTCGCATGCGCCGAGAGCAGCGCCAAGCGCTTTTGCGCCAACATTTGGCTGGCCATTTTCTGAGGATGTGCATCGTAGAATTCCTCGTCTGTGTCCGAAATGGCCGTATCGAAGTCGGATTCATTGTAGATTGGTGATTTGGGCGATGGCATCACAGGACGCACCTCTTCCTCGTTGTTGCTAGTCACATTCACAACTTCCTCGCTTTTGTTGGATTCCTGCAGCCGTTCCGCCGTCTTCTTCGGCGCCTTCTTAGAGCTTTTTTTGGAAGTTTGCGAATCATTGTCGGAGTCATCATCGCTAGAGCTGCTGCCGCTGGAGCTGCAGCTACAATTCGATCCACACGAGCAGCTTGAGCTGTCTGAATCTGAGTTTGAGCTAGAGCTGCTAGAGCTGTCACTTTCGCTGGACGCATTGTCGGCCTTCGCCTTGCCGGGCGCCACATTCGATGACTTCTTAGGCGAGGGCACGGGCGTGGGCGGTGGAGTGCGTTGCATTTTGCAATAATCATGATCGGAACTGGCGACGTGCATTTTCGCAGGACGTCGCTGCTCTGCAGTGGGTTCCACCAAAACATCCATGTCGTTCGCTTCACTTTTAGCCACCGAGGAAGGCTGATGCTGCAGCAGGTTTTTCCATATGTCTGGCACTTCTTGGGGCTCCGCCTTCTCCATTTTAGCCAATTGTACTTCATCTTTGGGATGCTCCAATGAGTCCAACTGCTCTTGTTTTGGGTCTGTCTCTGTTTTGATGGATTCCTGATCCTTCTGCAGCTCCTCGTTGTCACTTTCAGATGCCGGCGATAGCATAACCCGGGGCATATCCAGATCATCTACAGAGGCGCGCATTGGCAAAGAGGCATGGGCGTTGGAGTCATGCTGTGTGCCTGTGCTGCGGCCTGCATCTGAATCGCTGTCATCACTACTATCCGACTCGGATAAGTTGGGTGCAATAAGATTTAGATCCTCCAGCGACGCCTTGTTGCGTTTGGCTTTCTTGTGTCGTTTACGTGGTATCTGCTCCTGTTGCTCTTCCGCTTGCTGCGCTGGCTGTGGCGACTTATCTTTTTGTCTAGCTGCCGCCTTAGCATCAACATCATCCGCCGCCTTTGAGTTGGGCGAGGACAGTTGCGCACACTCGGTTTTCAACTGCGTCTGCTGCCCATCGCCTTCTACCTGATCGCCGCTCAACGCATACTTCTCTTCTTGCTCCATTTTGGGCTTCAGATTGCAGTCAACATCGTCGTCGGCGACGGGAGCCGGTAGCTGCTTAACCTCATGTAGTGCCGCATGCTTCAGCAGCAGCTTGCGCGAGACAAACTTCTCCTCACACTGCTCCTCCGTACAAGGGTAACGAAAATCGCCCACATGTTGACGTTTGTGCACCTCCAAGTAAATGGCTTTGCTGAAAGTGGACTGGCATTGCTCGCACGTGAATTGCGTGGCGGGCACACAGAAATGGTAGACATGACGCCAACGCTTCTGCAGGCAACGCTTGCAGCTGGTGCTCTCTGTGCCGTGCTTCCAGAATAAATGTTTCGATATGTCCTGCTTGTTGCGATACGCAATCCCACAGCGATAGCAGAGATGCAGAAGCTTGTGCTTCCACACATGAGCCGAGAGCTTGGCCTGAGTATGGCAATCCTCCAGGCAGATATCACAGGCCTGATGCTGCTTGCGCAAATGAACCATCAGTCGAAATGCGGAGGCCAGTGGCGCCGTCTCGCACAGGCAGCAACGGAATTTGGCGTCGAACACGTTACCCGAGACGCAACCCGGACATATGTGGCAAAGCAACTCGCTGAAGCTATAGAAGTTCATGCGGCACATGCAGCACGATATGTTTGCCTTTATGTGCAGCCGTCGATTGTGCGTATACAGCTCTTTGTGTGTGGCCGTAACGTAGCGGCACTGGAAGCACTCGTAGATGCGCTCGTTGAAAGGCTGGGCGAAGCGCCCGTCCTCCAAACTGCAGCAGCTTATGGAGTTCATATAATGGTCGCCCTCCAAGGCCGGTAGATAACTTTTTAGCCTGGCCACAATTGTCTCAGCCAGAAGCTCCTCGGCTGTGATGCTGTCCACCGTAGCTGTAAATCGATGCTGTCCAATCAGATGCAACACCAGCTGCTTAACATTGACGGCGATGCGGCGCGCGTGGTTGCAGTATAAGCAATGCGGATATACGGCCTTTAGGCATAAGCGTATAAAGTCAACCATTTCGAACTTGTCTAAGGGTCTGTCTAGCTGTAGATCCACTGTTTGCGTGTCCTCGCCAGCAACCTCAATGCCATCTGCGGGCGGTGGGGGAGAGTGTGGGCTTGCCACAGGTTCAGCCTCAATCTCAGCTTCTAGTGGCTCTGAGTGTTCTGTTTGCGGGGATTGTTGTTGCTCATTTAGACTATCATCGAGATCCATGCATTCACTGCCCAGTGTATTGCGACGCTCAGGAGCAGGCGCTGGCAATTCGGGCTCCAATTCGTGTTCCGCTTGCTCGTTTGACACATGCGTCGTTTCATTTATGTGATTCTGATTATGCGGTGATGCGGGAGGCGTCAAAGACCAGCGACCTCGCTGCTGCTTTGCTTCAGCTGGTAGCTGCTCCTGTTGCTGATCTTGCTGCACCTGTTGTTCCAATTGTCGCTGCAGCTGTAGCTGTTGCTGTTCTTGTAGTTGTTGCTGTTGCTGTTGCTGTTGCTGCTGTTGCTGTTGCTGCTGTTGCAGTTGCAGTTGCTGCTGTTGCTGCTCTTGTAACTCCCTTTTCGCCACCATCAGGGCCATAGTGCGTTCAATATCCAATTTGGTGCGCTCGAATTCTGCCAGAACATGAGGCAATTTTAAAGTAGGCGAGTCCTCATCGTCGTCCTCCAGCTCGTTTAATAACACATTAGCAGGTATGGGCGCTGTTTCCTGAAACATAGACGCCGTCTCGGTGGCTGTTTCGGTATCCTCTGACAGCGACGACGTTGGCTGCAATTGTTGCTGCTGCTGCTGCACTGCATCCACTGTGAGCAATGGCACGGCACCTCCTTCGCCATCGCCAGCTGTTGATGAGGGCTGTTCATCGTTGTCTTCCTCCTCGGTGTCTGTGCTACTAAGCGCCGCATCCACAGATTTCTGAAACTCTTTAGGCACGCGCAGCATCATCTTCGGTACCACTAGCTTCGGCACGGAATCTTCTTGCGGCGCATCTTCAATGGGTGCTGGAACTGTTAAAATAAGTCGATTAATATTGGCATTGTGTTGGGCAATGATAATCTAAGTAAAAGGCTGATTCGGCTCAGTCTAACAAGCTATTGTGGTTGCTGAAGAACACCTTCTCTCAATAGCTTCTCTATAACTTTTCCATTATGTCCGCAGAATACGTATGCCATTACAGATATAATTATAAAGGTAACAACATTAAGTTATTTTTAGTTATTCCATTCCATCCTTCACAAGACATGACTGCCGTGATCTTATGGTTGAGTCAATTTCACATTATACCCAATTATATTCCTTACAAAAATAATCTTTCCCTAAATACTGATCAAATCTGCCTTTACCATGTATGAATCCTCATAAGAGACTTGACATTAAAAGAATGAACTTACTGTTTTGATCGGGCAACGCGGCTGGTAGTGGCGGCATCTGCGACACCTGCGCTTCAGGCTCTACCCAGTTCGGCAGTTGCTCCTGCTGCTGTTTATTGGGTTTTTGCGGTTCGTCGAGCTGCGTGGCTAGCTGCTTGGACTTTGCAGTCTTACGTTTTCGCCGAGCAGCTGCCTTCTTGCGATTACTGCTGCTGGCGTTGTTGGTGCTGCTGCCATTACGACAGCCATTGGCATGTCCTCCCTTTTGGCCACACAACGCACACGGCTGCATAAGCTCGGCACAGTCGTGATCATCGAAATGGCTGCCGCGCTCAAAGCTCGCCTGACAATTACAGCAGACTAAATAACGAGCACGATCCTCCTGAGTCTGCAGCGTCTGCCAGGCCTCAATGCTGGCAAAGTGACGCTGGTCCATGTCATGCTTGTTCTCCAGATGCAGCGACAACTTCTCAACGCTGGCAAACACATGCGAGCAGTAGAGGCAGATATAACGCTGATGTACCTCGCGCATATGCAGAAAAAAGTTCCAACACTGATGCACAGTGCTGCAACGTGCGCAGCGAAAGAAACGCTCCTTCTTTACGGTGGGCGCAGGAGTGGACGTTGGATTTGGCAGAGCTACAGAACCTGGAAGATTAGTCGCTGCTCCAGCAAATAATGTTTCTGCTGCTATTGCTGTAGTTGCAGCTGCCGCACTTGTTTCTGCTGGCGGTGTTGCTTCTTCTGGCTGTTGTTTGCACAGGGCATAATGCGCATTTAGCTGCTGCAAGTTCTCAAAATTGTTTAAATTGCACTTAAAACAGTTAAGCTGCTGAGCGAGCTCGTTGCAGTTCATTGCCGGCGCTTGCAAACGCTGCAATAGCAAGGAAGAGGCCTGCGGCTGCTGCTGCTGTTGCTCCTCTTCCAGGCAACGATGCTTGGTTGTAGGTTTTGTGTTACTGTTGCCATTGTCTTTGTCATCCCGGTCACTATCGCTGTTGCTGCAGCTGCGCCTGCGCTTCAATGCAACCAGCATTTCTTGATCCTGGACCAGTTCCTCCAGTTGCGGCTGCTGATGCTTGTTCTGCTGCTCGGTCTCAGGCTGATCAATAACCAAGTGCTGTGATGTAGAGCTGACAGAGCTGCTGGTGGTACTCCTTCTGGTTAGTTGTTGATGCTGTTCTGGCTGCAGCTCCTGTTGCTGCTGCTCCTGGTCGTCACTTGCTATCACAGACTGTTGCAATGCATTCTGAGCGTGGTCGTCCTCCTGTTCTTGTTCCTCCTCATCCACGTGCAATTCATCGTTTGCTATATGTGTACCATTTATTTTTACTTTTAGTGGCGGTGTCAGCAGAGTATCCATTGTTTGCCTTTCCTTAATCGAATTATGACTTTGCTGAACTTCTGGCTCCATTTGGATATCGCCTGCAGGTGTTCCACTACCTTCAATTTCATCTACAACATTTTCCGATTCTATCTCCACATCTTCATCCTCAGAATCAGATTCAATCTTTATGATTTCCATGGGGAATTTGCGCTCCATTTTTGGCACCTTTGGACTGGCTTCCTCGATTTTAATTTCAGCATTAAAGTCTTGTGAGGATTCCTCATCATCAGGTATGCTGGCGGGTGAAAAGTCATTGATTTTATAGACAGGTAACGAACCCTTTGCAGGTGGTGTCACTTCGCTATCTATAGTGGCGCTTCCAACTTCATCAGGTTTATATACTGGGGAAGATGCCTCCTCTTGAATATCCTCTTTTTCACTGAGGCCTTCTCTTTCTGCGTATTCTTCGGAATCTCGACCTTCTTTTTTTATACTCTCGGATATTCTTAACGCAATTGATGATGATGATAATCTTTCTTCCTCTTGCATGCTAACAGGTGAATTTGATGTTTTCTCATTCACTTTCATTGTAGGCGTACAATTTTCTTCTTCTTGTGATAGACTCCGCCCAGGTAGTGAGATTTCTTCAACATTTTGATCACATGGAGAGTTCTCAATAAGCATTTTAATCACAGGCGGCGAGAAGACTTCTTCATCTGGAGTAACAGAAAACAGCGGGCTTTTATCTTCAACTTTTATTTGATCAGTTAGAGATAATTCATTGGGTGAAGAAGTTTCAGCATTCATTTCCATCTCCGGTGAATCCATTTCTATGTCCCCGTTCTGTTGGTTCTCTACTAAGGGGCTTCTTGGCTTGTCCGACAAGCCGGATTCAGCGATATCATCGACATTGATTGCAAGTATAGGACTTGCCTGCTCGACTTTAATGTCGATCAAGGATTTTGCGACATCAAGTGATGTGGACGGCTTCTCTTTAAAATCGTCACCTTCTGCAGATTTTTTGCCCACTGTACATTCCTCTTTCACAGTACTTTTAGCTGGAAGTTCAAACGCCTCGTTTAAACTGTTGGCCATTTGAGATGCATCTTGCTTTGCCTCTTGCGGATCAGCTGGTACTTCCGACTCTTCAGTGTCCCGTCCATTCTCTTGAGGACTGTGGCGATGATGCTGCTCAGCTACATCTTTTACATCTACCTCTCGTAACGGGCTGTTGCTTTTCTCCTTCTTTTCCAGGTCGCACACAATGTTGTGCTCTTCTGTTGTGTCATCCTCTTCGCTGGCTGCCGGCGTCGTTTCCGTCTCGCCCGCATGGGGCTCATTGTTAGGCGTGCTCTTTGTTTGTTGCTGTTCCAAAGTTTCCATCATCTTTTTGCATTTATGCGCTGCCATGGCAATAACAATAACAAAAACAAGCGTTAACCAATGTTATCGATGCATGTTAATCGATTTATTTATATTTACCTTTGCATGCCGTACAGCGACGTTGTGCTTACTGTTTATTAGGTTGCGCTTCTTCTGTAAGGTGCTGATTTAAAAAGAAAACGGAAATAAATCAATTTTATTCCTTATGAATATAACGTAATTGTTGCTCAATCAATAGCTTTGATAGCGCGTTAAGCGATAAAAACAGAATGCAGGAAATGACAACAGAAAAACAAAAGAGAATCCGAAAACGAAATACTTTCAATTCATTCCGACTCCTGCTGCTGTTTTGCCAGCCCTGGTGCCGAACGAAGTGCGCACATAAAGAGACGTGGATAATTGAAAATACCAAAATAAATTGCGCAAAATATGCTGCGAAGGCGGAGACAACAGCAGGAAAAAGCAAAAGCACAACTTTCTGTCTAAAAATAAATTAGCAATTTTTACTTTAAATGTTATGCACAAAACAAATCCGTGTATGGAAAAAAAGAAAAACTCGTGCAATCACAACAAAATGTATATATGTATTTTTTAGCATTATGCACGCGTCTCTCTTACCTGCTAGTAGCAGCAGCTGCCGGGGCGGACACGCAGCAGTATTTACGCGCGCAAACAAATATACACAGAGCGAGAGAAAGAGAGAGAGAGGAGTCACCACAACCGACAGCACGGACGCTCGCTGCACAACTGAGCAAGGCACGGCTATGGAGCGCCCAGCGGAGCGGCGACCGCGCGTTTTTTTTTTTCTTGACAAGAACAACACCCCTTGCCCTGCGCTTTACCCATCTACACCTTCCTCTTGTGTGTAGATTGGCCAGACGTTAGTCTCAGCGCTTATACAATTTATGTTTTATTTTCTAATATATTTGCGCATTTGAATGCGTAATATGGGGCGTAAAACAAGCGCTTTAATTTCACAATGATGCGTATTTGCTTACCGCACACAAATTTTGTTGCGCTTGCTTTAAATCGTGAATATAGGAAATTTTTTTGCACGTCTCACATTGCGTTTTGCATTTTTTTTTCACTATTGCTGCGCTTTTTATTTTGAGCTCACTTTTTGTTTAATTCAAGGGTTTGCGCCATTGGCAATTGACTGCATGTACTAACAGTTTTGTATACAATTTGTGTATTTACTATTATTGTTGCTGAAATAACGCGTGAAAAGCAAATTTCTAGCAATTTTATCGACGTTCGCAGCCACTGAACACGCGCAGAAGCCTAGCGATGCGCAATGCGTCGATAACATGTTAATAGCACGCTATGGTGACTGTCCAAATGCAACAATAATCAGAAGCGTACCAAAGCAACACTGCGTATAATTTTTGGGTTCAGTGTAAATTGAATTTTGACATCTCTTTCCGTTTCCTTTTTCGCGTGAGCCGTCATCATGAGAGCCAAGGGATTGGTTAGTATTTAAAAAAATAAACAAAAACTAGTGCAAATTGTGCTAAAAATGTGTGTAACAAGCAGTCAAACATAATAGAAAATCGGTGTAATTAAAAGACTGTGAAAATCGGCAATTACTGTGCAGAAAAAACAAACGCATACTTGAAAGCAACACGATGGGACAACGCGGTCGTCGTGCTTTGTATAGCAGGTGCTATTCTTTTGTAGCACTTTTTGAATTAGTTAACTAAAATATGACTAATTGTTGGAATACTACTATTCAGAATAGAATTTTTGGTTGTCTAGGATTCTTTTAATACATAACCTATAACAAACAACGTCGCTCAACCACCGCGCGCATGTTTGAGTGTATGTGTGTGTGTAAAATGAACTGCATATTTTCCGCATTTGTTTACATGAAATGAAATATGTAATAATCAAATATATTAACATATTTATTTGCTTGCAGTTGAAGGAATACGAGGTCGTTGGGCGCAAGCTGCCCAGCGAGAAGGAGCCACAGACGCCTCTGTATAAGATGCGAATCTTCGCTCCCGACAACATTGTTGCTAAATCCCGTTTCTGGTACTTTTTGCGTCAGCTGAAGAAGTTCAAGAAAACTACCGGCGAAATTGTCTCCCTGAAGCAGGTGTACGAGACATCGCCAATTAAGATCAAGAATTTTGGCATTTGGCTGCGCTACGATTCGCGTTCGGGCACACACAACATGTACCGCGAGTACCGTGACCTGACTGTTGGCGGTGCTGTTACACAATGCTACCGTGACATGGGCGCTCGCCATCGTGCCCGTGCCCACTCCATTCAAATCATCAAGGTGGAGTCTATTCCAGCCTCAAAGACGCGTCGTGTGCATGTTAAGCAGTTCCACGATTCCAAGATCAAGTTCCCATTGGTGCAACGTGTTCACCACAAGGGCAACAGGAAACTGTTCTCGTACAGAAAGCCAAGGACCTACTTCCAATAAACAGTGGAGTAACCCGACCAAAATCAGCTGGTATGAACGCACGGCGTGCGTTTATCAATTGGTTTTCACGTTTTTAAGGAGCAAGTCTTTCTAAGTGATTCTTTCAATAAAATGAGTACGTTGAAGAGTAAAACCATTTGTAGTTTTCAATGGGGGGAAATGTGAAAATATCCAAACAATAATGTTATCTGCAAACATATGTTTTGCATGTAATGTGACCAAGTAAAAATACAATAAATACCCCAGCTGTTTAACAGTGTGTTCAACAGAGCTATGGAATCTTTTTAAATTATGACATTCCCATTATATGTCTTATTATAATAAGTCATTGTCTGCAATAAAGATTTTTATTTTATTTTTTGTTATTGTATTTTAGATCAATTGTCACTGTTCGTTGCGTATTACAGTAAAATTTATATTCGTTCACAGGGTGACTCAGTTGACGTTGCTCATCTCTCATATACGGAGAGCTAGTGCCGAACGGTAACACTGGCACGGAATCAATAAACTTTATTTTCGCAGCTGCGTTTCAGTTTGTTTTTAGTTCATTTGTTCAACTACAGATAGCTAATTACATCATTACATAGGTAAAATAATTAAGAAATATACACATTCGCAAACATGACCGAACGTCGGTTGGAATTGGAAAGCGAACGAATCAGAACGTTTGCTCAATGGCCAACAAATGCGCCAGTTCAGGTCGATGATTTGGTAAAGAATGGATTTTTTGCCACGGGCAATTGGTTGGAGGTGGAATGCAACTTTTGTCACATGCGCATAGACCATTGGGAATACGGCGATCAGGTAGCTGACAGACATCGAACCGCTTCGCCTATTTGTTCGATGGTCCTTGCCCCCAATCACTGTGGCAATGTGCCCATGGAATCCGGACCAGCTTCTGGAAACCAGAACAGCGACTCTGAAGGCAACAGCGTCGTTGATGGTGGCACCGGACAGCAAGGCCAATGCGCTTGTCCGGATCTGCTAATCGAAGCAAATCGACTGGAAACCTTCAAGGATTGGCCAGTTTGTACACACTATTTAAGTCAGCAGAATTTGTTATTAACTTGCATTTTTGCAGAATCCAAATATCACACCCCAAGCTTTGGCAAAAGCGGGCTTTTATTATCTAAATCAATCGGATCATGTGAGATGTGTGTGGTGCAAGGGCGTTATTGCCAAGTGGGAAAAGAACGACAATGCTTTCGACGAGCACAGACGCTTCTTTCCTAATTGCCCACGTGTGCAGATGGGACCGTTAATCGAGTTCGGTGGCAAGGATCTGGAGGAGTTGGGCATACAACCCACAACGATGCCGCAGCGCCCACAATATGCCTGCATCGAGGCACGTTTGCGCACCTTTAGCAATTGGCCCATTGCGAATATACAACCTGCTGAACCGTTGGCCCAGGCAGGCTTATACTATCAGAAGATCGATGATCAGGTGCGTTGCTTTCACTGCAATATTGGTCTGCGCAGCTGGCAGAAGGAAGACGAGCCGTGGCATGAGCATGCCAAATGGTCGCCCAAATGCCAGTTTGTGCTGCTCGCCAAAGGGCCCCAATATGTGAGACAGGTGCGGGAGGCAGCAGCTGCGTCCCCCACAGCGGCCACAGCTCCAGAGCTGCCCACCAGTATTGGCAGCGCCATGTCTGCGGAACCGGCTTGTGCGGCTCTTGCTTTGGGCATCGATGTTGGCGTGGTGCGGAGCACAATTGCCAGAAAGTTGTCAAGTTCGGGTTGTGCCTACGACACGCTGGACGATCTGCTGCATGCTATATTCGATGATGCTGGTGGCTCTGGAGCTGCACTGGAGGTGACTGAACCGCCGGCCATGACGCCAGCTAATGTTGCCTGTGAAGCCACGACGAGCAAAGCGACACCTGTGGAACCAGCCAAGCCAACAGTAGTTGATGCAGTAGCTGCTACCTCTGCAGTAACTCCTGTTGCAGCAATCACCAACTCCAATCCCAATGGCAATTTGTCCCTTGAGGAGGAGAATCGCCAGTTGAAGGATGCTCGCCTGTGCAAAGTGTGTCTGGACGAGGAGGTCGGTGTTGTATTCCTGCCGTGTGGACATTTGGGTGAGCTATGGAATTCAAGTTATTTTCGGTTAATTACAAATCTCATTCTCTTGGCAGCAACCTGCAATCAATGCGCGCCCAGCGTGGCAAATTGTCCGATGTGTCGAGCTGAAATTAAAGGATTTGTGCGCACCTTCCTCTCCTAATTGTCACCTGCATATCTGTAATTGAAAGACCATAGCATAATTAATGTCTACTATGTACTTGTACCGCCTAAGCAACTGGTGGGCGTCTCTGTCGGTTGTTTTGCTCGTTTATCTAACTAGTAGTTAACTCAATTTGCAATGTTATTAACTGTGTCGTGTGTCGAATATCTAAGCGTATTGTGAGTTGTATTTTTTTAAATATTGAATCTGCTGTTTACTGTTTTAAAATACCCTCGCATGATCTGCAGAAAGATATGTTTTATATAGGCTTGTGGCTTTTTACTTTTCAAATTAGTGAATCCCCAACAGAATGTGCACATCGAATTGAACCTGAAACTCTATTTATTATGTGCTTGTTATATTTAGATATAGATCAAATCGTTAGCTCCCAGTTTCTATCTGCATATCAAGCTAGATGACATATGTGTATTTACCATGCGCTCTTACAGCTGCATCTGTGAGGGTATTTTTGGAAGGCGCATAAATGTTTATATCTTGTTATTAATTGTGTTAATGGGTCGATGATTTTTTGCTATACACAAAAACCAAATTTAAATGAATAATAAATATATATGTAAATGTTAAAAATGCATTTAGTGGCTGATTTCGCAGCAATTTCATTTGAAGTAATTTTTATCTATATCATACATATTTTATCTTTCTATAATCGCTATAAGTTAAGGAATTATGGCATCACAAATAGTATTGATTCTATCGGTAGGCAGCTATCGATCGAACCTTGCCACTATCGATTATTTTTTGCATTCATATTTACACCGATTCCAGCGAAAGTGCCAACTGTGGAATATTATATTTTGATTTATTTATATTTAATTCGATTTCTTTTTAAAAACTACAGAGGTTACTACATTGCCCACTTTGCCTCCGAATTTGAATGTGGGTGTGGGTATTGTGCAATGCTTGACAAAGAGATGCTCAAAGCTATGCACCAACTCTTCTTCCGTCCAGTTGCAGGAGGTGATTATGAAGTGGCTTTGCTCATCTTGCAACAGCTTCGAGACAGTGGCTAAATAATTGTTGCGTTTCTCTTTGGGATCATCGGGGCACAAGCTGACGGCATCGTAAGTGCCCTTATCGTGTATGATGTTGTAGCTGCCCAGAGTCTGCGATTCGTTTTGGGTCAAGTCCGCCACATTGTAGCTTATGTCTAGAGCTTGATCCTTGGCTATGCCCATTGCCAGCTCGATGGCCTTTGGGGAATAGTCAACGCCCGTAAGCTGTGTGAAGCCTTCGTTGGCCAGGGCAATAAGGAACATCCCATTACCGCAGCCCAAGTCAAGTACACGTGCTGTTTCTTTGTCGATATTTTCCTGCTTCAATAGCCAGTCGACAATTCGTTGTTGGGAGTCTTCGTCGAACCAGATTTCACCCACATCGCCATGGCTTTTGTAGTTTTTAATTTCTCGTGTGTAGCTGGTTTCCCAGTACTCCCTAGTGCCCAATTCTGAGCCCTCCAATTCCATTTTTATGTTCAATCTAAACTCAGCTGACCAGCTGTTCGCCAATTGAGCGTTTTGGTATAATGTTATTAACAGCGATAAGTGCTATCGTTTCTGAGTCGATGTATTTAATCAAAGTGAGAGGCGTATCGATCGACGAAGCGTACCAAAATTAAAAGAATTTGCATTATTGACTATTTAGGACATAAATAACATATAATTCTCCATTGTTTATAAAACAGTTTACTTTTAGAGTTCAGCTAAATTTAAAAATTACTGAAACTATTTTGAATTTCAATTTACATCAGAACAATCAAGATTAATTTTAGTATTATCGATAAATTGAAATACACTAACAACAGTTTGGAGAGCATTGCACTGTTTAGTAACAGCATTTCTTAAACATTTAGCTGTGCTACGAGGGCTTGCATTAACAATGCTATTATCTGTTATATGGCTGTTATATTTGTTAGTGAAACTCGTCAGTCGACTGTTTCTAGATGAAGCGTACGTGTCTCGCGCGTTCCGATCTTGAAATGAATCTTAAAAAGCAGTGCTCACGATAATTATTTTGTTTAGTTAAGCTGAAGTTTCTGCGTACCGGGCGCAACAATAACGCAAAGAATTGTGGCAGATAATTTTAGAGAAGAAAAACTAGATACAAGATACCAAATACGCGCGTTTCTTGGTGTGTATGTGTGAGTATTACATTATGTACATATTTGTGTGCGTGTGTGCATTATGCTAACTGCTGCTACTAAGTATGCGAGCGCGAGCGAGATAGTGAGTGAGAGTTAGAGTGCAACATTGTGATTGTGTGGCAAGAAGAAGCAGAAGAAGCAGCAACGCCAACGCGCTCCCCTTTCGATTGTGTCTGTATTTGTGCCATTGGTGGTGCCTGTTACTCTTGATACGTTTCGTAAATTGACGCCATGAAAAAATCTTCACAAAATTTAATACTGGCCAGAGTTTTTGTTTCGACATATGCACAAAAATACACACATACTCTCATAATCACGTATCTCTATCAGTTTATATATGTATATATACATAAATATGTATTTATGAGTGTGTGTTTGTTTCTATATATACAACTCTTGCTTAATTGAGGATCCGTCATCGCTTGGTTTCGAGTTTATTTTTACTGCTGAGTTTTTTGTGTCAGACCTCAGGTGGCGCTAGCACCTAGGTATGACCAATGTCCAAGGTATTCCCCCAAAAATTGCAAAACTCGTGCCCAGAATTACGAGGAAAAAATCTGCAGCTCAGCAAATTTGCTTTTGTTGTGCCTTTTCGGTTGCCATAAGAACAGTTATATTTCGTACAACTGGGACGCGCAAAGCTTGCGTGTGTGTGTTTGTGTTCGTATCAGTGTTTGTTTTGTAAAAAATATTTCAACACGCAGTAGCTGAGCACCGATTCCCGTTATAACGTCGGCATACATATGTATGTATGTAAATAAATAAATTCCGCGTTCCCACTTAGTAAATATTCACATATATGAAGTGTGTGTGTGTGTGCTCGTGTGGTTGTGCATTCTTCTGTTTTTCGATTGCTTAGCAATTGGCGCACATTGCCTACGACCCGGCGCATTACTAAAATATTGATCTTAATTGCAATTGCAATACGAAAAATTTAATTGCTGCCAGCGTCGATGCTCTATTACTCATGCATGCAGTTTCTGCTAGTACCCTTCTCCACTCTCCTATTCTGTCTCTCTTTATCTCGCCTTCTCTCCCTACCTCTCTCTCTCTCTCTTCATCTCTATCTCCTAGGCTACAGTGGTTGTTGCCCATAAAAAAGGAAAATGCACATAAAAAACGTGCAAAGCATGCATTTTGTGTTTGTTAACATATTAATAGACACTCATTTTGCAGTTTATACCAGTTTTGTTGTACACCAACACATGAATAAAGTGTTAAATATTGTTAAGTATATGCGTGTTGTTATTGTTACGGCAGCAGCCGTATCAAGTGTTGTTAAGATGCAAACAAAAAAGCTAAAAAGCAATAATCGTTTAACAAAAAATGCTAGAAATCACTAAACCAAACAAAAAAACACTGTGGAAACTTGCAAAATGTTTATAAAATATAATTAAGAATAAGTAGGACAAAATTGTAGCTGTTGCATTATACAATTCAACAAAGTCAACTTCCCGGGCTTGGGTAAATCTATTACAAATGTCTACAATTAAAGAATCATTTGGTAAGACATTTTACAGAAATACCTGAGAAGTTAGAAGTATTGTAGAAAAAAAGTGTCTATATATGGTGTTTTGTTGGCTACTAAGCAGCTTATCAACATTTATTTAATGTTTTAAAAACATTTCACATTTAGCTATAAAAAAGCCAAACTGGTACATGATGCATCATCGAGATCGAAATTGCCGCGTGTTTGTACTCCCTCGCTCGCTCTCTTTGTCGATGCGTGCGCTAGTGTACCTGCTTGTGTATATGTGTGTGTGTATTAATCGCTGTGTCTCAACTCGTTGATTAACTAGTTTTATTTGATTTTTGCTGAATGTCAATTTCATTGTAAATTGCAAGTGGCTGAGGCATTTTTGCTACACTAACAAAACAACAAATAAAATATAAAAAAAAAAACAAGTTGCAGTTGCTGCTTGGGGTGTTTACCATTTTTGCATGAAGGTCAAGTGCCTCCGTATCCGCCCCTCCCCTGTTGTTAACGTATTTCGTGGGGCAGCACTAATTGCTTATTGCTTGTTTACTTTTACTTCGACATTTCGGTATTTCGGTATTCGCATGAACATTCGAAACGGGAGCGAAATTTAACGGTAGCTGGTCCATCCTAAAGGGGAAAGGATTGATCGTGTTGAAAATCGCTAGTTGCTGCTTGCTGCTTTGAGTAGTCCACTTTAAGGACAAGTGAGGCGGCGAGACGGCGGGATAGCAGTACTGATAGGCGGCTGCAGCTTTGTGTGTGAATTTGCGATCAATGGCATCAGTTCGCTAAATAATTTGACCTCTTGAGTCAACCATTAATATACAGCTGCTGCTTGATTCTATTAGCTGAAATATAGGGTAGTTACACACAAGAGGCCTCTCTGCTTGCATTTATGAGTGTTAAAAGCTGAGATCTCTGCTGCTCCTCTGCTCTGTGCTCAGTGCTCTGTATGCGGCCATACTTGCTTGAGTGTTAAATCTTTATGGCCACACTGGCAGCGACAAAAACTCTAGAGAAGGTCACGGTTATATACAAAATAAATTGAAACGACAAGAAAACCAGACTTGAAACTCTTGTATTTGTGGTTGGTGTTGCTGTGACTGCTGCTGCTGCTATGAGAAGACATTTGCTTTAATCGAGGTAACGTGCCAACGATCGCGATCTCGCTGCTCTAGACAGACACAACTATATATATATATATGTGTGTGTGTGTGTATTTGTGTGTGTGTACATATAATAATACGCATATATAAACGTGCATAGATTTTGGCAGACATGCCACTCCCTTTCAGTTACAATCAGTACCACGAAATATACACATTTACCTACACATACCGTACATAAAAAGATATTAACGGAAGTACATTCACCTGATCAGTTGAATGAACACGCGCAGCGTTGCTTTAATTTTACTTCTACTTTTTATATATTTTTCTCTCCATTTTTTTCGCTCTTGCTATTTACGGCTGTCACATTTTATGGACAGCTGTTTGTTTTTCTTTTTCTGGTTTTTTTGCTACCTGTCGCTAGGGTCCACTCACGTGCAAACAGATCATAAATGTGGGAAGCACGCGCTTGTTTGCATTTGATTGCATTTAGCTATCATGCCAAGTGAACAATTTAAATTAAAAACCGCCAATCGGGCGTTCAAGTGTTATAACTTGTGCTGCGCCTGTTATTTCTCACAATCAAAAGACGTAGTTTCAGCTGCATTTGCATTCCCAAGTTGATGCGATTCAATACTTTCTATTTATTTATATTTAGAGTTTAAATAATTTTCTTGCTCATTCAACCATGAACTGTAATTGAATTGCATTATTTGGTATTTAAAATTTAAATTTAAAACAAAAATACTGATTGCGTCAGTCAGTTTCAGTATTTTTGTGTACATCTGCTAAAGCGTTAATAGTGACTGTTATCTCATTGCTGCTCATCTCTATTGGAACTTGCTAAACCTGACCTGCCACAATTCGTTACTGACCAGCACTGCTGGTGTTTGTATTCATACAGGATGGTAGGAACCGTCACATTTGCAACAGACATTCCATAGCTATGCAAGAACTATTTTCTAAGTATGGAATGTCGGCTAATCGAAATGTTACTCCAATTACTTCTGTTATACATATTGCAGCTATAGCAGTTCACGTTTGTCCCACTCACGCTCATCTCTAACAGAGCTTGTCTAAACCTGACCTGCAGCAATTTGGTACTGAACAACACTGTATTTCCTTGGTTTATTTACAGGACTTTTAGTTATCGCTTTACAGCACTGATCCAAAGAACAGCTGAGCGGCAATGCGAACAATATGAATGGCAAAGAACAAGCAGCAGGCCGGGAATTCAAGCGCAATTCAAATGCCTACGCAAGTTTGCCAGTAACAACATCTAAAGCAAAACGTAAACAACAGCAGCAACACGAACAGCAACAACACCAACAAGAGTCGTTACGCGAGCCAGAACGATATGGATTATCACACAGCTTATCCAGCGAATCGATGAAACAGGCGTGCGACTATTACGACGATGAGCCAAGCGACGACGATTTGATTGAGATACAGCAAACGCCGCAAAGTTTTTATCAACAACACCAGCTGCAACATCCGCATCTCCATTCGCATCCAATTAGCTTTAAGATGCCACTGTCTTTGGACGATGAACGAGATGCATTCTGTGACGTAAGGCAAGAACCACCCTTGAGCACACCCGTCAAACAGTCAGCGGTTGTGCCGGATGAAGCGCTAAGTGTGTTAAACGAACTCGATGCCATACTTGATGTGCATGGCGCATCGCAGCTCAATGGCAACAATTCCACCTGCGACACACCATCCTCCGATGATGACAAGGTCGAGGACTATCTCATGGACCTGGACAACTATCTGGAGGAGCTGGACAAAGAGGATCCCCTAGCCATTGCGACTAGCCAGTCAACCTTAACGCGCAATCCCACACCCACACGCACACGCACCCTGCCCCTGAGTCGCAAGCGCAGGCAGCATAAGCCGTCGCCAGAGGACGCGCATCCAGTCGTCGATGCTGAGTTCCAGCGTGGACATCAGATGAGGAAAACCTTTAGCTGCGGCCTAACACCCACAAGCATCAATGGTAAATATCCAGTGCTCAGCACGCACACAGCTCTGATGTAATTACCGAACTATGCCTGATTCAATCGGAAGCTTAAAACTTTTTAAAGGGCAAAACTAATGAATCATGGTCAATTCAGATTTTTCAAAAAGTATTGTGTGAAATGAAATCAAAAAAAAACAGAAAAAGATTTGTTAAGGATACAGAGGCTCAATCCAGCTGGTAATCGAATTGAGAACAGTTCTGATCCAATGTGGATCATCAAAAGTTTCGATTAGTTTTCGAATATCAACCATCAAAAGAAAATGAATAAATTAACTAATAACTAACGGCATTTGTATATAACTCAATTTTAGTATAACTTTGCGAAGTATTTTTTAGAACTAATTAAAAAGTTGAAACTAAAACAATGCGAGCGAATAGTTAATGACTTCTGTATATAGAGTTAAAATCCAGCTGACTATTTAGATTGACTGGACTGACTGGTCTGTAAGACCAGAAGTTAATAAACATTTATGGAGACATAGGAATATAAAGAAAATAAAGTGAAAACCCAGATAGGAACAATTCGTTAATCCAGACTGTTAAGAAACTGCGTGTTAGATTTATGATTTTACCTCGACCGACTCTCGCCGGATCTTGGAACTGGCATCGTATAGCACATCACATCACATTTGCATATCAAACTTTTCAGTCTTTAGCTCCGATGCTGACGAGAATGACACTGACACACATAGCCGAGTCTATATAATGTCCACGCCAAGCGGCCAAAAACTTTCATTAAAGAGACAAAGCTGTCCATAACGTTTTGCCCGATCAAATACATAAATACCTTAAGCATGCATAAATAGCTTAAGCAGTTCATGAATAAATTTTAAAGCGCATAATGATGCTGAATGAAGCCATTAAATTTGACTAGTAATTATATGTGGCTAAACCAGTTTAAGTGAACTACTTTTTCATACAATTATCAGACTATGTCGAAAATTTGAGAAAGTCGTACAACAGAATATAAGTTCGTTAACAATTAGCATTCTATCATATTCTGTGGCTCAAGCTAATCATTTTGTACTTTTGCAGGTGGCTCGAATGCATCACTCGAACCCGGCGCCAATGGGGCTGCTGAGGTGGACGTTTGGAGGCGGCAATCGATGCGACGCGCCATGGGTAATGTGGAGGAAACCAAAGCCGGAACAGTGGACGAGAAGGAGCAGGAGCAGGAGCAGGACGAGGAGGAGATAGCTGAACAGGCGTCGCACTCCAGAGCGTTGCTTGTGCAGCTCTCCAGCTGCGAGCCGTCGACTGACAGCGAAATGCGACGCAGCTTCTCGCAGGGCGATTGCCAAGCAGGACAGGAGATGCTCACCGAGGCGCAGATATTTCACAATCTCTTGCAAAACGAACAGCGCACAGCGCGCGCTGTCAGCGAGCAGCTGGAGCAACGACCACGGCAATACGGACGCCGTCTCGAAGGGCATCCGTCCATGAGTCCGGCACGTGGCATCGGACTCGTCGCCACGCCGCTTAGTCGCCCGCAGAGTGCGCCCGCGCAAACGCAACAGCCAAGCGAGTTGCGAGAGACGCCCACGCATGCCATGATGTCAACTCTTTGCTCAGAGCTAAGTTCGGCTCGCTCCTCACGCATACCCAGCCCCGTTTCGCTGGTGAGCAGCAACAGCAGCGGCAGCAGTAGCGACAGCTCCACAGTCAGCACGGCAGCCGACCAGGATCAGCTGGAACTGGCGCAAACGCAAACAACGATGTGCAGCGGAAGCAGCGGAGGCAGCAGCACAACGCCATTGGAGCCGCAGCTGATGCACGAGAAATGCGGCTTCAATAGCCAATGGCCACATGCAGCGAGTCGCACGCTCGCGCTGCTGGGCTGCATTCTGGGCGTGTTCAATCTGTGCCGGTTTGCAGTGCTCACCATCAACTATGGTGGGAACTTTCTACTGCAGTTTCTGCTGCTGTCTATCATATTTGGGATACCCTTGTTCTGGCTGCAGATGTGTTTGGGCGCCAAGATCAAAGCCGGTCCCGTTTCCATGTGGAAAATCAGTCCCATCTGCTCCGGCGTGGGCATTGCTCTGATCATGGTGCAATGCTTCCTGGCAATCTATTCAACTGTCGCGGTCGCCTGGATACTCGTCTATCTGCGCGATGTCTTTCCCTCGCCCATGTACGCGCACAACGTATATCGATGGCAAGAGCAGCCGTTTCCCTATCGCTACGATGCAGCTAACGATACGGGCAATCTTACCAATACGGTGGCCGAGTATTTCAATATCGTGGTGCTGCAGCGCCTGCATCTGGCCAAGCATCTAGACGTAGGCGGCATGCGTTTCCATGTGAATGATCGGGTAGGTGTAGATCATGTTTGGTGTCCAGTCCTATTTATAATCAGCTAATGATTTATTTCCTTCAGCAGCTGGCGGCCTGCTTGGTCCTTATCTGGGCGGCCGTCTTTCTGATACTCTGCAAGGGTCTCAAATCCCTGGGCAAACTGACCTTTCTGACCAACACGTTGCCCTTCATGGCACTCATCGCTGTCACTGGCAAATTCGTCAGCATTGTGGATCCAGCTAGTCTACAGGTGTGTCTACCTTTCTACTGCATAGAAAGCCGTGTGAATTATAATTACAACTAAAAAGCTGGCAGGAAAGGACTGTTAAGTATTGAAGAGTTCATATGAATGGAACTCAGATTGAATCAAAGACAATAATAATACAAATCTATATATTAAGAGACAAATACCAAACAATTAAGTTTTTATTTGTATAGATATAGATATTAAATTAAAGTGTGTAGTGTAGGCTAACAGCTCAGCTTTATATATATTATTTTTAAGACTCTCTCATTGCTTTAGTAACCCCCTGTTTTGTGTCTTCCCTTTCAGAACGTTTTTGCAGCTAGTGATTTTGATGACTTTTTGGTAAATTCGAATTCATGGACAGCGGCCACGCAGGAGACGTTTCTTACATGGGGTCTGCTGGGCGCCTCGGTGATAGCTATAACGAGTCGCACCCATGCGAACGCCAGCAAGTTGACGCTGCGACGCGACGCAATACTCGTCGTTCTGCTCACGCTGCTCGGCTTGAGTCTGGTGGCGCTTCTGGCGCTCTGCTGCGAGCAGATACTACGACAACATGGCTATGTTTATGTGCCTGGTTCGTTTGGTATGTTTCAAGGCAACATCAATTGAAATTTTTGGCTAATTCTTTGTTATATGTTTGCAGAGACGCCGGAGTCTTATACGTCCGTGTATTCGCTGCAGGCGCATCCCAATCCGCAGCTGCTGTCCTATCCTCGTTCGCTGGTGCCGCACTACTCCTCGTTTCTGGGCGAGACCTATCGCAGAAACAAGACCATATTGCACATAGAGAGCGGGTTTCAGGCGCTGCGCTTCATTACGGAGTTGCTGCCCGCTGTGCTGTCGCTGGCTAGCGATGCCGTCTCCTGGGTCTGGGCCGCTGTCACCTTCGGCATGTTCGCGGGCTTTGGTTTGGCGCAGCTATGCGTCATGTGGAAGCCCATTTCGAGCGCACTGGGCAACTCGACGAGCTCGGTGCTGCTTAGTTGTGTTACTGGAATGCTGCTGAGCATTCCGTTTGCTACCGAAATGGGCATCCCCATTTTGTACTATGTGGACTTTCTGTTGGGCGGCTCTTGGTTTATACCCATCATTTGGGCCGCGCAAATATTTGGCGTGTTTCTCATACGCGGCCGACCCTACAATGGCGACGATCTGGTTAATGATCTGCACATGTGCGGCTCCATGTCTGCATTCTTGGCGCTCTCCTGGAATGTGCTGCTGCCGATTGGCCTGATTACTCTCTCAGTGATTGATTATAAGGCATCGCTGTCTAATCAGTTCTATTATTGGCGCGGCAAGTCCTATTTCAGCTATTGGAGCCGCAAAATGGGCAGCCTCATACAAATTGGCATTGTGCTCATCATACCCGTAACGGCCATTGTGCAGATCTATCGTTATCTGACCAACGGTCCCCCAGATATACTTGAGGTGCGTCCATTTAATTTAAGCTCAATGCAAACTCTATTTCTGTGTTTTGTACTTACTCGCTTTCAGCGCATTCAACACTTGTATCGCCCGCCCGAGGACGGCGATACTTTGCGTCGTCCCTCCGCACGTCAGCGTTCAGCCTTGGAGAGACGAAATGCGTCCGCACAGCAACAGGATACTGTTCAACATGATGCACAAAACGATGCGCCGCCTAAGTACACGCCTCCACCATCCTACACTACAGCAACGGGAGCTCGTTTGGCCAAATTGTTGCGCCAGAGCATAAGACGCAGTGTGCGAAGGTTAGAGGCTTTTAGCAAATGGGCTTCAAAATATAATGTGGGCAGATTGTTATAGTAATAATTAAGGTGGACGAAACACATTCTGATTATTAGTTACCAGAAACCATTTAAGATGCAATGCCAAACATTATTTAAATTGTTCTGTAGATAGCTCTAAGACTAGAGTCCTAACTCAATGCAGTTTCAGTTAATGATAACGATAAAAAAATCTTTTTGGGCGAATCCGGTGTAGAAGAGGCATAGCTAGAGCACCTATTGAACAGGGGCAATCAGTATATAATGGATTTATTAAGATGTATGTAACAGGCGGAAGGAGGCATAGCAGACCCCCTAAAGTGTGTATATTCTAGAGCATTACAGCGAGCTTAGTTGAGGTAGCCTTGTCCGTATGAATGAAAGCTTTGCTCTCAGAACATAGACGTGTTACAGATTCAATTTTTTTCAACTCCAGGCGTCATTGGGTTTTTGGCAAGGCGTTGACAAAGGTGATGTGCGCTGCCGAGGAGATGTTGGTTCGAGTCCTGAAATCTTAATGTCAGTTTTATTTCTTTTCTTATGCTAGACACAAGCCATGGCAAATGTTTAAAAACTCAGATTGAACGGGACTCAGGGTATCACCTAGTCGAGCACATCCGAGAGCTTTTTCTTGTTTTCTATGTAAAAAAAGTATTTAAAAATCGTGCCCCATCATAGTAATTATATCAAGAAGGTTCATAAATACTTATTTTAAAATACAAAATTCAAATTGCGAAAGAAATTCGATAGATAAAATTTAACCAAGTCAATTTGGAAATGTTCAAAAATATGTATAATGATAAAAATAGATGTATATCTTAATTAGTTAGTTTATTAATATTCTTATTTAGAAAACGTATTAGATGTGAACTTTGTTTTGGAATTGCCTACTTCTGATAGACTAGACTAGGGGATTTTGGAGTTCGGTCTTTGTTCAAGTGCTATTTAAAGAACTTGTTTTCCAAGAAGTGCCTATTTATGATTGAAACCATTTGAGATAGATTCATAATTTATCTGTGTATGTTTTGTTGTATTTTTCAGAGTCCTCGGCGATTCATCTAGTCGCGCACGTCCCATACTCTCCTTGGATGCTGAATCGCCCTCGCCCGTTGCACCGCCAGATTACCTGACAATATTGACAAATCCTTCGGGCTTGGATGCCACTGTCGGTCCGCCCACTGATAGTCACAGCAGTCCGGAGTCCATTGAGATTGGGCAGCGGCCAAGTAGCTATGCGCAGCGGTCACAGTCGCTGGGCCGTAAAATCCAGAGGGTTGCGCCTGCTTCCGCCTCGGCCTCGGCGACAGCCACTTTGGAGCGTGGCAGCAGTAGCAGCAGCCACGCAGCTCAACGTCCTTATACGGCTGAGGATGTGGTGACCATATTGCGCTCCTCGGTGCGCCATCGACCGCCGCCGCGGCAAAGTGTTGGCTCATTGGCTACGACCCTGCCTCGTCCACCTGCCATGTCCACGCACCTGGAGGACGCATCGTTTCGTTCGATAGAGAATCTGGTGCTCAATGCAGAGCCGCCGGACCAAACGCCAGGCGTGGACGTGGGCGTTGGCGTGGGTGTGGGCGATACGGAACAACATAATAATAATACATCTGTGATTTAATGACTAATATATATCGTATCGTATCGTATCGGATCGTATCGGATCGTATCCTACCGTACATATAATATATACTACATACATATACATATAGACTATTCTACTGAGGATCACATATCTGCTTGCTTTCTTAGACTTGATTAGCGCTAGTTCAATACGAATATTTGTAGCTATGTCGAATAATTATGTAATAATAAAGAACTAATTAGTATTTGATGATAACGACAACAAACGAAAATAACAAACAAAAAGTGCATTTCAATTTGTTTCTAAATGCTCTTTTGACCAAGGCAGCAGCCGAGGCGGAGAGAGCGAAGTAGAGTGAGAGATCGCCAAGCCTGCTAAGCGTTTGATATTAGGAAATGTCGTAGATACAGCTTAGGCTAATGCAAAAACGAACGACATACAAAATATTGCCTAAATAAATAGATTATTTACCTTTCAAACTATCTTTTATTATTTTGCAGAATACCATCGTGTATATTGGCATCAGTACATACATACACATATTTGTATATTCATACATACACATGCACATACAACATACAAACATACTGTGCCTACACATACACACACACATGTATATATATATATATATATATATATATAAATATGTATGCATATGTATATTTCCCTGCACGCATACTGCTAAATAAAAACTTATGCATGTATAAAAATATGCATACATATATATGTAGATAGAACGCACAAACATACTATGGATAGATACACACACATATAAGTATATATATATAAGTATATATATATACACACACAGAGATAAACAGAAACTCATGCATGTATATGCATGCATTCAACATGCAAACATACTATCCCTACACACATATACATATATATATTTCCCTGCACACATACATACAACCCAGTGATAATAAAGTTCGCTGCTTAACTTACATATATATGTGTGTATATAATGCAATATCATAAGTAGCAGCAGAGATTTCCCGGCATTGCCTGGCCTAAATCTATTACTTTGTCCTAGCAGTTAGTTGGGAAAAACATTTATGTATTTAAAAACAATCTATTTTAGGTAATATTCAATTCACCCAATATAATACATGCAATAATTTCTTCTAATTGGACTTCCAAACTACCCTCTTCACAATAATAACTCATGATTAGAGAAAACCAGATCTCCGATCTGATGACAATGGGTCAGACTACGTGCCCGGCGGTAGTATGCGGTGCTTTTGCGCAGCCCGAAACACAAATTTAAGCCGATTAATAAACGTGACCAGCCAACTTTTAACAAAAAAAAAAAAAAAGGAAAACAATTTTTGTAAAACGGAAACTACCCAACAGCAACAAAGAAGAAGAGGAGGAAGTAGCATAGTGCTAGCGCGTCTGTTAAATTGCAGTTTAAGAGGAATACTTTTTGCATGCGTGTCTGCACAATTTATCTAAATTTTTTCGTTTTTAACTGGCACAATTCTATTTTTCTATTCATTTTTCGCTTAGCTAATACTCAATACTTTCAAATAGTCACGTGCGCGCCAATTAGACAATGAGAGTTGCCAGTGTGTCGAAAAGAAAAAACAACTCACAAGACATGAAACAAATTTGTAATAAATAAATCAAATAATTCATATAAATCGCAAGTTAAGCTTGTTACTTTAAGTCCTTGCAATTTTGTGCAAGTTAAAGTTAATAAATTTTATGGTTTGTTAGTTGATTGATTGTCAGTGTGGTAGCGCTTAACTCTATTATGAACATCAGAAGCGTACGTTAACAGTGACGTTTAGCTATTGACAGTTGCTTGTAGTTTACATTGTTAGCCACTGTTAACCATCAGAAGCTAGAGCGGATACAGGGTGACCGAATATTACTCTATGTAATAACACTGCAGCACGTTGCGCTTTGCGCGCGTCATTTTCACAGTGCTCGCGTTTTTGTGCTCTCAACAACGTATTTCTCTCTTGAAACTTAACAGCATCTGTTAAATGTAAAGCAGAGTGGTAATAGCAGCTGTAAACATCTTGTTATTGTGGAATTTGTCGTTGAAGCGTGCGGTCGGTTTGACGGTTGTGCGCGACTTTGAACCACATACGAAGTTTAACTGCAGAGAATCGAAATAAAATGAATTTGAAAACGAAAAATTAAGACAGTTAAATGCGCCAAACGGCAATCTTTTGTGAATGAAAACTTGCTTGTGTTGAATTTAATGAAGGAGCGCACGCGTTTTAAAAGTAACTCAATAAACTCTAAATTCTAACTACGATTTGTTGTGCAAAAAAAGTTTTTAGCTTTGCCGCTAACAACAACGCAGACGCCGACGCCGCCGTCGCAGTCGCAATCGCAGGTCGACGTCGCCGTCAAAAAAGTGCTCAAACAAGATTTCCACTTGAAATTCCTGAATTTCGTTCGCGACGCGCAGCAAACAAAAAATAAAAGAAGTAAAATATAAATCGAAAGATAAAAGCGCAATACAAATAAATACCAAAAGTTTCTGCAAGTGCACACAGCATTTTGAATGTGTTATAACGGTGTCTGTCTGCTATGTATATGTATGCTTGCATGTGTGTGTTATAATTTTTTGCAGTTTGAAAACGCTTTTGGATTAGCGGCGCTTTTATTTACATAGACTGTGCACGACTAAACGGTAAGTGTGGCCATCTTTTCGATTTGTTATACTCAATTTGTAGGTGTTAAGGTAAAGCAAATCAGTATAGAAGAAGCAGACATGATAACAACAACAACAATAACATCAATTTGTAGTAGTTTCTTGCATTAGCATTTTTATGTCGCCGTTTGGCTAGTTGACAAACAAACTCGTAGAGAGACAGAGAGAGAGAAAGAGAGAGACGCACGCACATAATACACAAAGGATTTCATGACGTTTGGGTGGGACGCTAAACTAACCCTCTGCCGCAGCCACTGCTGCGCTCTGTATATGCTGTGACGCTCTCTCGCTCTATCTTGTACTTATGCTGATTTGCTCCCTCTCTCACACTCAGCGCCGAATGCTGTGCTACTGAATTTCGCAGCTTTTGCGACGCTGTTTATGCATGTATGTGTGTAAGTGTGTGCGTTGTTTTTATTTATTTTGATGGCGTATTTCGGCATTTCGCTTTGTCAGAGAGTGTATGTACATCTGTATGCGTCTGTGTGTGTGCTTGTGTATGCGTAAGCTTGTCTGCGTTTAGTTTTCTTCTTCTACAGTAAAATGAATTCGCAATAAATATTGCCTATGTCAAATAAAAGGACGATGAGCCAGCCTTTTCCTTCTATCTCTCTCTGATCTCGGGGGACACTAATGTTTTACGACAATTTGTATGCCTACCAACACAAATACAAAACTTAATGCACACATCAATGGCAAATTAGATGTACATACTCCCAAGCAAATGTACTAATAACAATCATTGAGTATCTCTCAACCTCTGTGTTCGAGTGTGTGTGTGTGATTGTGTCATTCGTTGATTTGGCCGTTACTTCCAATACATTAAAGGCGAAGGGGCCTGCCCACTTATGCATGCCTCGTATGTCTCATTTGTTTGAATTCATTTGGTTTTGTTTTTGTTTCTGTTTCGGTTCTTGTCAACTGACAAATTTTTATTGTCTCTCCCGCACTATTCCATTTGACGCACTAATCGCTTAGTTAAAAAGTACACTCAAAATCGTAGACGCCGGCGAAAGACGGAAGCAAGTGTAAATAAACAAAACTACTTATGCACACCAATACTTATTCAAATACACACAGAGAACAATCTGGGTGCATTTGTTAGAGATGTGCATTAACATTGCTTTTAGCAGCAGTTTATACACTGTAGCTGCACTATTAACTATGAACTCTCACTCTTTGAACTAGTAAAGTGCCAGCCTGCCATATTAGCATAATTTTAGAAAGAAAATTGCAAATTCAAGATCAGGAATGTTAAGCATATCAAAAAGGTTATATTTTTCTAATTTCTATATATATGCGTCGTGGGGAACTAAAAATTATATCAAGAAAATTAAGTAAAAATTTGTATATTAAAAGAAGATAAAAGCAATTTTCTAATAATTGTAATTTTGAAGTTTAGTAACAAAATCTGACCAGAAGCAAACGGTAATTTATAAAAAAAAGATACAAATGTATATATACTACTAATTTTTTTATTCGTTTTATACACTCAAATTGTTAGCATTATCCAATTATTTTTAAACATGATCAATAGTTTTTCGCTTAATTTTTTTATTTCATTTGGTTTACCTTAATCACAATCAATTATTCATTAATTGCCCTTCTCTAATCTTCAAATATTGTCGCCTGGGCCGTTTTGCTTGTTTGCTTTTACGATTTCCGAAAAAAATAAATTTGCTGGTTCGGGATTTGATTGGTGCCTGGCCAGTTGCTGCACGTTCATGGTCTTGGGTTTCTTTCCTATCTATGCGTGTCTATTGAATTACGTCTCTATTTGGAATGTAGTGCAATCGATTGAATTGCTATGTTGTCTAATCAAAGTGAATGCAAAGAGGAAAAGCCCAACAAGCGACCCATCGATTCTTTAGCCAGTATCCCTCCGGGGTAGCCCAATTCTACTTTCCTTTCCTCATTTTGATAGTAGCTAAATAAACAATCGAAATCGCATAGCATCGCATCGCATCGCATCGCAATCGGCTCATTTGTGTTTTCAACGCGCCTTTTAATGCCGTCGTTAATTGTGAGCGCTTCGACTTTGCTTGTAATTAGTTGTGAATTGGATTTGGATCACATAAAAGTGTTGATTATACACACACATTCTCACACTCATGTATGTGGATGTTAATGTTAATGTTAATGCTAAGTCTCCAACTGGCTGACTGCCCGGCAGGGTGTGAAGTGTTTTTCTTTTGTGGAATTAAGGTTAGCCTTCTCTATATTTTTTTCTTTTTAGATGTTGTAGTTGTAGTTGGTGTAGTGAAAGTCTTGGCTCCGGCTCTCAAGGGGCACAACTTGGTTAGCAAATGAGCCCTGAGACTGGCCCCATGTGAAAGAAAAGCCTCTTAAGTACTTTTTGCTCAGCAAGTTTTTCTTCTATTACCAAGAAAATAATGTACAAAAAACAGGACGTCCCTGACATAAAATGCTGATTTTACTACTGCACAACATAAAATAAATTAAAAATGTATTATTTTTAAAATCGAAAACTATTGGTAAAAATCCACAGTAAATTAAGCAAATGTGCAAAAATACTGCATTGTATTATATAAAAATAACTATAAATAACATTTTTTTTATTATATTATATGTGACTTTTTATCTCTACTTATCGATAATTCTATTTATACTTCCATATACGACCTCAAATTCTTCTATAGGTCAAAACGTTTTCCAAATAATATTGTAATAGTTGCTTTATTATCTAGGGAAACGCCATAAATTCAAGATAAACCACTTTTGTAACTTTGGTAAACCTGAAAACGTGAAGAAAAATTGAGTTTTTGAAAAACGACAAAAACCTAAGAGAGTTTAAAAAGTCTTTAATATAATATTATGCAAAGCTCTTGAGCTGTTTAGAAATGCAAATTATCAATTAAGAATTTTTTACAATTATTTATGTGGTAAAATTATATGTATTTTATTTAAATATATATATTATGTGCCTAATATTAAGTTAATTATTATTGTTTGGTTTTGCTAGCATTTACTGAGTACGATATTGGTGTATGGAGTAACTTCGCTTTAGAGATTTCAATATTAAAGCTCTGAGTCACCTTCACGAGATATTCTACCTGCCGTTGATCCTAAAGGTTGAAGCACATGACTCGAAGACTTCAACTTCGAAGACAATCATCAAGTTATCTACAATTCAATCATTTCCGTCTCGTTTCATTTTGTTTACTTTTTTATGGCCAACACAATTACAAATTGCTAAATTTTTTGTTTAAGCTTTTGCAAGTCATGAGAGGAGACGAGAAAGAGAGAAAGAGAGATAGGCAGAGGCTTTCTATGAAGACCCAACGACTAACTCTAGTGCAGCAGCTAAACATCAAAGTCATTTCATGTCTTCATAAATTGTTGCGCTACTTAAACTGCGACGCTGCGGCGGCAGCGACAGCGACTCGGGCCTTTCTTTCTTATCCCTCACTTTTTGACTAAGTGAAATGACCTGCCATTTTGTAGGGAAGAGGAAGAGCGAGGGAGAGAGCGAGCAAAAAAAGAAACGAAATGCCTGAGCCGTGGGGAAGGTTAATGCCTTATCGACATGCCGCAATCTATGTATTTAATTGACTCAACTGCAATTATAGTGTACACAACATATATATATATATATATTATATATATTTTATGTATATGTATGTATACGGCTGTGGTTGGCTGTGAAGTGTCTTCTTCCTTGTGCTGCAGATAAAAGTCGCGTCGTAAATACTAAAAACTCGCCTATAATGATTTCGCATAAATCGTGACTACTCGCCAAAATGAAAGGCGAGAATTTATACTAACAGCAAGTTACATTGTTGTTGCTGCTGTTGCTGTTGCTCTTGTTGTTGTTGCAACGTCTCGTGGTGTCGGTGTCAGAGGCTAGTCCCAAGACTCCCGTCGAATCCATCGCTTTGGTCAGTCTCAGCACCAGCCAAAGTTAAAGCCAAAAACCCCGAGAATTGGAGAGAGAGAGAAGATAAGAGAGGAGTAGAGTAGAGTAGAGTAGAGTAGTATAGTGTAGAGTAGCAAAGCAAACCTGTAGCCACAATTCGCCATCGCAAACTAGAGATGGACGCGTGACGCACTAAACTGTCCGCATGAAAATCTCATTGCAAAATAATTGATATTTATGTTTCCAAATTTATTGCGTGCGCCTTAGCTAAATTGTTATTTATAACTCAGGTTCATATGAACCATTATCTGTGTACGTAGTTGTCAGCATCTAGAAAAGCTTAAATCTTTATGATTAATTATTACTTTGGAATAATATAATATAAGTAATGGCTGAACTATTGTGCATCCAAATACTTAAGCTCTATTATGATTAGCACTATTATTATTATTATTTTAAATATTATCAATTAATATTGGTAATATTATGTTTTGACTCGATCAAAATCTTAAGCTTTCAAAAACTTTTACTGCTTGTATATAGAATATATATATATATTAAAATTATATATATATACATTATATATATATATATATATATATATATATATATATATATAATTTTTATTGAATATAAACATAATACATATATTTCCAAACAATTTCATGCTTCGGTTCTTTAGCGTGCGATCACGATCTTGATCACTCGCCCATCTCCAATTAGTGCAACTGTTGCAGGCAACAGCAATACATATATATGGAGAAAAAAATATATTTAGTGTTGTTTCGACGCTTTGTTGGGCAAGGGACTTTCTTGTTGTTTTTGTTGTTGTTCGGAACTGACATCGTCGTGGCCATTGCCAAATCGTTAGCACTTGGCACGGCCGCAGACTCGAGACTTGAGGCTCGCGACTCGCGTCTCAAGACTGAGCTTCGGTGCCAGTCGTCGTTAAAGCTGTGGCTGTCGTAGTCCCATCATTTTGCTCATCCCCATCATCATCATCATCATCATCATCATCATCATTATTATCAGCATGGCCTGTTGAAAATCTCTCAAGACAGTTGCCAACAATGGGCAAAGCTCCCTCCGTCTCCTGCCTTCA